TTTAAAAAAGTATATTAAAGAGAAAAAAAAAATAGAATGAAAGCAAGAAAGAAAGAATAGTTAACTGCCAGTGCAGTGTTAAAAAATGAGGCATCAAAATATGCTCATCTGACCGTGATTAAAAGCCTAAAACCCCTAAGCTTCTGGGGGCTCTGCCCCCTGGATTCCACCTAGGTATTAAAAAAAAATGATCATTTGACCTTAATTAAACGCCTAAAACCCCTGAGCTTCCGGGGCCGGACAAGTTATCAAAATGTGTTTATCTGACCGCAGGCGCGTAGCCAGGGGGGCGGGGGCGGTCCCCCCATATCGGAAGAGGACGTAGGAAGTAAAAGGAGCAGACAAAGAACATCTTTGAAATTCAGACAAGGATTAAGAGTATAGAGAACGGTACAACGCATCGTCTTTTTTCTCTCATAATCTTATGAAACTTAAAAGCTTCGGCGCTTCGCGCGGTAGGGGGGAACCTGAATTCCGACGAGGATTATTTTCGAGAACGGTACAACGAATCGTCTTTTTTCTCTCATAATCTTATGAAACTTAAAAGCTTCGGCGCTTCGCGCGGGAGGGGGGGGGGACCTGAATTCAGACGAGGATTAAGAGTCGAGAACGGTACAACGAATCGTCTTCTTTCTCTGATGATTTAATGAAAAGCTTCCGCGCTTAGCGCGGGAGGTTGGGGGACCTGAATTCAGACGAGGATTAAGAGTCGAGAACGGTACAACGAATCGTCTTTTTTCTCTGATGATTTAATGAAAAGCTTCCGCGCTTAGCGCGGGAGGGGGGGGGGGACCTAAATTCAGACAAGGATTAAGAGTCGAGAACTCTACAACGAATCGTATTCTTTCTTTAATAGTTTAATGAAACGTCAAAGCTTCCGTGCTTCGCGCAGGAGGGGGAGGGGGACTGACTTTAGACGAGGATTAACAGTCGCGAACGGTACAACTAGTCGTCTTCTTTCTCTAATGATTTAATGAAACGTAAAAGCTTTCGCGCTTCGCTCGGGAGGGGGAAACCTGAATTCAGACGAGGATTAAGAGTCGAGAACGGTACAACGAATCGTCTTCTTTAATAGTTTAATGAAACGTCAAAGCTTCCGCGCTTCGCGCAGGAGAGGGAGGGGGGCTGAATTTAGACAAGGTTTATCAGTCGAGAACTCTACAATAAATCGTCTTCTTTCTCTAATAATTTAATAAAACGGAAAATTTTCCGCGCTTCGCGCGGGAGGGGAAAAACTAAATTCAGACGAGGATTAAGAGTCGAGAACGGTACAACGAATCGTCTTTTTTCTTTAATAGTTTAATGAAACGTCAAAGCTTCCGCGCTTCGCGCAGGAGAGGGAGGGGGGCTGAATTTAGACAAGGATTATGAGTCGAGAACTCTACAAGAAATCGTCTTCTTTCTCTAGTAATTTAATAAAACGGAAAATTTTCCGCGCTTCGCGCGGGAGGGGCAAAACTAAATTCAGACGAAGATTTTGAGTCGAGAACGGTACAACGAGTCGTCTTCTTTAATAATTTAATGAAACGTCAAAGCTCCCGCGTTTCGTGGAGGAGGGTGGGGAAAGCTCGCCCCTCCCTGCGCCGACTCCCCCCCCCCTCATTACATTACTGTTGGTCACCATAACGTACCAATATTTGGCTCGCAAAATTTCAAATTTGGGCCCCCCCCCCTAAGAAATCCTGGATCCGCGCCTGGGCTAAAGCATATTTACTTCAGCTACTAATACTATAGTACCTGCTCTATACAGATTACCGAGTTGAGACAAATAACCCTAAAAAGCCCAAGTTCCTCTTTGTCAAGGTAATACTTGTACTGGTACTATTAGTTAAAAGTTGTAATCCTTTCTTTGTTCTCAACGATGCGCTCAATCCCTACACACCGTGTGAACGTACATAGTCTAATCACGCAGACACCAATGTATCGTAGATAAATGATTATAAAGTTATACGCCAATTCCACACCAATCCCTGGTATATCGGAACACATATTAACATGATTATTATCTTGGCATGATATTGTAAGATCATAAACAAAATAAACGACATAATAACTAGATACATATTATAAGAAAGTACGGACTTAGAGACTAGCAAAATCTGGCCGGTTCAATGTCAAATCGAAGGTTATCTCCTTCTGAGATGGAAATCTCTCAAAACGTTATCAAATCGAATATGGAATATCGTAATAATATTTCCCCAACTAGAATATGTCAAATGCTCACTAGAATCACACTAGTGGTTAATAAACGACAAAATATTGATTAGCTCATATATTTAAGTAAGAAAGCTAAATAGTTATGTACAATGTGAAATATATATTCGCGGGTACCATTCACCCATACAGTATAACGCTTCACAAATAGTTGTAAGAAAGCTAAACTTTCTTAACTTAAATTCTTTCCTTAAAACAACGATATCTACAAATGCGAACATCAGAACACATCCAATCATACATCAGTACAACCGCACAAAGTTATATAACATGATAATAATGATTTACTTAAATATAAGTATAAAACAAAATATGGTAAATTACCTGTAAAACAGGAGGCGAAGAAGAGATGTGTGATGGTTAAACTCGTGACACGGACTGCGAGGAGTCAAGCGGGTTCACGAGTTCAAGGTGTTTAGAAACAAAGGGACAAAGGTAATGTTGCGGGGTCACGTGTTAAAAGATATTTGCATAAAGTGAGTCATAGGGGTTTGTGACTAGTCTTCATAAAACAGTCACCTGGTTACAAATATATATGTTGAGAGAGCCTTCGGTCCTGAAAAGCGCTATATAAGAACTAGCTATTATTATGTAGAAAAGGCTTGACTACCTAATACGGGGTTTAGTGTGTATATTCCCCCAAATTGTAACTCTTGACTACCCCCCCCCCCCCCCCCCCAGGGCTCAAATTAAATTTTTGTCCACGGGGGCTCTTCCAAAAAAAAATAGCCCCCGTGAACCTTCTCACGGGGGCTCTTTTAGTGCTGACAGGGGCTCTTATTTTAATACAAATTTCCATTGGATTGTTACCCATGAAACTCCTAAATTCCTTGGTATTTTATCATTATCATTTATTTAAGTCGACATTCTCCCTCTTAGAAATTTACTTGTTACATAGCTGTATAATTGTATCCCGTGATCAGCGGGGCGGTTCCCCCCCCCCCCCCCCCCCCCCCCCTGGGAAAAAAGAAGGGGGACAAAAAGGGGAATTTTCTTCTTTCTTTTTAAAAAAAAAAAGAAGTGTTCCTTTCCCACTTGTATCACAGAGAAACAACAGTTTAAGTTAAGTCTAACGTTAACGTTAATTTGTTATTAAAATGTAGAGTACAGCCCTTGGCCTTAGGCCTAATTTAGGTCGTAACTGTTACTGTTTGAAAATCTAAAGTAAAATTAGACGGTTTTCATGGTTAGACCAAGTAATTGAGAAAAAAAAAGTTTACCCGTCACTGAGACCAGGTCAATCAATCTTCTAGATCCATTATTAGGGTCTAACGTTAGTAGATATAAGGTAGATGCAGGCGCAGATCCAGCGGGGGTGAGCAGGCCTTGCCCCCCCCCCCCCCCTTTCCGCAAAAGAGAGAGAGAGAGAGAGAGAGAGAGAAGGGAAAGAGGAGAGAAAGGGAAAGAAAGAAGAGGAAGAAGAAAAGAAAAGGGGGAAGAAGGAGATCGGGGGGGGCGAAAGGGCCTTGCCTCCCCCTAATAAAACAAAATAAGAGAGAGGGAAGGAAAGAAATGGAAAGAAAAAAGGTAAAGAGGAGATAAAGGGAAGGAAAATTGAGGAAGAAGTAAAGAAAAGAAGGGGGATATCATGCAGTTGCAATTTTCCCGCCAACACGTTGCGGATGGGGGTTGGGCAAAAGGTCTTTGCCTCCCCCGCCCCCGCTAAAAAAAAAAAAGAGAGAGAAGGAAGGAAAAGGAAAAAAGGAGAGCTAAAAGGTACAAAAAAGAGGAAGAAGGAAAAAAAAAGGGTGAAAAGAATTTCGATGCGGTGTTCGAGTAGAATTCTGTGAGATGATTTCTCGTAGCTTGATGTGACGAAGTGTCTCTATCCAGATATCTGTTGATAGTATTATAGAATATAGAAGCCTGATATGACCTTCTGCTCGTAACCGACAAGTCACCGCATTAAAATTAAATTGCAAATAGTGTTCAACAACACGATGGTGGATGAAACTTTCTAATATTCGAAGATATATGACCCTCAGACCATATTGTTTCATTATTTTTTATTCAATCAATCAACGTCAAAGAATTGATTCATCATCGCACTTCAATTTATTATTTCACCTTTTAATGTACTTTCATTCTTATGCATCACGAAAGAACACTGAATTGGATTCTTCAATGTTTGTTTTGATTAATTTCCTCCCCTTTCCTTCTCCCTGTTTACTACTGATAAAATTTTCAATTTTTCTTAATCAAGGGAGAGAGAGAGAGAGAATATGTTAAGTGAGAATTATCGAGTACAACTATGAATTGCATCCTTTTCAATATTATTCAATTCGCTGAAAATCTTTATTTTATAATTCCACGGGGGCGATTTTTAATTTTGCAATCGCCCCCGTGGACAACCTGATGGGGGCGATTATGGAGCTCACGGGGGCGAATCGCCCATCGCCCCCATGTATTTTGAGCGCTGCCCCCCCCCCCCAAACTCCCAATTGGTGAGACACGACGTGAGCTAATTGCGCTCACATTTTCTTTACCTTACAACACACAAGTCTGGGGATATGCCAAGGGGTCATTGTTGTGTGCAGATCTTTTACTTTGACCCCACAAATTGTCTTATTTGTTGTTCTGTGATTTAATGTGCAGTTTAATAGATAATATCAAGGATGCAATGATGAAAATTTATGTACAAGGTTTCATACAATTGATGAGCTTTTCATTTCAGGGTATTTTGCACTTGCTTTAAAAATGACATTTCTTTCATCGTCTCGACCAGTGAAAAGCCCCATCAAGGCTATATTCAGTAGTACCTCAATACCATGTTTCCATTCATGTAGGTATCAAGAAGGTTGTGTATGGGTGCAGGAATGAACGGTTTGGAGGCTGTGGATCCATCTTATCGGTCAATTCGGATGAGCTACCATCTATAGGAGAACCTTTTGAGGTGAGTGAAGCTTGAAGCTTATCTGTACTAGTTTATAGGAGGGATTAGACCACCCTGCAAGGTCACTGGACAGGTTGTTATCTCAACAACTCAGCTCTCAATTAACATAAGAAAAAGAGGATCATGGGTGACCAATGGCCACCGATAATAGGCATTGCTTTCTATATACCGGTAGAGGGAGCAAATAGCATGTGGGGCTTTGAAGGAGTGGGTCACTGTTTTCCATGTGCAGAAGGTCATAGCTCCCTGATATCACACTTGGGGGAAATACCATTAATGGGTTTACAAGTCCCACACACAGCAAACCTGTAGTCCTTCCAAGAAAAAACCCCTAGTCTCTCAGAGTCTTTGGGTGAGGGAAAATGCAAAGCATTACACGAGACCTGTTGGTCATAAAACTGAAGGCTAATCCTGTTGATTGACAACACCCCTGTTATTGGGTAAACACCCGAACGGTGTTGAATTCCCCATGAGAGCCAGCACCTATGCGTCTTTAACTGAAGGCAGACATAGCCTAGTCACACCACCAGACCGACTCAAAATAGACCCGAGACCGAAAGATTCTTTGCCATAGGAAGTGACATAATTCTTTTAGTCGATATGCTGTGGGTCTGGTTTGGGTCTCGCTGGTGAGACTGTGGTACATAGGGTCATAGTTAAAGATTATGTTTAGTAATTTGCCCTGTGAAAGAAATTCATCAAAAAGTTCTGATAAGTTGATTATGAAGCAAATAGAAATGATTGTGTATTGTTAGGTCTTAGAATCATCAAAAGTGCACACTTTTACCAATTCTTGCTTGAAATCTCTTGTAAACAATAAAAAGCACTGCACATATGAATTAGAATACATAAGTTTTGCACAAAGTTTTAAATTACATGTATCTCTATTCATATTTAAAATGTATTTATATATATTAAATAATTCTATGAACAATTCTGTTCATGTTACTTTATTACTGCTAATGTTCTTATGGATAAACTACAGATTAACTCTATAAAATATTGATAATCATTTTATGAAGGATAATGATGATGTATTAATCAAACAAACAAAGAAAAAATATGTACCTCACCACCGCAGAGGTTATCTGTTTAAAAAGATGATGAAAACTCTTAACACATGATTCTCCCGCAGTGCAAAGCTGGGCTGTATGCTGACACTGCTGTTCAACTTCTTCAAGAGTTTTACAAAGGACAAAATCCTAATGGTAAGAGTATTGAAGGTGCTGTTGATGTTAAGTAAATACCAATAAACTGCAACTAAAATATGTCTCAAAGCATGGGGATCGCAACTGCAAGATTATGTGAAATGCTTTCTGGGGTTGAACTTTTTTCAATGATTTTGTTAACTGCATGTTGCAATGGATAATTTGAATGTTAAATAGTGAAAACATTTTACTATGTCCATTTTAAAGCTCTTGACAGTATGGATATTTATACCATAAACCTTCTCACTGTCTGTAATCTTTTCTTGCTGTGATGTCTAGCTTCTTTGTCTATGAAATTTGATTTAATTATTTGTTAATGTTTTAGCACATTTATAGTGTATTATGTTGTATTCACTTCACTTATGCTACACAATACCATTATGTCCACAGCTCCGAATCCAAAGATCAAGGCATCTGGTATGAAAGATGAAGGGCCACAACTGCAGTGCCCTGGTGACACTGACACCAAGGACCAAGTTGAAACTGCAACACCAGTCAAGTGAAGTGTATAATGCTCCAAAGCATTAGCCGGTATTCCACACCAAACGGTTGCTCAGTGTCGAGTGCTCCACATCCAGTGGCTTTGTCCGGCAATGAACACCAAACATTTGAGGTCGAGTGCTCCAGCTCCAGTAACTTTGTCTGACACAGAACTTCAGATAATGAAGGTAAAAAAAACCCACCAGATCCATCAGCTTGACACTGACCACCAGACAAATGAAGTCTCGTGTTTCAGATCCAGCAGCATTGCCTGACACTGAATACCGAACACCGGAGAAATGAAGTCTAGTGTTTAAGATCTAGCAGCATTGTTTGATAATGAACACTGAACACGGATCAACGGAGTGGTCCAGACCCAGTGGCCTTTTCTATTCCTGAACACCAAACAATTTAGGTCTAGTGTTTCAGATTCAGCAGCATTGTCTGACACTGAGCACCAGATAATTGAGGTCTATAGTGCTCCACACCCAGTGGTTTTGCCTGACACTGTATATCAGGCAATGGAGCTCCAACTATTGAAAAACATTGATGCCACAAGAGACTCACAGGAGACATGGGTGAGGCTTCTCATCAGTCATCACCTTGTTGGGCTCTTGATCCATTGACCAAAGGCATCTACAGTCGGTAACATCAACAGCTGACCGAAATGATCCATCTGGCCATGCCATTGCATCTTCTCATTATTTTGGGAGCTTCAGATTTTAAAACGTGTTGGGTGACGCAAATTGCTTGACGTGTGGACATACTTTTAGTCTGTGCATGTCTAACTGTCTATTAGTTCTCTATGGGGGGCCTTATTATTCTACTTCGTAGTATTTCTTCTTAAATTCAACTGGTATTTAAAGCTGCAGTTTTTACATGTATATCTGTCACCTTTTTGGATCTCTGATTCCTTTCTTTGTTTCCATCATCAACTTTCATCATATGTCTTGCGTATTACTTTGTCTTCCCAGCATGTACAGCAACAGGTGTTCTTGGGGTCATATTGTGAGGGACTATCTGACTGGCCTTTTAACAAAGAACTTGTGGGAAAATGATGTTCTTCCTTTAACCTCCTCTTTGAGATTTGGTTTGGAGGAATGTCTTGGTTTTAATTGCGGCCTGCATTGTTTTTATAGGAAAGATACTGGTTCGTATATGAGAATTAAGCAAGGCGTTTCTGAAGTTAATCTTCCTAAAAGTATCAATCCCTTCTTCATCAAAATAAGGGTAGGCCTGCGCAAATGTTTCTACCAAGTTATTGCGAACATTCACAAGGATATCATTTATAGTTATTGGCTTAGAAAAGAACTTATACCTCAAGGTGTGCGGAAAATAAAGTGTTTATTTTTATATTTCATATACTGGTAGTATCTGGAGCCAGAAGGGCATTAACTCTGGGTTAAAGTAATGAGTTAAAGCCGTTCTGGCACCAAACAGATGATCATACATATCTCGTCATGACTTGCTTGTTGTTACACAATTGTATGTATACTGTTCATGTATCTATTTGTAATAATAATAATAATAATACATATGATTTATAAGGCGCCAAATCCACTAATATGAATTCGTTCGGGTAAAATTTGCCTGCAAGTTCTTTCGACAGTTTCATTTTTCAAAAGAATCTTTCTTGCACATGTTTTTTTTTAATAAGAAAATGTTACCATCACCATAACAATTTTGGGAGAATAAAGGAGTATGTGTCACATTGTGATGAAGAAATAAAGTGATTTTGAAATGATTCTTTCAGAGATTACCGGTATCTTGTTTTGTCCATGCAGTTTCTGTAATTTTCCCATTGAAATTATATTTCATCCCATTTTGTTGTGGGACATATAGATCTGGTGTAAAGATAAGATTATCATCAAGATGGATGGTTGTGGCGCCTGTCACAATTTTGTCGATGATGATGATTTTTAAAGTGATTAGAGACATTGTATTAAGCGCTATATAAAAGCTAAATATTATTATTATATTTATTAAATAATATTAAAGTGACTCAGTAACATTGTTGAAGGTTGATGAAAAAAATTGCTTAATTTTTGTATTAAATGTTACTTACTATATTCCTTCTACTATACTAACCCTCTGACATGCAAAAAATCCTGAACAAATTCTCAAACCACAAAGATATCTATGGTTTTCTTTGACGGCGTCGATGTTTGGCACCCTCTAACAGTGATTAACAGTAAATTCTCCCAACCATTTTTGAATTTTCCCAATTTTTCCATGAGAAAAATACATAAAACAGGCTATAAAAATCTGACACTTAACTGTCTGGAATGGAATGTAGAGCATTTTTTATTGCTTTGTGACGATTTACATTCACCTAAAATGTAATTAAATTGTCCTTGTCTTGATGCTGAACAGGCTTTGACAAGTAGCAGAATAGAAGTAGAATAATATAGTTGGGAGAATTAAGGAATCGATCAGATCAGTTTTTCCCCAATTTGTACCATGAATAATGTTCCGTTTTCACTCAAATTTTCAGATTATCTTTAATTGTACATCTTGCATTGAAGCCACTACCTTAGCACCACTATCTCTCATCTGTTACAAAGTCCCTTTAATGAAGACTCATTCATAAAATAATCAAGTTAAGATGTTTTCTCACATCCATAATCTCTTTTATGGTTTTATTTTTCAAACAAAGTAACATCTAACAATACAAACTCTATACATGTACAATAACAACTTTTCATATGAACCCGAAATCAACATGTACTTCTCCATACCTCAAAATACAACGGTAGTTTCCTACCATGACAAAGTGGTACAAGATCACGAACAACACATAATTCATTTTAATGTTTAAAGTGAATAAATCTAATGATTCTTTCAATAAATCTTAAGCACCTGAATTTCTTAACACATTCTTGTTCGTTTACCCAGCAAACTGGTAAATTTCAAGATTTGTAGCGTATTTTGTGTCCAAAATGTATGTTCCCAACATCATGAAAGATTAACATAAACATAATTAACATCAAATTATTTTTCTTCATATTTGTTCTGACCCAAATTAGTATTGGGCTATCAATTTAATAAATCTGAAATTGGTATAAAGTTGGAAACCTATTGGGGCAAATACCTTGGACTTACATGTACATATGTCATGTAAATAAAATTGCATACAGGTTTGTGCTGCATGTATTTCAGTCATCTGAGATGCACATTTCTTCAGTTTTTAACCTTTTCTGACTTAATTATGGAACAAGAGATTTCCCAACATGAAATACTCTTTTCCTTCCTCATCTTAACACATACCTTCTGTGTAATGGTGCACTTTAAGCAATATATCAGACTTAGAATAGATATCATTCCAAATACAAAATGGTGCGGAAAATTGTGCAACTCATTCATTCAACATTGTAAGCACCATGTATGTCATTACTATTAAACCAAATTGCTCGAAAATGGTTACCCTGGGCAAAATTTGATTACGTACACTTTCTCTGCCAAATGTGACTATGATCTAACCAGCTTACCTATACATAATGTATATACTTCTTAGAGACTTTTTTGTGTTTTAATATTTATTTCCATGAACGTTATTTTATCAAATTATCTGTATCTTAAATGGTGCAATAGTTGCATAACTATAAATGTTCTGAAGCAGCAAAAATTGAAATGGTGTAAATTTACTTGCAGCTTTAAATTGCAGCTTTATTCTAGACCAATACCAAAGTTTTTCATTTCAGTCTTGTATCAGCTCAAATGGCAGAGATTTTCAAAAGGAACGCCAAGTTAGTTATTCTCTGGAAAGGATAACGTGGCATTATTTTCAAACAAGCGAGAGGCACATGTGGTGGTAAGGTAGCTGGTAAAAGTTAACGTTGGTCTCCAACTCAAGAGAATTATTACAATGAAGTTTCATTGAAGAAAAAAATATAATAAATTCAAAACCTAGAATTGTACTTTAATCTCAGTTTTGATTTCGTCTGGTTACCTCTAAACATTTATTCCAAATGTCACTTCTCCTTTATATATCTGCAAAAATAAAGTACTTGTGTACACCTTATTGTTGAGTAAACATTTCAACATTTAAAACAAAATCAAACATTGAAAATAAGGCACCATTTCATGAGAATCCAATACTGAGTTTACTTGATATAAAAAAAGTACTGATTCTTTCGCTAAGACTATGACAAAAAATAAACACAGGCAGTGTAAAAAAGACAGAATGTTGACATGTGCGTAAAAGAACATCAGCATGAAGAGAAAAAAAGCAGACATCAATACATTCTGGATTAAAAGCCAGATCCCAATGTTTACTGCATGTTGCCATGGTCAGAAATGCTTGAAGGTATGAAGAGTCAACATGAAACAAAAGATGGGCAGGATGTGAAGTCTATCTAAAACAAAACTCAAAATCTTACACAATTCTACACCAACTAGATAAATAATTGCATCATTTAAATTTTGAGCAAGGTCATTAAACAGTCAAGGATTGGAAAGATTCCCTGGCAATAGGTTTCACAACTCCTATTCGCAAGACTTCATCATTTTACAAAAATGGAATGTTCAAATTACAGTTTTAATCATTACACAATGATACTGAAGATTGCAAAGAATCTTCTTCAGAATATTGCCATTTTATATCGAGTACAATTATTAAGCATTGTAAAAGTGGAAAAAGGCACTTAAATAATGACAAGTACAAAATAAAGCACCAATTTAAGACACTTATTGGCAATTATTTGATCACTTACATGATACAGAGTTCGTGGATAAATGTTGATAACACCAGACAAAAAGTAAGGCAACTTATAAAAATGATGTGGATATTTCTTCCTCGCATCTTCTCCAGCAAGGCACTGATTTTGAACACAAATGTTCCCTCAAAGAATACAAAATATGAATAATAATTTGTAGCAAAAAAGGGAAGAACATTTCGAGAAGTTCAAGGTAAATCGGGTGGGCATGAAACATCTAATTTTATTTTAGTTTCATTTTGTAAGAAAACGCATTATTGGAGTCAACGATTCTGTATCTTGTGCATGAAGACATTAAATTTCAAACCTGAATTCAACTCCTGATGTTATGTTTAGTACTTGTATGTTTTTTCACAATACCATGCATAAATGGTCAAACATGTACATTACATACTTACGATTGCTTCACACAACATCAATGATTGTCAATCATAGATTAGCAAAGAATAATGATATCTTGGCTGTTGAATGACAATGACCAACATCAGAAGAACAAAATTAATAGTCACCGCGCTGTAGAAAGATTGTTAATTATCAAATATATGAAAATAAAATCTTGTACATCGGATTCTTCTTAAAGTTATGTACCTGCTCGAGATCAGTCAAAACATGAAATATTCAATGAGGAATGTAATTGTGCTGATATAGTGGAATGTCATATACTTACACGAAATGGGAACTTTGTTCTTCAAGTAATTGTATCAAAGGCTTTAAAATGAGATCTCAATAGGTTTGCCTGAAACAGACAAGACTGTACAATGTATAGCTTCTCAGACTTATATGTAAAGTGAATTTATAAGGATGAAAAAGTCTGACAACAGACAACACTCTGTTTATCAAGGTGAATAATGCATAGGCGGAAAGATACGGTTAAAAATAAAGGGTCCTCCTTTTAAATAAGGGAAGGGGCATAATTAATTGTAAAGTTAAAACTAAATGTTTCCGTGGTTCACATAATCAAATTCATTTTGAAATATTAACATTACGATGACCACAAAGGCTTTTTTTTTCTTTCTATTTTTATTATTATTTAAATTTATAATAGGGTCCCCAGCATTTCATGAAAACAAAGTAAGCTTATTTTTCGCCTGATAATTCCCTGACAGAGTTACAAAATTCCATGAAAGGAGGCATTTTAGACACTGAATAGCAAGCACAGGCAATCATACAATGGATATAAAGTTTGATCACCATCTTTCCCAATTTCAAAGATAGCTGGGAACCCAAGTAAATGTTTAAACTCTCAAACAATTAAAACACCCAAACTAATAAAATCTATGGCTATTAGAATATATCGTAGGCATCGAACAGGTCAGAGATGCCTTCGTTGTCGTTCAAGGCAAAGAGGTAGTCGTCCACAGCCGGTGGCGAGAGCGCAACAAAGTCGTCGTCCAAACCATTCTGATCCTCAGTCTCTAATAGCAGGCTCCTGCTCAACGCCGAAAGGTCGTCCTCTTCCAAGGCGGTCGCTTTCAAGGCAGGGTCACCTATGAGAGGTCAAAGGGCAACATGGCAACAAGATTAACGATTGATGGTTCATTATGAATTTAGGACAAACTAGTCTAGGTTATCCTGTTCTATAATACCTTTAAACAGATAATATTGCTTACAGTAATAGTTGTTTGAGATGAATTGCACTGGAAAAGGATATTCTTGATTTATAAACGATTTCTAATTGAGTTTAGTTTTTGGTGCTCATATGCAGGGCTCGTGGCAGTGCACGTTTAACCAGGCAAGGAGGACTTCAGGAAAAGAAATATAAAGGACAATGTCTTCCTGAAAACAAGGTAGCGACGATGACAACAAGTATGGTAATAATGAATACTTTCAACCTGAAAAATTGCTTTGGTCCACCCAACAACCTTCTATAATGTTACGAATCCATTTAGGACAATGAAAACTGAATCCTGGTAAAAATCCAGCTTCCATGAATTATTCATCCCGATATTTGGATGTTAACTTTCCCTCAAACATCACATTTGAAGCTAATTTGGGCCATTCCCAGATTTATAAAACACCAATGAGCATGGACTTTTGTTCTTGCTGCTGCTAACATTGCTGCCGATGAACAAGATGTTATGATCCCTTACCTTTTGAACTACATGGCGATGAATTCTTTGATCCAGCTTCGGACTCTGATGAGCTGCTGTCGTCTGGATTATCATCTGGACACAGGTAGACCTCAATCTGACCTCTCGTGCTCTTCAGCCAGATTTGAATATTAGTGCTCTGTGGAAGAAATTCATCGTTTGAGGATATGATAAAAGGTTCAAGATGCCTTCGGACATCTTCAAAAGTAGCAATTTCAAAGAATATAATCACAAATACATGGTAGATTTCAAATTAATATGTAAACATTACAGACTGCATTGTTAATGGAATCCCCTTTTTCTTGATTCAGAATGGTCAATAATAGTACATTTCAATCAAATCCCACAGCTGTCTATTTCTCAGTCTCAGGGTGGCCCAAAACCAACCAAAACCAACAAAAGATCAGGACCCTCTACCCCTTCCCTTCCCTTCCCTCTGCCTCCACAACACCCCCCCCCCCCCCAAAAAAAAAAAAAATATTTGGCCAACACCCACCTCTTTTGGATCAGGGACCTCCAGTCTTGTTTCAGGTGGTGCCTTGATCGCTATTACTGTCTGATCTTCAAAGCTTTGGATTCCTCTAATGTCATGATACGTTACATAAGCATATGTGATGGAGGGAGTTAAGGACAATTGTTGCATACATCAGTAATTTATCATTTTGTATTTAAGCAAATAGCTATATATGCATGTTCACCTGGAAAAGTATCACCGTTATCAAGGTTTGTAAGATTTGGGTATACCTGCCACGATGGTTAAACTTCACATAATAGTTTTAAAGCATGTACCTTCTAACATTAAAAGTCACAATAGGGGCTGCAGCATCTTGCAGACTGTGATGAATTTAAGAAGTATTTAAACCAAAAATAACAAACTGTATCAGTGTTTATAGCAGAAGACACAGGGTTCAATGCTTAAAGGGGTCTAAAACTCAAAATACAGTCACTGTAACTTTGATGTCAACAAAATTTCATTGAGAAACACAAAACCTGTCTCATGTTCCGACAATTTTCTGCAATGCCACCCCCCCCCCCCCCCCCCCCCCCCCCCCCCCATACAGACATACTATGTACATCCAATCTAGCTAAATAAACTCCATTTTAATCCTTACTATTGTGAAATAGCTCAAATATAATAATAAACTATTTGAAAGGATATCTAGCATTGTCTGGATCCTCTGTTAGCGTCTTCAGCTGGGTAGATGCATTTCTTAGCAGTTCATCTAATCGCTTCTCTTGGGCTTCTAAATCATTCAATTCTGGAAGATCAAAAAATTGAAAGAGCATAAAAATCAGTTAGTGAAATTTAATCATTTGCTTCAAATGAAAGAGATCACTAGGTACTTGTATTGCATGAGAACATTTCTTAGCTGAAATCATCTACCCGGTCAGTTTTTGTGTTTTATTATAAACTTCCTGTAAGCAGAGTTCAATGCTTGGGCAAGATGGGGTGATTTTACCAAAGTTGGTGGTCTTTAGGAATATCACCATGAGTAAAATGCTTTACTCGTCAAACTGGTCTACTACGAATTTGATTTGGTTAAGCTCTTTCATTTGATTTCCAAGAGCATTTGTGCAGGTAAATGGAGTTCCCCAAGGATCAGACATATGCCCAGTTCTACTCACCTGAATGTAAATTGACAGTTTCTGCTGATAATTGTGAATCGCCAGGGTGAATGGCTACAGAACTACTAGCACCTCTGGATAAGAGAAAGAAAGGGGTAAAATAAAAACATTTAATTGAAACTTGGACTTTGTTAGAAAGGGGGAATCGATACTAAGCTGCCTGGTTCTACACTTTAAAAGGCTTTTTTGCATTTAAATTATTTGTGAGGTACCTAGGTATATACATGTAGATGGCCTCGTCCCTATTCCCACTCTTTCCCTTTGCCCATGATATTGTATCATAAGACAATAACAAAATAAGCTAAGTTCATAAATATTACGGCCTGTCACATGCCTCAGATGTGATAAGCTGTATGCCTTCGAAGAGCAGGTACATCCATCTCATCACAAAGGTATAAAAAGCAAAGTAAAAATTGGGAATTCATTTGATGAGGGACAATAGAGAAGATAAATAAGATTTTTAGTTTCCAACAAACATTTTAAAATGAAACTTGTACCCTTGATCAAATGGAATGTTTGTATTATCTATATCCGGTAAAAAAAACTATACATGAAGCAAGTTCAAGGTAACTTTCTTTTCACATCAGCATTCCAACATATTTCTTTCATTTTCATTTCTTAACACTGACGCAAAGGCGGATTGAATGTTCATTGGCTGTATGTACCATGATATAATCTCTATCAGTATCAGTCAACAGTGCTTATCTATAGTCACAAGTTCCTGGGTGCATGTAGGTATAACTATATGCTCCAGTGATCCCATTGATCAGTTCTGAAAGAACTACCCTTTTGACCTGTTATTGCTTTTTAGATTGTCCACAAAGCCCCCTAACTTGACTTTGAATAGCCTGTGTGAATAAAGCCCCGCCCTCCACTGCAACAAATGCTGGAGCTTTCATTGGATGCATTTTCATGTATTATACAGTGCGTCCCAGAAAATCGAAACCAGGATTATGGATGTTTTATCATAACTTAATCACAATTATAATTAACAAATGACAAAATTGTAAAGCTAAGATCCTCGTCTTTCATTTGATACAACTCATATGATGCATTTTTCAAGCATGAGTGATTAAAAACAATTTGAAGAAAGGGTACCAATAAGTCATTTGGCAAACGGTATCTAAATTTCAAAGAGAAAATCACATTTCTAGAAAGTTCATTTTCTACACCTCAATCAGGAAAAATGAGCCATGAATAGCAAACTTCTGTTTAAAGTAATGCTTGCATTTCCATAATTGGATTAAACAAATTAGTTTTCACTGGCTGCCTGCCGTAGCAACCAACAGAGATGACAAAAGAGTAGACTTAACTCCGTTTCCTTGACGATCAGCCATAGACAAAAGACTTCATGCATGGCTGATCTTTAATGAAACAGATTTAAGTCTGTTTTCAACTCTGTTTGTTACTACACGTAGGAAGTAAAAAATAACTTGTTTTGCATAATTTGGAAAACTTGGGGAAAATTTTAATGCTACTTCGAGTTATGCAGTTAACTCACTGTATACTATACAAATTATCGATTACCAGTATAAAAAAGAATTGTGTCCTTGCAAAGTCATGCTCTACTTTTTATCATAAAGAGCCTTTTTGGACAAACAGTTTGTGTATGCCCAGCTATAATCAACACCTTTTGTTATTCAAATGATTCAATTCCCCCTATGTGCTCACACACAAAGGCAGGAAGCTTCACTCAAGGCTTGGTGATGAATAGGAGGGGGAACAATAATTGAATAAGAGGGAGGGGGATTACTTCATTCACTCTGCTTTGACCTTGTAAACCACAGGTTTAAATGGCCCTATTCAACTGCCCCTTTAAAAAGTGGGGTGCGTATCAACAGCAAATGGGTAATAGCACTATGTGTACAATTCAAGCCATTACCAGCAATTTACATTGCATAAGGCAAAGTCCAAAAACAAGTCTTGGTTCAGAGTTTCACAGTAAAACCTCACTGAGTGCCTTGACAAGAAAAATACTTAAAGCAGAATTCTAAATAGATGAAACTTAATTGCATTTTCATATTATCTTCACAACTTCTTTCTTCCTTCTACTTATAATGACTTATCACTTTCAATGCTACATTTATATTCTTTCATAAAGTTTTTTTTAAATAAATAAATTAAAGATATATCACTCACTTCCATTGGATGTTATTCTTGGACTTCTTGGTAATGAGTTTGATGCCTTCTAATACATTTGTGATGTCGTATATTCTCCTCTTCTGGACCTCCAGCACTTCCGCTGCTCGATTCAGGTCCAGGACCCCGTCCGGCGCTCCTCTTAGTAGACCAACAAAGCGTTTTGTTAGAAGACCTAATGATGTGTCGTAGCGAGATTTTTCCATAGGCGACCTTGTGGGAGCTGTAAATGTCATGCACGAAGGTCAACAAAATGGTTACAAACCAAACCAGAAAATAACAAGTTCATAGTTTTATGAAAGATCACCATGTCCTCAATGTTATTTTGTTGTTGTTACAGTTGTGTTTTTTTGGACAATTTGCACCCTCATCAGGGGTGATAGTGGGCACCAACATTTTTTTCCCCCAATCCTTTGCAAATGGCCATCATATAAATCACTGATCCCCATGTATATCCTCGATGTAAAAATACAAGATCCTATCAAACGGCTTTCATAATGCCAACCACTTTTCTTTTTTACACAACAAAACAAACAAACATGAAACAAACAAAAAGAAATTTCCAGAAAAATGCCAATCAGAAAGATTCTTCGAGTATCAATTCTTGTTAACAATTAAGGCTATCCTCCAACATTTGACAATGATGTGAAAACACAAATGGATTGTTACCTCTTGGCTTTTTTGTTTTTGCTGAAGGCCTAGGACTAGGTGTCTTGAAAGCTGTACTAGTAGCGATATTTGTTGGTCGGACACCAGCCGAGTCCAGCTCAAGTTTCCTCTTTGCCTGTGAAGAAAGGAACAAGACCTAGTACTGAACACCGTCTGATGATTCTTTCATCATCATTCCATGACATCTCCTTGTTTGAACCAATTTTCTCTTCCCCCTTTTTTTTTGAGGAATCAAATGGAGCAACAAATCTTCAGACATGGAAACAAATATTTTCAGTTGCATCTTCCATTCCATTTTTGCATATTTTTTGTAACAGCTAAAACTAAGTTAAACTTCAGTCTACTTCAATACTTCTTGTCTTAGTTGTTAAAAATGCTGATCTAATTATTCATATGTAAATTGTACGACACTGAATGATCCACATTTTGTGGCTAAACAAAATTTCCAAAAACTAGTAACATTAACATCAAAAATTAATAAAGTAGATCTAGATCTAGGCCTAACATGATTAAGAAATCAAACAGATAGACTACAAGGTCATTGAATAAAACAACATATTTTACTATTAATTATTGCTCATCAAATAAACTTGTTGGGAGGTTGAACAGTTCAATCAACAAGTTTGACAAAACTTTAAATTAAAAAAGACAAAGTCAAAACAATGAACGAGTTCAGTTATTCAATAAACTCTAGCCTTTGGCTAAATATGCGTCTATTTAATACTTAAATTCAATTAGTCTTCTAATGATCTAGATCTTTAAATTAATATTTCATGAACTGAGGAGTCAATCTTATTTTAAAACATCTTGTAGATCTATTGTTGTAAACTGTGTGTGTACGCTTACTGGTGGTCTCCCAAGCTGAGGTCTCATTCCCTTTGTTGAATCAAACTCCGGAGTAAAACCAACGACGTCCAATATTTCTTGATCAAATTCCTCCTTAATATTTGACGATATATTCGTTATATCTGTTGACATTGGTTGATTAGAGAAGTCTGGGAGCATTCCTCGAGGTGACACTCCCAAAATTGTCCTGATTTTGGCCTCTGTCGGCTGCCGACGACCGGCAGTGACTGCTCCTCCACGGGGCATTTTCGGGGAGAAGTCTCTGCTAGATCTGGGGACGAGACGATCCTAGGTCACGGAGGGGTATAGCTCAGAATCCCAAAGACAAGAGCAACAATAACCTGCTAGATTTCTACTTTCTGCAGACACCTGGCGAAAATGGATGAAACAGTAGGTAGAATAAGGTTTGAATACCATGAAAAGTGTCTGGAATGTAACACAGAAGCTCAGATTTGACAAGATGGAATGGATTTCCTTCCTTTATTCGAAATATTTTCAATGAATGAAAGAGCGGCGGTACGCGGTATTTACGGATGGTCGACCGAGGGCCTAATAAAATCAAATCGCCAGAGTTTCCCGCGACTCGTATTTCGCGCGAGACGTCTCACGTGTGTGTTTCGCGCAAAGACTGCACCAATCGCAAACTAGTCACCGCGAAAGAGACATCGCACTTTGTAAAACTCATTTTTCGAGCATTTAACAAAAATAATTAATCAAACAACTAATTTGCATTGACAAAATTACTCATATGAGAGAAGGTTACTGTTTTAGGGTGATTGAAGGAGTTTATTTACATTGATTATCAAGGCAAAGGCGACCCTGGACAGTCATAGGCGAATATATATCAGATCCTGTTTTTAGTGACACTGTGCATCATAATGCGTGTCATAAAATGTAAACAATATATTATCATATCCGAAGTAATTTCCCGTTCAGCTTGACAGATGTAATACCGACAGATAATTATCCCTTATTAATCGCTGATTAACCTCTAGATATAACCAAGGACTCATTTAGAAGCAAAGTAGGCCTACTAGTAAATAGTATAAACGGTCAGCATTTTATTATTTTATCATACGAAGAATCGAAATAGAGCTGGAAATACACATTATATATAGGCCTATACGTTGATAGGCAAACTGACATTTTTTTTCACTGCGACCACACAAATCTTAACATTTTTCCTCGCTTTCAAAAAATTAATGAATATTCAGACTATCACACCTAACTGCAAATTATGATGCTTAAGCAATATCTTGTATGATGTAGAGAGACAAAATTATTAAAATCATCCCTGATAATGTAATCACGATAGGGGTATATACCAATGTCTTAAAAAAAAGCAAATTTTCGCTTTGAGATTTTTTATTTGTAGGTGCCCTTTTTAAATAAAACAGCCGCGGTGCCCCCCCCCCCCCCTACTTGGAAGTCGCTCCGACGCCCCTGGGTAGTAGTAGTAGAAGTAGTCTGATTATCATGATCATCGTGGTGGTGATCGTCGTTGTTTTTGTTGTAAGTGGCAAGAACAAAATTTGGAGGAAAAAAAGGCATCGGTAGGCCACCCCCCCCCCCCCCCCCCCCCTCCTCCTTCCTCGTACGCCTTTGATTCTGACGTAGTTCGAACATGTTTCTTCTCTTGTAATTCCTAAATCCGCATGTGGCCATACGGTGATAAAGGGTAAATTATGAAGATAAGAGGGAAGTTTCCATTTAAAAAGAGAAATCGTGCATTATCTGGCCTATGGCATATGCGTTTCAATGTAACTGTCTGGAAGCAATGATGAGTTGAGTTTATTTTGGAATCAATGAAAGTCACACTAGTTGACCCAACAAAGAATGCTAATGGGACGGTATAAATGGAGCATCGGTAAGTTTGGTCCAAACACCCCAGCCGATTATTAGGGCATTAATAATTAGCAATCTTTTACAGGGAACACCGGAACAACTGTTCTTCCAGGAATCACAAATCCCTGGTTCTTCTATGTGTTTTTCCACAGTAATTTATATGAAAGTAAGGAAATTAAAATCTGACGATGAGGGCACTACGCAAATTTGGTGCAATTGACGCATTGACAATGCCAAATTACAGCCATGAGAGTTATCAGGCTTGGTTCCAACCACCCCTGGGGCAATTACCCCCCAGAAAATTCCCCCCCCCCCTAGGACAATTAGTACCAACCGTCGACAACTACCCCCGATTTCAATTTACCTTTGGCAGTCACTTGCACCCCCTAAAAACTACATTAAATAAAATCTGTTTCATTAAAAGCAACTTTAATATTGTCAGGTGGACTTCCCCTGTAATGAACAGGGGGTTTAATTTTAGGGGGGGGGGGGTAGTTTTCGGGGGGAAGATTCTCGTCCTTGGGAGTAGTTTACCGGGGGATAATGTTCGGGGGTGAATGTCCTGCATGATACGATCAGGGTTGCATGATTGCATCCGTCAATAAATAAAAAAAATCTCCTTACTCACATTATTTTGTTGAAATGCGGAGGAGCGGATCCATGCATCGGGACTTTGTAAAAGAGGGCAACATTCCGAAACCATACCACAGTTGAGGGAGATTTATTTTTAGTTGTTTTTGTTGTTGTTTTTGTTATTGTTTTGTGATGTGTTGTTTCTTGGTGTTTGTTATGCTTTTAGGTATGCGATCGTATACCAGTTAGATATCATAATAACCAGCCGGTTATGCTCCCAAATCCTAAAATCGAATGGTGAAAAATGGGGAAAAAAGAAAAAGAATAAAGAAAATGGAGAGGGAAAAGAGAACATGACATCGGGATTATAGCCCCCCCCCCACACACACACCCTCCCTAAACCTGATGATCTTGTCCAGTGGTGGTTCTAAATGATGAGGTGGCCCCCAAAAGATATACAAAATCGCGAGGCACATGTAGTAATTAAATACAATAACCCTAGCCCCCAACCCACTCTATAAACACCAAAACTTGTTCCTAAAGAACCACTCCTGGTCTTGTTAATCCGCATTTCATTCACAAGATATAAGGGTGGCTACTCCCTACCCCCCCCCCCCCCTCCTCCCTTGACAGTTTCCCCTCGATGTCTTTGGTGGACCCACGCTACAACACTGACATCACCCAGCCCTCTCTCCTATAATTGTAGGCGTATACAATCATTTCCAATTTCGTCAGCCCGGGAGATGGTTCTCTTCCCAGAATATGTAAGCGAGCGAAGCGATTAATGCATTTTATTTTTCATTTAAGTATACAAAAACATATGTACAGGTAAAAATAGACCACCTCATTGCTCGAATATAAGCTGTCTGTAAATATGTAATGACGGTTGAACGATTGAGATATGAGAACTATATCATAGTGGGGTTAATTTCATCCTTTCAAAGTAACAAAGAACATAAAAGATAAAAGGTTGAAAGGTATATTTTATTAACAAAAGAAAATAATTGTCTAGATATTATATTATCTGATTATTGATTAAGTAATCCAATGTATTTTTAGGTGTCCTCATTCTCGGTGTTCATGATCGCATTTAATTTAATTTGCAAGCTATATAATTACTATATGATGCTATTGAAGGTATTTTACACGGGAATATCGCTCGGGTATAAGACATTTCACCATGCAGGCAGGGGCGTCGCTAGACCTTTTTCAGTTGGGGGGGGGGGGGGGGTGTAGAGGCCACCGATTGCTGACAAAACTAGCCAACAATTACAGACAAATATATTAATGCCAATGTCCCAATGTCTACAAATTTAACCCTATATAAACCTCGCGCCAGGAGCCTAATTATTTTGTTCCCCCCCCCGTGCGATGCGCGGAAGCTTTGACATTTCATTAAATTATTAGAGAAAGAAGACGATTCGTTGTACCGTTCTCGACTCTTAATCGTTGTCTGAATTAAGTTTCCCCCCCCTCACGCGCAAAGCGCAGGAGCTTTGACGTTTCATTAAATCATTAGAGAAAGAAGACGATTCGTTGTGCTGTTTTCGACTGTTAATCCTTTTCTGAATTCAGTTCCCCCCCCCTCCCGCGCGATTCGCTGAAGCTTTGACGTTTCATTATGAAGGAAGACGTACGATGCATTGTTTTCAAAAAAATAGGGTTCACTACCCCCACCCCCCCCCCCCCCACCTCCCCACCCCCTCCCCCCACTGAGCGAATTATCGGCCGGCTGTTTCGCCGCTAAATATTTTCTCACGAATTGGGCCCTCTCCCCTGCCACCGGCTGGATCCGCCCCTGTTCCTCTCCTTCCTCTTTTTCTTTTTTTCTCTTTATTTCTTCTCTTCTCTTTCCTTTCCTTCCTCTGTTTTCCTTTCCTTATTTTTTTCTTTCCCTTTCCCTCTCATTTCCCCCTCCCCTTTTCTCATTTTTCCCGACAGCAGCGCCATTTTACCGACAATATCCTGACAGGTGAGGGGGGGGGGGGTGTCGCACCCCACACCCCCTTTAGCGACGCCCCTGCATGCAGGGCTTCACGGGTAGTTTTAAATTATCTCTTGGAGAGGCTTGGAAATTAGTTGATCATGAAAACTGAGACTGTTTTATTATTTTTACTTGCCATATGACACGACATTTGCTCCTGCGACAATTGCTCCGGGCTTTATTTCGTCTAAGATGTAGGGTTAGGGTTAGGGTTTCAATAGGGTTTTATGTTAGGTTTAGGGTTAGGTTTAGGGTAGGGTATAGTGTTGAATCCAGGGTTGAAGTTAGCCATTCGATTAGTGTATGAAATTTACAGCGGAGCAATTGTCGCCGGAGCAAATGTCATGGAATCCATAGTAGGCGTACCCATTAACCTTAGGTTTTCTTTTTCATGGCATGATTCGTAGCTTCCTGTAAGTACCTGTGATTTCCCTCTAAAACTGTTTTTCTTTACATTTAAAATTCCACTTTATATTCTAATTATATAGGGCAGGTAAACAGTAAACACTACCCTGGTAAAGGAAATGTTTATACGTGCAGTTGTTAAATTATTTTACAACCGACATTCTAATAGCAGGGACGCCGATATGGTGCACGATCTCTTCTCATAATGATTATAATAAGCAAGCTGGTGAAAACATCAACGCTAGTACATGGCGATCCTGGGGGGGGGGGGGGGGCATCTTTCCAAAATATCGCAAAACAATGTTAGTGTACCATATTATAGGCCAAGCAAATTTGATATTTGATATTTTTCCAGTATATTATAGGCCTATACACTATGCATGTGGATGCTAATTAATTAAGGGTATAATTCCAACACAATTTCATTGATTGAATATATAAATACGTACATGCATTTGGACCCCAAAAACAAGGTAATTGAATCGCAAATTAATGCTCTATACTGTCTGGATTCATCTTATATTGAGAGCGGATTGTTAGTGGTATTAATTAGGCCTATCGCCATGCAATGTGTGATTCCGGCCTTGTGTATTATTCTGATCATAACATTTCATCGAATTGTTTAAACATTCGATCCCCAACCAATCTTCTCTTTTTTTAAATCATGTTTTCATCTAACTCAACTTGTTCGGAAGGTTTTCAACATTTGGGGGAAAGATCGGCCTGAGCAAAAACCTTCCCCTGTCGGAAAATCCCAGAAACTACTCATATACTACCGAGTCCTAAAACTGATGCTTAGCATGCATGTGACGGCAAGGGCAAACACGCCTCGGTCCATGCCGCGATCTCGCACGGTGTTGTCAAACCGTAACACCTGCTGTACGAGGAAAACAAACTTCAGAATTCGGATCGAGGTCAATAATCCGTTATCCAGCTAAGTTGGGGGGAGGATTACCACATCTGGTTCTGTTCTAGACTTATATATTAAAAAAAAGAAATACATAAATAAAATTAATGAAATAACGACAGAATAAAACTGAGTCAGTTTCAGAGAAAGCATACATCTATTATGTTTTTCCCAACATATTAAAATCACAGAATTGCGTATACCTTAATTAGCCCCTTCCTTAGCTCATTAAATGTTATATTAGGCACACAATCATTTCAAACAAGTGTCAATGTTTGCAATTTTCGTCTGGGGTTATAGCTCATAGACCGCGACAAACCACGATCGGAACGATAAAACATAGATATATTTTTTCGAGATGATAGTCAAAATAATAATGATATTACAATATTCATAATAATGATAATGATGATACTAACAATAATAATAATAATAATGATAATAATAACAATTAAGAAAGTAGCACTATTTTTTCTTCTTTTTTGCCCCCGGAAATGTGAAAATCGTGCCGCCCGATATTTCGCTCGGGGGGGGGGGGGGGGGGGCATTATAACCAGCTCCTATATGAGCATAAAACAAATCATATCCTTTACTTTGCTTTGTTTTTGGGCCACTGGAGGGGGGGGGGCGCCGAATTATCATTTTTTTTGTTTAAAAAAGGGTAAAATGAACTTTACCATTTTTTAACCTGTTTTTCCAGGGGAGCCGAGGCCGCCGACCCCCCCCCCCCCCCTCTCCCTGGATCCGCGCCCGGCCTCGTCACTATTACCCTATTATTTTATTATGTAGTAGTGAAATAGTCTCAGTGATTCATGAATACAGTTTATGTCAACATTTTTGACTTGCAGCCTTTAATATTTTTTTTTAGGTCTCAATATAGAGTGGTGAAGTGTGACGTCATCAACAAATATATTTTTAAAATTTCTCAATTTGTTCTTCATACTCCGAAAGAGCATTCAAAATAATGTCCATATGTCGAAAATCAATTGAATATGTTAAGTATTGGCTGAGATATGACCATCTGAATGAATATATTTCCTATATAGGAACTCAGTTATATTTGCTCTGGGTCCTAACAATATTAGGAGCCAGAGCAAATAACACTGAGTTCCTATAGGAAATATATTTATTCAGATGGTTATATCTCAGCCAATACTTTAACATATTCAATTAATTTCGACATTTGAACATTATTTTTGATGCTCAAAAAAAAAATGAAGAATTTTTTTTAGAAATCCTAAAAAAAAAAAAAAAAAAAAAAAAAAAAAAAAAAAAAAAAAAACAAAAAAAAAAAAAAAAAAAAAAAAAAAAAAAAAAAAAAAAAAAAAAAAAAAAAAAAAAAAAAAAAAAAAAAAAAAAAATCGATTTTTATGACGTCACAGCTTCGGTACTCTATATAGGGTGGATCAACGGAGGACGAGTGTGCATCGATCGACCCGTAATGAAGCCATCGTTCAAAAATATGATTTGTTTTCCCATTTAAACTTTTGTTTCGAGAATTGGACAACCGCGTTTTTTGCTTGCTAATTAACAATTATTTTTGATTTTGTTTCTTTTCATTTGTCACTTTTGTCAGACTTTTTGACATAACATAATCACCATCATTATTCCCCTCCCTATATATCCACAAATCCTGGAGCCGCCCTGTAAAGGCATAAAACAAGAGCATGATAACATCAGTTTAGTTCTGTCGGTACCAGTCTCCTGCCTTGTACACAAATTCACATCTCTGTAGGGCTATTAATTTGTTCGGAGAAACGGATTATTAGATTTGAGCTTCAGCGTCTGCGAGTTGTAAACACTTATAACAGAGCTCCTTGCCTTTTCCAGGAAGTTTGACCTTATCGACGTCATCATCGAACCAACAAAGTGAAGTAAGTTATCGCGCATGCGCTATGCAGCAGACGACGCGATAAACAGCCATATTCCAAGAACGCATAAACAGGAGCTGGGTACTGAAACAACATGTTGTTGGATCTATAAAAGTCGACTCCGGTTTTGATTTGTCATTTTTCTCATCACCTCGTCGGGATCAACATCAGGATCAACGATGAAGTATTCAAACCTACAAGCGTTCATCGTCGCTGCGTGCTTCATGTCACTATGTGTAATACAGGTTGGAGCTAGAGCTGAAAGAGAAAGGTACGTTTGGACTTGTGACTTTTGTGTAGACTGTGCGAGTGTACCACCGCACGAGTCCCCGACCCCGCAGCGCCTCTGCTCTGCCTGGGATGCATGGGAGGCCCAGGCGGGCGCGGGGCCGGGGCTATGGTGGTGACTTCTTCTTTATAATAGTGGTACAAACTTAACTACAGTACTTGTATTTCTTAACGTCCCATGCATCAGGAACCAAACTAGAGGTAGAATGCAAGGCGTATCTTAGTGTATAAGTTTATGCATGGTTACTTAGTCCTTGTTTGTTGCTTAGTTTTACATTTTTAGTTTTATCATGTTTTTAAGCTTGATTCAGAAGAAGTTGGTTGTGTTACTTATATCCTGAATTTTCTTCTTCGTTTTTTGCTAGAAGCAGGACATCTTTCAAATGAATTTGTTTACCCAATGGCATACATATAAACAACTGGTTGAGCTAATTAAACCACAAAAACTGTTAAACAGAGCAAAATTGTGCAGATAATTTTGATTTCTCTCTATAGTCTATGCTATTTGCAGATGTAGTTGCTGGCTTGCTTAATTTAAAGTGAGCGAGTTGTACTAAAATAAACTCCATATCAATTCTAATTCATATTTGGAAAAGTTGTATCCTAACAGATAGTTGGTCAGAAAATAATAAAACATATAGACCTAATGAAAAAAAGGTTTCATTACATATCTACATATGTACCCTGTAGGTCTAATTTACATCATTTCTTTAACTATCGGGTCACTTATATAACAAAGTAAATGAGGTAAATAAAGAAATAAAATGAAGACCAATGAATATTGTTTGATGAACATGTTGGCTGCTAATGTATTGACCTCACTTAAATTTTATTTTATTAATATCATGGATCGAAAATGTTAAAGTTCTTATAAATACATCTATTGCCCTTGCACATATTGCACCATGCATGGACCTACAAGTATAGGTATATAACGTTAACTGACATTCATACCGCTTTTTCTCTCCAAATGCTCAAGTACTTTCCATTGTATTATTACCGTGATTATATCAGTGTCCCGGCCCCCCCACTCAGTGTTATTTAGGGTACGCATATGCTCGTACCCTCTTTTTGAAAGCACCCCCTATCTGAGGACTGCCAACATTTCCGAACCCCCCTTTCTCGGGCTTTTCGCGGGCTTTTTTTGCTTTGGAGACCCCCCTAAATCAGAAAAAATGCTCAATGTACCCCCCTAAATTCGGAATAATTTCTCAGGAGTCCAAAGAGATGAGAGAAAAAAAGAAAAACACCCCCTTTTTAAAGAAATCTCCGGGTGAAAAGTCAAATACACCCCTTTTCTTACAATTCTCGGGCCGGACTTTGTCGCACGAAAAGTACCCCTTTACCGGACATTTTGGCAACACGCATGCGGTCATTCCGACCTCTGAGTGGGGGGGGCCGGGATCAGTGTCTAGCTTGCATCTGCTTGAGCTTACCTAGGTGGCATCTGTTTATATCCCTGAGTATTAAGGAGTGGCAATGATGTGGATGTCTCAATTGCCAATCAAGGGAAATTAGTGCTGCTGATGTAGAGTGAAATAGTGAATAAATCACAGCACTTCCAGATGTGTATACAATACATGTACATGTCGATGACCTACATACACTACTCTAGATGATATGGCAAAGCTATTTACTGATATTGATATTTTTCTGTTTTTCATTTCTTTATGATAAAACCATCAATTGTAAAAAATCAGGGGGTTAGTTATCACATTTCCTGAGAAGGTCTATCTGAACTCAACCGAGAAAGTATGCTTCACAGCAGCAAATGTCAGCGGAGACATGCAAGTCCGAGCAAGGCTAAAGCTCCCGGGTGTTGCACGTTCTTACAGCACCTGGATGGGTGCGGAGAGTGATGGATGTGTGGACATTTCCACAAATTTTCCTTATGATGGAGTAAGTAGATTTCGATTTCCACCCCTCCACTTTCTTTAGACATTTATTTTGTTTAGGTCTTCATGGCATTATAGACTATATGTCAACATTACTCTGTCAAAAATAAACTTTCTGATTTTCTGGGTTTATTAATAGCATGTCACCCATTTTTTAAAATTTTATATTGAATATATGAATATGAATAAGAAAAATAAATTAGCCACAAAAGTCATGAATCATTAGTTAAAATGATAGATGCAATGCAGGTAAAAAAACTACTCTCTAATCCTCTGGAAATTGAAGTTTCATCTTCAAAATACAAGATTAATAATTACTTTGAGTTTATTGTTTAAAAAAATATGAAAGATTTGTTCATTGAGATATTGCAATATTGATTTATCCAAGTACCAGTAAAGATGTATCCTTAAATTCGTAATATCATATCTAGATACGACATAAAATTATATTGTGAGGAATGACAGTATTGTAAATGTTGCAATTTACACCAAGAAATAAAGCAATGTTATTATATTATTCTTTACATGATATATGAAGTCTCCTGTTCCAAGAACAGGAGAACTCGTTTTGGAGTGGTCTGTGGAACGAACGCCAGGTACTCTGTTGGTGGAAAAGACCTACAGGTATTCGGTCATTGTGGTCCCTTTGAAGCAAGAGACATTTATTCAGTCAGACAAGCCTATCTATCAGCCTGGACAGAAAGGTAAGGGCTCTTGGTTCAGTCCCTTTGTTTATCTAGTGTCCAAGGATAGTACTCACTCTGCACAAGCATTGTTAGACCATGCATGGCCGGGGTAGGAGAAGGGGGGGGGGGGGGGGGTAGACTGAATTTGCTTTGCAGACTAGTCAAAAACAAGTTTGGAGAATACGAGAAGAAAAAAATGACGAGTAATCAACTCTGTCCTTTTTTTTTTTAAAGCCTATGGCATGCATTCTCCGGGTATGTTGACCAAGTAGTTTGCTCCTTTTGGGGGACAAACTTGTTGACACTGACATAATTAAATTTTACACAAGTTATAAAAATTTGCCATTATTTTCTGTATCCAAATAAGGAAAAGGGGGGTAGTATTAAACATTTTTTGATGATATGACATGGAATGACTGTTATGTGTAAGTAATATTTGATTGATGACACTTGGATTTTGAATTTATTCTTACAAATGTAGTTCTGTTCCGAGTGCTGACGGTGCAATACCCTGAATTGCTGCCTAATACGGAAAACGTAAGTTGAGATCACTATTAAAGAAAAAGTTAGTAAAGTTTTTAATGTCAGGTATTATTCACATCTCTGTTATCATTTTGTTTTGTTTATGTTTTGTTGTTGTGTATTGTAAAGTGTGAATGAATCCATGTATGCTCTAAAAAAATTCAGTTTCAATTCATTTATTCATTTCATTTTCATAAAAAAGACAGCAAAAGCAAATACACATGCAAGTATATATACATACAAAGGCAGAGAATGTTCGGTTGATACAATAACTTCAAATGAAATAGGAGAACATTTAGGTAAAGCCCATGGTGGCCTTTTAAGTTCCACTGAATATTATGATTTATATTACTGAGTATATATATATATCTAAATATAAAGACAAAAAATGACAAAAACATGTGTGAAATAATGTAAAATTGGAGGGGGTCGAAAGGGTGTAAATGTGTTCAACAATAGCATTGAATTTTGATGCATAGTCATTCTGACTTTTCCTCATATTGAGCTGTATTGCACAACCAACAGTTGAGTCATCAATACAATATGGACATAATGGTTAAAACAATAAATAAAAACATGGGGGGGGGGGGGGAGGCAAATGTTAAAAATGATACCAAATTCTGTAACAATAGATTCAATCCATCCCGAAAAATAGGAAAATGTGAGATTTTACATCCTTCTCTTTGGTCTTCTTTCTTCCCTGTTCAAATCTAGTGAACACACCCCCCAAAAAACATTAACTATTAATGATATGGCATCTTTGTTGTGGGGAATCAACAGTTATACAGTATATTTTACCATATCAATATGTGATGATAATAATCAGGTAATCCTGAGAGATATTGTTAACCAAACTGTAGCTTCTGAGCTTTCTTGGGGCAGATTTTGAAAATAACTATCATATTCGTTTTTGCATTGACAAGATGTAACCAGGATAATTGATAGTATGGAAATCCTTAATCTTGTTTTGCAAAATGACAGAAAAAAGATGTATGGATCACCTCTCCTGGTGGAACTAGACTGCAACAGTGGAGAGATCAGGTTAGTAGCGATGGCCTCTTGGATCTGACCTTTGAACTCTCGGAAGAACCGGAGCTTGGGAACTGGATGATACATGTGCAGGTGCATGGTGGGAGGACGACCGTCCAAGAGTTCAAAGTTCAGGAGTATGGTAAGAAATACATTTTTACTGTTCACCATTTATGTGTACACCTGCAAACACCTGTTGCCTTGACCTCTAGGTCAGCTCTCGATGTGGGTTTGACCATAGTCAGGGCTGTTTCACACATTGATTGGTTTAATTGGCTCAATAGCTTATGACTGAGAGCCCCCCCCCCCAAAAAAAAAAAAAAAATAATAATAATAATAATATAATAATAATAATTATAATAACAAAATAAAAAAAATTATAAAAAAAAATTAAAAAAAAAAAAAAAATTAAATAACAAAATCAAAATGAGAAGAAAAAAAAACGAAAGTAGGAGATGCTTGAGTCAGAAAAGGAAATATCTTGGCTAGGTTTTTTTAGCAATTGCTACCAAGCTTGGCATGGACCTTTAATATTTTGTTTTTTAGGGTACAATCAAGAATCCATGCTGGTTTATTCGTCAAGATTACGTGAGTTTTCGCGTCTGCTCTTCTGATTTTTTCAGGAATGTAGTGAACGACAAATGATTGATATGTGTGTTTGAGAGGTATTTGTTTTACATCTGTCTATCATTTATTTGTAGTACTGCCCAAGTTTGAAGTTTCGATCAAAACTCCATCTTACTTGTTCCTGGGTGATCCAGGACCATTCACAGTGACAATTTGTGCCAAGTAAGTCCTCATTCTAGCAGATGTTACATCGATTTTCATTTCATTCAATTTTGTAACACTGATGTATGTTTATTTTGTCACACTGTATGAATGGATTGACCCTTTTGTAAGTCCATTAAAGGTACTTTATTAACTGGTCAGTCACGCCTCCAAACGGACCTATCTCAGGGAACTTAAAAATGCTGACTTGATTGGAGGAGCCTGCACTTTTTGACTGCTTTTAAATAGAAATGTGGTGGTTGTATTAACCGTAATAGAGTATATTCATAGAGTAACTGCGCAATGTAATGCATAGAGTACCGTAACTGCGCTATGTAACAAAAGTAAAATCCTTTGTTGTCTTTAAATGCTCTTCTTAAGTACAGATAAATTATACAAAAATAGAAGGATTTTCATTTCTGTAAACAAAGTAATCCCTTTGCTTGTTACTTTTTTATTATTTCCCCTGAAATTCCCCTGTAATCTTTTTTTTGGGTCAAAAATATAACTAAAAAATGTTTGCACTTGTAGACGAAATGACTTCACTTGATATCTACATTGCAACTAATTTATTCAAACTTAGGATCTACGGGACAGTCTGTTATAAACAATTACGGTTTTACATGTAAGTATACAATGGATACTCGGTTACCAAATGTGTGACAAGACCAATAGAAAATTGTTTGTTTTGTCAACAGGTATACATACGGTCAGCCAGTACGGGGGCGCATATCTGCAATAATTGCTTTAGAGAGTACATATCACTCAAGCGCCAGGGAAACCATACACGTTGTTGATGAGGTGAGTTGACATTTAAAACAAAACAAAATCTGCTTCACCTCACTGTTCTTGCCTGTGTCTCGGCACATCGTTATTCACCACCACCCTCAAATAGTCAAGGTAGGTGGCGAGTAGCAATGTAATGACGTATAGGTTAGTACAGCAAAGTGAAACGGATAAGATGTTTACTACAGAACATCATACTCGTAATGACACCTAAGAGCAACATGTTGGTGGCAGGACTCAACGGAAAAGTTTGCTTCCTGAATAAAAGGAAAATGGAATCCAAAGCGTTTCCTTGCCTCATTTTAGGCGTACCAGGTGGCAGTGTTATTATGTTCTGATGTAAAATGACCTTTGCCCTCTGCGGGCAGTGTTGTACTCTGCATAGGCCTCTTTAAGCTGCTGGTCAGGTCACAGGGTCAGGTCACAGAATCAACAAAGAATATGCTATCTTCATCATAAAGTGACTGATCTTTTATGCTTATAGTGGGGTGAAATCAGTTCCCTTTTAGTATGTCATTGTGACACATGGTGTGGGGGGACGAGAGAATGATGAGAATTCTTCAGGAATATAGTTTAAGTTTGTGTACTCTTTGATGCTTTGAATTAGAGCCATCTACGGCCGGTACACATATTTTGGCCTACTTAGTATCAGTTGGTCACAACATGACACACATTCTTTCATTTCATGCTGCCTGTCAAAGTTGTATTTGCCATATTGTGCCATAACAGAATCGTGCTAGCCAAACTATGCACATTTATATAGATAACTCTGCTCTCGATCCCACCGCTGCCACCGATTATGATCATAAATAATTGTTGAGTTTATAATGTTTTTTTTGTTTTTTTGCTGGGGGGGGGGGGGTGCGTACTCTGTATTGATGCTTTGGCATGACCAACAATGGCTTGAAGAAGACAATCAATACTGCTTGCAGAGGGTTTACATCAGTTTACATCACAATCTTATATTCTTAAGTGCAGGATCATGAAATATTAACAGAACATCAATCGGATACTCCACAAGATGTTTCCATCTTCCTATTTTAGCATTCATTATTTCCTAACCTCTGTAATGTACATATATGTTGTGTTTTATGTGAACATGGATAATTTTTACACTATCCATACTCTCTGCTATAATCTGTGTGCATTCAGTAATAAATGTTTTGATCTTTGTATGATAATTAGGAAGCTGATGAGGACACAGGATGCAAGGACATTACTTTTGAAGCCGATTTAACTGCACAAGTTATAAGAGGGCGGCATTTTGACCTTGAGCAGAACTTGCATGTCTTCGCTAACTTTACAGAAAGAGGCACAGGTAAGCAAACTAGCCCAGTAGCCATGTGTCATTTTATAGAAATCATGCATTTGAATAGATGGAAACGGGCCGATAGATCTTGCAATGAATGAAGACTTGCATCATTTGTTTTATATAATAAATCTCTGAGGTCCTTTCTGTATGATGATAACAACAACAGTGATCATCATATTCACTTTAATCGACACCATCTACTTCCTTTCTCATTCCCTAATCCCGAAAAACAGGCTGGCTTCAAATCCTTTCAATTCGTTGCCCCCTGCCAATAGAACAAACTTACTGCATTTCTGAGATTTGAAAGAGCTATTACTTCACCTGACTATACTTCAAAAAACATCTCAAAACATACAGCCTCTACAATTCTTCTTAATTTATCAGTAGACTAAGGGGCAGGACCTTGTATCCTCTGGAACAGGCACTGTATAAATCCAGTTATTAATTATTATCATTTTATGTGTAAAGATGGTAATGCTATTTAGCAGCTTCCCTCCGAGCTGTTTATCAATTACAGTCTATACAAGTACAATATGGATCCGGTTTTGTACAAGGAGTGAAAAACATTTCCTGATTTGAATTGCTCAGGAAGGAAACAGAAGTACATGGAGACCTTTTGTCCTGACTCAACACAGCTAATTTCCTCTGTTTGGAGCCGAAAGGGCCTTTAAATTTAAATACTTTCACACAGAGTTGATGCCTTTCTGGCTCTAAACAGACAATTTGTTCCATAAACACAGCTGTAGCTTGTGAAAAATGTCTACCCTTATTTGGAATCAGACCTTAGCCCCATAGTTTCCTGTATTGTTAAAAGCTACAGTGTGTCATTTTTATGATGATCTATTAAAACAAACAGAGTGAACATTTCTTTTGAAAAGCATTCAGAAAACAAGAAATGCAAAAGAGGTGATATTGTCTCATAGCTAGAGGTTACAACAACACTTTTCCCTGAAACTATTTAAAGTTTTTGTATTGTTAAAAGCTACAGTGTGTCATTTTTATGATGATCTATTAAAACAAACAGAGTGAACATTTCTTTTGAAAAGCATTCAGAAAACAAGAAATGCAAAAGAGGTGATATTGTCTCATAGCTAGAGGTTACAACAACACTTTTCCCTGAAACTATTTAAAGTTTTTCCATGCTAGTTCAAACAGAGCTATTCATGTACAAAGTTCAACCAGATACACTTTTAACCTGAAAAGGTTTAAGTTTTACTTTTAAAATGGAAGCAAATGTGAGCTAAGGTAGTCAAACTTAATATTTCTATAACATATTACTATAGATTTAAAGTATGTTTGGACCTCTCTGTGGAAAAAGTGCAAGAGACCGCAATCTATGCGAATGCTTGACTAGTTGACTAGGATGGTGGCCTCAAAAAAAAATCTGATGGTAAAATTTAAAATGAGAAAGTGTTTATTCATGTACATGGAGAATATTGCCATATTTTATTCTGTATAGTGTAGATTTTTTAGTGTAGGATATTATGTTGTACAGTGTAGATATCATGTTCTGCCTTATTTTATTTTGTAAATTGCAGGTGTGATTATGAATGCCACCAGCAGTGACACCAAAATAGAGCAATATGACGTCAAAGTGGAGATTCGAGGTCCTGATGTTTTCAAACCTTTATTACCATACCATGGAAAGGTAAGCTGGATGCTACCAAAAAATTGTTTTAACTTGCCTAAACAGGCAATTAAACATGAAATCCCTTTTTCATGCCAGCCCAAATTTTACTTGCCCCTTCTATATAATCCAGAGGCTCTTCTATTTTCTATCCAAATTAGGGATCGGTGTTAATTTACAAATGATCAATTGTTTTCTCTAATGAGGAGAATATTTTGCTAGTAAATTCATAGTCAATTTGCCATATGAAGCAAGTGATATTGATTCAAAATTTTGGTCGCCCCAGGATAATGGGCAGGTTGGTTTGTTGTGTTCTAGATATATGAATTAAGCCATGAGAATACTCAGAGACATGATTAAAGGGATCCGGTAACTTTGTCTCAGATTCTGAAACAAAATCCTGGATTTAGCTCATGCTGCAATGATAATTATAAACCTTTAGGTCAGTCAGGAACCCCATGACTTTTACAAGCCGATCGCTTGTCTGATTATCAAGATATTTATGATTGGAAAATTGAAACCAAATTTTGCATTTTCCTAACAGTTTTCATAACACTAAAGTCTATTGGGGAAAACGAGAATGGTAATACCGGTCACTCAAAGATTTTTACTTTTTCGAGGCACTTCTTGATCATTTTGAAGCGCGATTTTTTTAAGGGCTTCAATATCACAGACACTGATAACACGTAGGGCCGTGCATCTCAGATTTTACATTGTTAAACGATGCCTTTAAAGGGACTTGTTAACATTTTTTAGATGTGAGAAAATGGTGCTTAGGTAGTGACTTCGATGCTAGATGTACAATTAAAGACTCCATACGTTATAGTGTTGTCATGACTGAATTTCACATGGAATTATACTTTCAATAAGCCAATTTTTTTCTCCTTATTTCAGATTGTATTGACTCATCCAGATGGCTCACCAGCAGGTGTTCAGGGTGTGAGAGTTTCACGGCCCAACTACCCAGCTCAGCTCCTCGATACCCAACCCGATGGCACGGTCGACTTTGTGTTCGATACACCTCGCACATCTTCAACCACCTCATTCCGAATTACAGTAATTTTTGATTTGATTTGATTTGATTTTTTTTCCACTCAAATATCCACAAATTAAATGACGTATATAAACCATACAGTAATACAATATATAATAGAACAAATGAATTATACAAGTAACGAAATACTGACGAGTATGTCCGTAATCAAATAAGTTTACAGAGTACATTTAAGGTTGAGAATTAGACAAAATATTTTATACCGGTATTGCTTGATTTAACTGAGAGGGGGAAAAAGGGAATCTCAGAAAAGCAAGGCTTGTTGAGCGAGATTCCCAGTATAAATTAAATAATAGACCATCAACAACGTGCATCAAATTTTGCACATGTCTGCTCCCAGAGAGACCAGAGACTCCCCCGCCAAGGCCCATTCAGCGTACACCAGTAATGAACTAGGTTCGATGGCAATCCATGGGGTATTTTAAAGAGAAGGTTGGGTGCTGCATGGTGCTGGTGAAAAATAATTTGTGAGCTGTCCTGTTCTTTTTTTAATGTTAGATATGGAAACGTGCCCTGGAAATGATGGTTTATTGCTGTTTGGTCTACTACCAGCTTGTCTACTAGTACTACCCAATTGGTCTATTGCCATATGCCTAGGGGGGGGGGGGGGGGGGAGGGGGATATATTAGGACATACAGGGTGTGCCGCTCTAATGGGTGACTTTTTCACAAAAATTCCCTAAACATGGGTCCCACTAATAATGGGTAGCGGGGTTTCGAGGCTTGAGCGGCACACCCCGTCCAAACCAAATCTGATTACCCCCCCCCCCCCCCCCGGGCCATATGTTCTACACTCAGCCCATCTACTATCCACCTGGCCTAATATTAATTTAATCATGAATACTAATAATCATGAAATGATTATTAGACCTTATAGATGATAGAGACACGGGAATTAGACAAACTGGGATTTAGACTAAATGAACAATGGACCAAGTGGGTAGTACGCTAATTGGATATTAGACCAAATTTCTATTAGCCTAAATGATTAAGTGACATGTTCTTTATAATGGTTGATAGATGTACCTGTTTCTACTTCTGGATGAAGATATTCTTAACCCAAACAGTTAACCCATTACTCAATGTTTAAAAATCTTTGTTCCGATCAGGCCTTTGTATCACCCTATTTCCTTCATGATTCTGTTATAATAACGTCTCTTTCTTTTTATTACCCCTTATAAGGCTGAACTACTTGAGTCGCTTGTTTCTTCTATGCCCCATGGTGACCCGATCCGAATGATGCCACGGGAGACATCCGAGTCCAAGGAAGTCAATGCTTGGTACTCACCAAGTGGCTCCTTTCTGCAAATCTCTGATATCGAAGGAACAGTATCTATCAGTCAGATTGTTCCTGTCCAACTGGAATTCACCTTGCCCCGGAATGAAACACAGATTGAGTTCTTCTATAGGGTAAAGTAGTCAAAACCTGTACAAACATTTAAAAATAAGTAATTATCAGACATGTACTATCTGTAATCCACTATTATCAAATGGAGCTGCATGTACTGCATGTACATTGAATACGAGGGAAATGGATGAGAGTATGTGGTTTAAATGGGTCATCTTCTGAGTATTTACCTTGACTTATAACTAATGCTGGGCTCAATTAACACACAGGCACCCAAATTCTCAGTCCTGACCCCAACAATTTCAAAAAATGTACACAATGCTCATGCATACAGATTCTATTTTTTTAAATAATCCAGACCCCTTCGAATAATGTTCATTTGGAGCCCTGCTTAATGTACATGGAATGATTGGTGGCTAGATTGTTTCTTCAATGCCTACTGTATATAGTGGAAAGCATGTATTTGCTTGCAGATAAGCTCCAAGGGACCTATGGCTTTAAAAAGACCAATCTGAGGGTCTGGGAGATGGATGCCTCTAATTAAATGGCACAAGCCCATTTACTTTCTTTGTAGAATCAAACTACAACAACTCTACCTGTATATGGCCGGATTTCTGTTTGGACTTAGAGGAAAATTTGTCTGTCATGTTTAGTTTTAAAAATGACATTGTTACTATTATTTGTGACAAGTTCACAAGAACAAATCGGCACCTTCAACTGCACCTTGCAGTAAGGTAAAGGTCATTCCCGCGTGCTTTTTTTTACACGGATCTAGCTTGCTGCCTACGGAGTCGGCAAAAAAAAAAAATTGCCCCCAAAATAGGGGTGCGTCTTATACACAGGTGCGTCTTATACACGGAGATTTAAGGTATACACAAAACATGATGGATCCACTTCCCTAAAATCATTTATGTAATCTCTTTGCTTCTTTCCCTCTCATAGGTAATATCTGGAGGAAGAATCGTAGCTAACGGCAGTTACAGTTGGACCAAGGATGGCCAGACCACAACTCAAGGAGAACTGCCAGCTGTTGTTTATTCTGAGCTCGTCTCTCAAATTGCGGCTTCTACTTCGGCCTCCTCGCGAGCTAGACGACAACTCCGGCGACATTTCTGGCCTCCCCACCGAAATGGTCATGGTAGGTGTAAGGACTGATGATAATTATCTTCTCAATAATGATTATGATAATTGTTTATCTTTAAGCATTTTTATAGCAAACTGATCAGGGCCCTGTTGAAGAAAACTTACCATTGATGGTCACATTGCCATCAATATTAAAGGGATCTGGTATCTTTGTCTCAGATTTTGAAACAAAATCCTGCATTTAGCTCATGCTGCAATGATAATTATAAACCTTTAGGTCAGTCAGGAACCCCATGACTTTAACAAGCTGATCGCCTGTCTGATTATCAAGATATTTATGATTGGAAATCGAAAATAAAAATTTCTGTTTTCCTAACGGTTTTCATAACACTACAGTCTATTGGGGAAATGAGTATGGTAAAACCGGTCACTCAAAGATTTTTACTTTTTTGAGGCAATTTTTGATCATATTGAAGCGCAATTTTTGTTAGGGCTTCAATATTACATCATATCAAAGACACATATCAAAGGCACGTAGGGCCGTGCATCTCAGATTAAACATTGTTAAACGATGCCTTTAACTACCATGGCAACATCACTCAACAGCCAATCATATGCGGATTAGCACTTGAACCTAATGATCGGGGTAATAATTACTACAAATGTATTGCGCTGAGAAACGTAGTATAAAGCGTTGTACAATTGTGACTGTTAATAGCTTTATTTTTCAGCTTTTTTTATGACAGTGCTACATGTGATGTGTATTTTTTGTGTTCCCATATAAAGTGATCATGTTTAGTTTATAAGAGGTTTACCTTTCTTTAATATTTTGTCTTTAGAAACGATTGAGCCTGAGTTGCAAGACTATGCGACCAATGGTACAAGGGCCAGCACTGTCTTTTCCTTTGACGCTGTCACCGAGATGTCGCCAAAAAGCCAAATCCTTGTCTATTACATCCGTAATGATACGGAGGTGGTCAGTGCAAGCACTCATTTCAAAATGGCTTCTGCTTTCAAAAATCAGGTAGAACTATCGTTATGCTTCCTCGAACTTCTTACTACAAAACTCAATCACTCTTATTAATTCCCCACTGTACTACTTGTAGCTACTTCCACCCTCTATATAGCAAACAATGCATAATCGGTGACCATTGGTCCCCCATGATCCTTTTTTTCTTATGTTAATTGAGAGCTTATTTGATAAGATAACCACCTATCAGTGACCATGGAGGGAGGTCTAATCCCTCCAGGCCAAACTAGTGTGGTGGGGCTTTAAAATGCAATCTAAGGCTTTGAATTAGTTGGAAAGGAATGCAGACCAATAATAAGAGAGTTACATGTATGAATGTTTGAAATATGGGATTACTAAGTCTATGCGATCCTCAAATTGCCAATTTGGTCAGTCGGGATTGTGATGTATAGTCACTGAAAACTCTTACATTGTTCTTTTATTTTTCTCCTATTAAAGTGCTTTCTCCCTGAGGGCAATTCTCAAAATATATTATGGATAGCATATTATTTATAGGTCATCTTATAAGAAAGACCCTCCTGATTATACATTTTGACAAAATTGATAATTTAGTCATCTTGTGTGTTAGAACAAATAAGAAAGTTGTCCAGCATTACATCACAGTGACATGATTGAATCAGCCAATTTGAAGTGCCCATTCAAATAGTGATTACAACTTTCATAAATTCATATCTTCCTGTTTGTTCGTTCAATTTCGTTCAAACTTTTACCGGTCTGCTTCTCTGACTTTTCTGCTTTCTTTCAGAGTAGTTGTCTATTAAGGTTGGCTAATATTTCAAACAATGGACATTCTTTATTGCTAAAATCATTTGTTTATCAAAGAAAAGTTGGATACAGAGAATAAAACAAGTAGATGAACAATGGTGTGAACGTTGGAGACATCAACGACAAAATCTGACACAGAAGTGATGAAAACTATAACTCATGACATTCGCAAACTTTTCGTGCATGTTAAAGCTTTGGGTTGTACGGCAGCTTTAATCCTGCTCTGGAATTCAGACCGATCATGTAGTCACAACCACCAACCTGTCTTGTGTTCATTTCAGGTATCGTTGCAGTTCCTTGATGGGAGGGAGATAAGACCGGGCCAAACCGCTTCCATAGCTCTCAACGCACGACCTTCTTCACTGTGTGCTTTGGGTGTGGTGGATAAGAGTGTGCACATCATGGGTGGGAACAATCAGCTTTCTAAAGCAAAGGTAAGCAGCATCATCATTTAGCATCTGTTTTTTCCACGATGTGGGGTTGAACTTTTTATTTCCTTATGGCTTTTTTTCCAAGCTTTCCTGTCTCTACCTGAATGAGGCCTGGGACCCGTTTCACAAAGCCTTTTTTTTTAATGACAAATGACAAAAAACAGTGTCAAATCTGCTGACTTCTTTTAGCGTCTCTTTTTCGATCTTACAAGGTCTCCCATAGGGTTTTGAGCCACCAGCCTGGAAGTTTATTGCTGTTTGAATCCAATGACTGTCCTCTCTCCTAACTGCATAGCCATACCATCTCTAATATTACACTCTTCTTATGATTTAGAATTCTATACATTTTTTGAGAGCAATATTCAGAAAATTGCTTGGAACTTGTGGAAGGGCTACGTAGCTATCAGTGTCTAATGAAATTGCACAAGGCAATGCTACATGACTAAGCGTGAGGGCTTTCTTGACTAGAACTTTTGATTTGATATTAGTATTTACCGGTACTCTTTTTTTATACAAGTGTATGTTATTTCAATTTTTGATATTATTACTTCCACTACTTTACTACTACTACTACGACTTCTATTTCAACTACTTCTAAAACAGCAACTACACTTCTTCTGTGGTAATTGGTATTTGTGTTTTTACTGCAGGTGCTGAATCCCTTGAGTGGCCTGAATGTTGTCGAAGGATCACATGATTTAAGCTGCCCAGATCACTCATCTTCTTCGTTCTCAAGCAGGCATGTGGACAGCGCTGAAGGCTTCAGGGTAAGTTACATCCTTCAATTTTATTTTATTGTATGGAATGTTTTTAAATGGGCCACATGGGCATGTGCCCCTAAAGATTTGTGAAAAATGTTTCAGAAACAGAAATAGGAGAAAAAGACAGGGAAAAAAGGGAGGGTTGAAAGGGGACATAAAAATGAATTTTAAGTAAATGATTAGTAACCTCTCCTACACCCTCTCCCCAATGAATTATTGTATTGATTTGCATTTAATCCACCGAGCAAGACCGGTGCCCCCCTCTTCATATTGGTCCCTGCTATTAAAGCTACTACTGGCTTTATAGCATTATACATGTTAGGTTTATGGTTGCATTGGGATCCCAAATCCCCAAAACAGGCTGGCTTGTGAATCTTTGCTATGACGATTCTTCTACCCACTTTCAGACTGCTGGTGTAGGTGTCCATACTGATCTCAAGTTGGAAACCAGACCCTGCTGGGAAAGGAGAAGCACATGCCGTAAGTGTTTCTCAAGGTTGCTAACAATTTTGTCTGGAAAGTTTGGATAAATAGAAAAGAGTTCCATAACACATCCAAATTTTATTTAGTTAGATCTGTATCTTTCGACTTTTATTTGCGGATTTACTTACCTATCTTACTCACTTATCTTACTCACTTATTCATTTATCTAAGAATGTATATATTATGGTTTTTACCCATTACCTACAGGGAACCGTTTGGTGGCTGTTGTAGTCAAAAACCTATGGGAAGTGAGAAATTTAGTATTCAATTTGCTATAATGGAAATAAATCAGAAATGGAACAAAAAACTAAGGAGATGTCAATATTTACTGGTACTAATCTAATAGGCAGTGTTGAGTGTTTGTATTCATATTTACTTTGATCTTGTTCTGTTACAAAATATGGCGATCAAGCTTTTTCATTAAATGCCCCTATCCTTTGGAATAAATTACCAGCGCATATTCATAATACTCATTCTCTTGACCAGTTTAAGTCCTTACTGAAAATGCACCTGTTTAATTCGTGAATGCTATTATGCAGTTGTGAGTCGGTCAAAGGAGGTGCACACCATCTTATTCTTTGTTTGATATTTTGTTTGATCTCATGTTTGACCTTGTGTTTGATCTCATTTTTAGGTGATACGTACGTAGACGTATCACCTTTTGATTTCGTCAAGATTTTTATTATTTATTTATTTATTTATTTATTTATTATTATTCTTCCTCGAATTTGTTCGCAGGATATCTCAAGACTGAATAAAGCCATTATCATGAAACTTGCCATGATGATAGATCTTAGTCTAACTTAGAACTGCGTGACTTTTCAAAGACTCAAAATTATCGTGACGTCATCCAGGCGCCATTTTGTGAAAATAAACTTATGATCATATCTTCATAACGGAAAGGAATTTTTCATTCATATTTATCAGGAAGAAGATCAATATCCATCCGGTCAATTTCAGATCAATAAACGTGCGCAAATGCGCGCGTGCGCGTTCGTACGCGCGTTTACGCGCGCGAAAAAAATTAAAATGCTCCAAATCATCCCAAATTTTTTTTGCATACGTTTCAGGCCATATGGAGCATTTGACAAAAAATCACGCAAACGCGCATGCGCGCGCGTTTTTTGCGCGTACTAGCATTTTGCAACATAGAATCGCCGAATGTTCTCTATCATCATATTTGGTACATCTTTCCAAGCATTTTGATAACTTGTTCACCTTTTAATAACGCAATGAGCGTCCGTCAAAGTTGACAGCGCGCGCGGACCTGCGTTATCTTTATCCACAATACATGAGCAAAAACATGTCTATACAAAATTCTTTGTAACTCTTCAGAATAGATAGAAACTCCCAATATTTTTTCATATTTAGATAGGTTATAAGTTGGAGATATGATTTCATGTCTCATTTGACCCTCAATTAACTCATAACGTCATCATAATGGCCTCCAAACTCAAAATTTCAATTTGCATATTATGACGTCAGCATAATTTTGGAAAATTGATTGTATCTCTGTAAATATTGATTTATTTTCTTTTAAATTTTGATATGTTCTACCTGAGACAATTTTCTACAAATAAATAATCCACAATTTTCCATTTTGACAAAGGCATCATGGCGTATTTTTGCAATTAAAGAAGGCATGTCAATTTTTCACATTTTACGTGTATTCTCTATGGGACATGACTTTTTCTCAAAACTGGATTCTACACTCCTGTCTTTCGCGAGCAAAATCTCTGTTGTTTTAGCTTCGTTTTCGCTGAACTTCGGATATGTTGTAGCTGAGACAATGAGCTATCACAAGTGCGCCCTTTATATTTCGATTAGATGCCGGGATCATGCTCATATTTCACTTGCAAAGTAGGATTTCAGAATTCCATTTCCCGTTTACGTGTAATCGCTATGGGAAATGTTTTGGTATATCGGTAACGCACTTGACTTCCAATCTCGAGATCCCTGGTTCGAGTCCGGGTGTCTCCAACAATTTTTTTCTTCACTTTTTTTTCCTTTTGACCTTCACTGTACCATCTCCTTTGATTATTAAAACACGTAGAATCGCAAATAATGTCACAAACAACCCTTTTTACTTTATTATTACCCTATTTTCACTTAATCCATTACTTTTTGCGTGTAATCTCTATGGGAGATGACTTTTTCTCAAATCTGGAGTCTACATTCCTGTCTTTTGCGAGCAATATCGCCGTTATTTCTGCTTGGATTTTGTTGACTTTTGAGTAAGTTGTAGCTGAGACTATATGCTATCTAAATCAACCCTCATTTTTTCAATAAGATGTCATGATCGCGCTCATGATCATGATCATTATCATCATGATCATCATTATCATAATGATGATAATCATTTATCAATTACATTTTCATTTCTTTGAATAAGATAAAATCGTCAAAAGGTGTTCTTCATGATGTAAATTAGAGTCAAATGTGTAACTGGTTACTGCACAGGGTCAAAGGTCATATATTGTTTCAATCTATCTTCCCTAGATCCATGATGATCAAGGAGACACAATTTAATCTTGACATATGAATAGATCATAATGGGAGAAGCATATAAATGGGAGAAGCATTTTACAAAATAATATATCGTGTAATGCATTATTCGTTATGTAAACCATTATCATACGTATCACCTAATTCGTCTAAGTGACGAATTAAAGTCTAGTATTTATTTTGTGTCTGTATAGAAGAAATTATTATTATTCTTCCTCAATTTTGTTCGCAGGATATCTCAAGAATGGCAAAAGCCATTGTCATGAAAATTTCAATGATGATAGATCTTAGTCTAACTTAGAACTGCATGAATTTTCAAAGACACAAAATTATCGTGACGTCATCCAGGCGCCATTTTGTGAAAATCAACTTATGATCATATCTTCATAACGGAAACTAATTTTTCATTCATATTTATCATGAATAAGATCAATAACCTTCCGGTCAATTTCAGATCAAAAAACGTGCGCAAATCTGCGCGTACGCGTTTGTGCGCGCGTTTACGTGCGCGCAATTTTTTTAAATGCTCCAAATCATCCCAATTTTGTTTTGCATACGTTTTAAGCCATATGGAGCATTTAACAAAAAATCCCTAAAACGTGCATGCGCGCGCGTTTTTTGCGCGTTCTGGCATTTTGCAACAAAAAATCGCCAAATTTTATCTGTCATCATGTTTGGCACATTTTTCCAAGCATTTTGATACCATATTCATCTGTTTATCACTATTAATAACGGAATGAGCGTCCGTTCAAGATAAATATCCGTGCGCGCGAGCTCATGTATTACATAGTATATATATTGACAAAAACATACCTATAAAAAGTCCATTGGGATGAATAGGGACTGCCAAGTTTTTTTCATATTTTGATAGAGTATGAGTCAGAGATATGATTTCATAGCTCATTTGGCCATTAAATACATCTTGACGTCATCATAATGGCCTTGGAAGTCAAAATACGAAATTGCATATTATGACGTCATTATATTTATGGAAAATTTAGTGTATTTCTCAAATTATTGACTGATTTTCTTCCAAATTACGGTATCTAGTAGCTTAGGCAATTGCCTACAAGATCAATACACACTGCTTTTCATTTTATGGACGTTATCATAGTATAAAATTCAATTAAAGGCCACATGTCAGAATTTTCTCAATTTGCTTGTTATGTCTATAGAAGGTGAAATTCGTTCAAATCTTGAATCTACATGACATTGATCTTTGAGCACTATCTAGCTTATTTGTGCTCTATGTTCTCCCACATTGTAAAACGATGTAGCTAAGAAAATTATCTACAAGAATGACGTACATTATTTATCATTTTGATGACATCATCATAGTGCAAATTTCAATTAAAAGCGACATGTCAGAATTGTCTTAGTTTGCGTGTTAGGCGACTTTTTCTGAAATCCTGATTCTACAAATCTGTATCGAATACCTGAAGGGGGCGCTATACCACTCTTAATCATGGTATTTATCGTATTTATGATCATTATCATTAGATCATCATCGGCACACTTTCATGATAACAAAATAGCACGTATCACCTAATTCGTCAAAGTGACGAATTAAAGTCTAGTTAGGTGATACGTACGTAGACGTATCACCTTTTGATTTCGTCAAGATTTTTATTATTTATTTATTTATTTATTTATTTATTATTATTCTTCCTCGAATTTGTTCGCAGGATATCTCAAGACTGAATAAAGCCATTATCATGAAACTTGCCATGATGATAGATCTTAGTCTAACTTAGAACTGCGTGACTTTTCAAAGACTCAAAATTATCGTGACGTCATCCAGGCGCCATTTTGTGAAAATAAACTTATGATCATATCTTCATAACGGAAAGGAATTTTTCATTCATATTTATCAGGAAGAAGATCAATATCCATCCGGTCAATTTCAGATCAATAAACGTGCGCAAATGCGCGCGTGCGCGTTCGTACGCGCGTTTACGCGCGCGAAAAAAATTAAAATGCTCCAAATCATCCCAAATTTTTTTTGCATACGTTTCAGGCCATATGGAGCATTTGACAAAAAATCACGCAAACGCGCATGCGCGCGCGTTTTTTGCGCGTACTAGCATTTTGCAACATAGAATCGCCGAATGTTCTCTATCATCATATTTGGTACATCTTTCCAAGCATTTTGATAACTTGTTCACCTTTTAATAACGCAATGAGCGTCCGTCAAAGTTGACAGCGCGCGCGGACCTGCGTTATCTTTATCCACAATACATGAGCAAAAACATGTCTATACAAAATTCTTTGTAACTCTTCAGAATAGATAGAAACTCCCAATATTTTTTCATATTTAGATAGGTTATAAGATGGAGATATGATTTCATGTCTCATTTGACCCTCAATTAACTCATAACGTCATCATAATGGCCTCCAAACTCAAAATTTCAATTTGCATATTATGACGTCAGCATAATTTTGGAAAATTGATTGTATCTCTGTAAATATTGATTGATTTTCTTTTAAATTTTGATATGTTCTACCTGAGACAATTTTCTACAAATAAATAATCCACAATTTTCCATTTTGACAAAGGCATCATGGCGTATTTTTGCAATTAAAGAAGGCATGTCAATTTTTCACATTTTACGTGTATTCTCTATGGGACATGACTTTTTCTCAAAACTGGATTCTACACTCCTGTCTTTCGCGAGCAAAATCTCTGTTGTTTTAGCTTCGTTTTCGCTGAACTTCGGATATGTTGTAGCTGAGACAATGAGCTATCACAAGTGCGCCCTTTAATTTTCGATTAGATGCCGGGATCATGCTCATATTTCACTTGCAAAGTAGGATTTCAGAATTCCATTTCCCGTTTACGTGTAATCGCTATGGGAAATGTTTTGGTATATCGGTAACGCACTTGACTTCCAATCTCGAGATCCCTGGTTCGAGTCCGGGTGTCTCCAACAATTTTTTTCTTCACTTTTTTTTCCTTTTGACCTTCACTGTACCATCTCCTTTGATTATTAAAACACGTAGAATCGCAAATAATGTCACAAACAACCCTTTTTACTTTATTATTACCCTATTTTCACTTAATCCATTACTTTTTGCGTGTAATCTCTATGGGAGATGACTTTTTCTCAAATCTGGAGTCTACATTCCTGTCTTTTGCGAGCAATATCGCCGTTATTTCTGCTTGGATTTTGTTGACTTTTGAGTAAGTTGTAGCTGAGACTATATGCTATCTAAATCAACCCTCATTTTTTCAATAAGATGTCATGATCGCGCTCATGATCATGATCATTATCATCATGATCATCATTATCATAATGATGATAATCATTTATCAATTACATTTTCATTTCTTTGAATAAGATAAAATCGTCAAAAGGTGTTCTTCATGATGTAAATTAGAGTCAAATGTGTAACTGGTTACTGCACAGGGTCAAAGGTCATATATTGTTTCAATCTATCTTCCCTAGATCCATGATGATCAAGGAGACACAATTTAATCTTGACATATGAATAGATCATAATGGGAGAAGCATATAAATGGAAGAAGCATTTTACAAAATAATATATCGTGTAATGCATTATTCGTTATGTAAACCATTATCATACGTATCACCTAATTCGTCTAAGTGACGAATTAAAGTCTAGTATTTATTTTGTGTCTGTATAGAAGAAATTATTATTATTCTTCCTCAATTTTGTTCGCAGGATATCTCAAGAATGGCTGAAGCCATTGTCATGAAACTTTCTTTGAAGATCGATCTTAGTCCAACTTAGAACTGCGTGACTTTTCAGTGACGCCAGGGCATTGTGACGTCATCATGACGTCATTATATAAAATGTCATTAATGGTCGTATCTCAGCCATGCAATATCGATTTCAATTCAAATTTGGTATCAATCATGCTCAGGTCATGGGTCAGAAATTTAGCTCACGCAAATTTGTCTGCCCCCTCTAACGTGCGCGTACACGTGCGTCAAAAAGAAATTTAAGAAAAAAATGCTCAAAACTCCAAACCAAGTAATTTTGCATACGTTTCAGCCGATTTTGAGCGTTTCAAAAATGTCCGCGCGTGCCGGTCAGCGCGCGCGTATTTGCGTTTGTATCGCACGCGGATCGAATTTCTTCGTTCTTTTTGCTCGTTTTGGATTAACGATAATTTCATTAACAATCCCTGTAAATTTCAGTCAGTTTTGACTCAAATTGATGTAATATGCGTGCGTCAAAGATAACAACACGCGCGTGCGCACATTTCCAAGAAATTAAAAAAAAACATGCCTATGTTTAATTAGCCATAATATCTCAAAATGATATGTGGATAGAGTATGAGTTGTAGATATTATTTTCTACATCTTTTTGGCTAATCGGATTTTCCGACATCATCATATTGCTCGTTAAAGTTAAATCATTTAATTTCAATCAATTTTAATTGATTTCGTAATCAACGACAATGCACTTTTAACCATATATCATTTATCTTTATTAGAATCTCTCCTAAATTCTAATATGTAGTAGCTGAGGTTATGATCTAAGTTCCTTATACAACTTATTTTCTTTCTTGATGACGGAATCATGAAGGAAATTGTGGTCAAAGACGATGGGTCAAAATCAAACTTCCATTTTCGTCTCTTTTTTTACCATCCTGGCCTCGATGATTGATAAGCTCCTCTCCTTTCCGAATAATATCTTCAGCTATCTACAGTTCCATGCATTACTTTAAAAAAAATTCAACACTCCCTGCCTCTCATTTTTTTTTCTTTCTTACATTATTTCCTGTTAATTCAACTCTGGTCTAATTTACATTCCTTATACAGTGACAGTATATATCCATCCGATATTTAAATATTTTATTATAAAGCAACTAGCTAATGTCACGTCGACAACTAAAAAATAATTGCTAATGTATTCCCACATTTATTTTGACTTTTTATTTACGCCGGGACATCGTGACATCATACACTATTCACTTATCAATTACATTTTCATTTCTTTGAATGAGATAAAATCGTCCAAATGCGTTCTTCATGATGTAAATTAGAGTCAAGGGTGTAACTGGTTACTGTACAGGGTCAATAGTCATATATCGTCTCAATCTATCTTCCCTCGATCCATGATGATCAAGGAGACACAATTTAATCTTGACATATGGTTAGATCATAAAGGGAGAAGCATTTTATAAAAATAATATATCGTGTAATGCATTATTCGTTTTGTAAACCATTATCATACGTATCACCTAATTCGTCTAAGTGACGAATTAAAGTCTAGTATTTATTTTGTGTCTGTATAGAAGAAATTATTATTATTCTTCCTCAATTTTGTTCGCAGGATATCTCAAGAATGGCTAAAGCCATTATCATGAAACTTGCCATGATGATAGATCTTAGTCTAACTTAGAACTGCATGACTTTTCAAGGACTCAAAATTATCGTGACGTCATCCAGGCGCCATTTTGTAAAAATCAACTTATGATCATATCTTCATAACGGAAAGTAATTTTTCATTCATATTTATCATGAATAAGATCAATATCCTTCCGGTCAATTTCAGATCAAAAAACGTGCGCAAATCCGCGCGTACGCGTTCGTGCGCGCGTTTACGCGCGCGCACAAATTTAAAATGCTCAAAATCATTCCTAATTTTTTTTGCATACGTTTCAAGCCATATGGAGCATTTGACAAAAAATCACTCAAACGCGCATGCGCGCGCGTTTTTTGCGCGTTCTGGCATTTTGCAACATATAATCGCCAAATTTTCTTTGTCATCATGTTTGGCACATTCTTCCAAGCATTTTGATACCATGTTCACCTCTTTATCACTATTAATAACGGAATGAGCGTCCGTCCAAGATAAATATCCGCGCGCGCGAGGTCATGTATTACATAGCATATATGGGCAAAAATATGCCATAAAAAGTCCATTGGGATGAATAAGGACTGCCAATTTTTTTTTCATATTTTGATAGAGTATGAGTCGGAGATATGATTTCATAGCTCATTTGGCCATTAAATACATCTTGACGTCATCATAATGGCCTTGGAAGTCAAAATACAAAATTGCATATTATGACGTCATTATATTTTTTGAAAATTTAGTGTATTTCTCATAATATTGACTGATTTTCTTCCAAATTGCGGTATCTTGTAGTTGAGGCAATTGCTTTCAAGATAAATACACACTACTTTTTATTTCATTGACGTCATCATAGTAAAAATTGAATTAAAGGCCACATTTCAGAATTTTCTTAATTTGCGTGTTATGCCTAAGGAAGATGAATTTCGTTCACATCATGAATGTTTATGCCATTGATCTTTGAGCACTATCTAGCTTATTGGTATTCTATGTTCTCCAAAATTTTGATACGGTGTAGCTAATAAAATATCTACAATATTGACGTACATCATTTATCATTTCGATGACATCATCATAGTGAAAATTTCAATTAAAGGTGACATGTCAGAATTTTCTTAGTTTGCGTGTTAGGCGACTTTTTCTGAAATCCTGATTCTACAAATCTCTATCGAATACCTGAAGGGGGCGCTATACCACTCTTAATCATGGTCTTTATCGTATTTATGATCATTATCATTAGATCATCATCGGCACACTTTCATAACAAAATAGCACGTATCACCTAATTCGTCAAAGTGACGAATTAAAGTCTAGTTATTTTTGTTATTATATATGCATGATTTATTGAATAAAGAACATATTTATATTTTTTGTGTTTATTACAAGTTTTAGTTGGTAATTTTAAGTCAGACAATGGTGTGCTTAGAAACACCTGTATTAAGCGCCTAATAAATGTTATATATTATCATTATTTGATCTACATCAGCTCATTCCTTTCTCATTCCCAATTTCTGTAAAAACAGGCTGGCTTTAAATTAATTGATTCTTTGCGCCATGCGTATGGAACAAGCTTTCTGCATTTTTAAGAAATAGTACCTCACCTGCAATCTTCAAATATCAATTGAAAACATACCTCTGCAATTCTTTTTAATTTGTCCTTAGACTACAGTGCTCTGTATCCTTTGGAAAAATGTGCTATATAAATACAGTTATTTTTTTTTTCTTTCTTTCCATACAGCACCAGCATGTGTATACTTTCACGTGCCAAGAAGAGACTTTGATTTTAGAGGAGGTCTACCAGGTCCAATGCCCGAAGTTCAGCGTGGAGTTCAACATCAAATGGTTTTTGATTCTCCCGTAGCAATGGCGATAGATATTAATTTTGATGATCTGAATGAGGATGTACAACAGGCAGCCCCGCTTACAGAGCTGCGCAGCTACTTCCCCGAAACATGGCTCTGGGAACTCAAGAGACTAGGGTAGGTGATGATAAGGAATAATAACGGTAGCTTCTTTTGTAGCGCCGGTACATGTCTGTGATGGTTCTTGGGAGTGTTTCACATAGACTAAGATCGACTTAAAGTTGGACTTTAGCTATAGCAGGCCATTTATGCCACTGTTTTTCTCTCACCATAATCTCTCTCAATTATGATCTTTAGATAATATTTTTTCCTTCAATAATAAACTATAAAAAAAATGTAAATGCTGTAGATTTGTGACCATGATTTGTACGTCCCTTGAGAGACGAATACCAGTAAATGGTGAGAACAAACAGTGGCATGAATGGCCTGCCATAGTGAAGTCCAACTTAAAGTTGATCCTAGTCTATGCTCAGCATATCTTACTTAGGTAAACAATTGAAATTGCTTCTAAAAAGAAATGTTTTGAGACATGTTCTAAAGTTGTCAACAGTATCACAAGTTTTGATATATTCTGGCAATTTATTCCAAAGGGCTGCTTATGCAGCCTGCAAAGAGTGTGACCAATAAAACTTTGTATTTATTTGAGGAATAGTAAGGAGAGACTTTTTAGAAGACCTTAGGTTTCTAATGTTTCTCTCAGAAGCACCATTCAAAGGGATTGGGTATCTTTGCCTCAGATTCTAAACAAAATCCTGGATTTAGCTCATGCTGCAATCATAATTAAAAACCTCAGGTCAGTCAGGAATCCCATGACTTTGACAAGCCGATCGCCTGTCTGATTATCAAGATATTTGTGATTGGAAATCAAAATTTCAAAAACCGTTTTCACAATGGTTTTTATGACACTACAGTCTTTTGGGGAAAAAATGAGTATGGTAAAACCACTCACTCAAAGATCTTTACTTTTTTGAGACACTTCGTGATCATTTTGAAGCGCAATATTTTAGGGCTTCAATATTACACCATATCGCAGACGCTGATAACACATCCCCAGTCGTAAAAAAATAGGAAAAAAATAGGGGAAAAATAGGGGAAGAATAGTCCCGAAAATATATTTTTTTTCTATTTTTTCCCTATTTTTTTTAAAGGAAAAAATAGGGAAAAAATAGTTTTGGAAATAGGAAAAAAATAGGTTTGAAACAATTTTTTCTATTTTTTTCCAATTTTTTTCCTATTTTTCAGACCTGAAAATAGGAAAAAAATAGGGAAAAAATAGTGTAGAAAATGGTGAAGAAAATAGTAAAAAAATAGTGATAACTAGGTGCTAGTGGACAGTGAAAAATAGTGAGGAAATAGGAAAAAAATAGTGAGGAAATAGGAAAAAAATTAGTAAGAAAATAGGAAAAAAAATAGTAAGAAAATAGAGGAAAATAGGAAAAAAATAGTAAGGAAATAGGAAAAAAAATAGTAAGAAAATAGGAAAAAAATAGTAAGAAAATAGGGAAAAATAGTAAGAAAATAGGAAAAAAATAGTAAGAAAATAGGAAAAAAATAGTAAGAAAATAGGGGAAAATAGTAAGAAAATAGGAAAAAAATAGTAAGGAAATAGGAAAACAAATAGTAAGAAAATAGGAAAAAAAATAGTAAGAAAATAGGGAAAATAGTAAGAAAATAGGAAAAAAGTAGTAAGGAAATATGAAAAAAAATAGTAAATAAGTGAGGAAATCAGAAAAAAATAGTCAGGAAATAGGGGGGGGGGGATCACTCATCCTTTACTTTCATGGATTTCTCAAGCACTACCATCTCACACATCCAGTCAACGACTCTGTACATTCAATTAAATCATACAGTGCAAACTTGATATAAAGAGATCAGTTATACCTGAAATGACAAGGTAATTTAACAGCTTTTGGGGGTTAAGATTTCTTGGTTGCACATGACCTCATTGTCAAAAGTTTCCACTGTAGAATAGTCACCCTACTCCTACAGCTCTTTTCTCTGCATCGATGCACCTACTCAGTTTGTCAAATTCACTTCATCCTTTCAGTCCAATCCATTCAGTAGAACATTTAAAATAGTCAATGGGTATATGGAAAATGTTATACAGTCCACTCCTATTATAACGAACATGGATACACCAAGATTTTATTATCAGGCAATTCTCATCAGTCCCAATTTTAAACAAACCAATGTGTTCAGTAACTTGAGTATAACATGATTTCATTTTAACAAGGAAATTGGCTTGGTCCCGAGCACCTCGTTATAATGGCAGTGGACTGTAACAAACAAAAATAATAAAAGGGAATGTGTCAAATAAAATACATGTACTTTATTTTCGAGAGGTAAACACAATGACATGAGTTTAGTATAGTATGTATGTTCATATAAGCAAATAAATAAAAGAACTTAACTGATATTTACAATCTTTGGTTAAGTACTGTAGTGTACATGTTGTAGTAATAGAGTTGTTCATGGTTTGCTATGATTATACTCTAAAAAAAAAAACAAGACAAATGTGACTGCGTCTCCTATATGCCTCCGCCTTAAAAAAATATCATCCACCTAGAATGTAGCTTTCTATTTTTGTTCAAATAAAGTATTCAGGTGAGTTTCAGGACTATTACTGAGCCGATGTGGATATGCCAGGCGATCACAAGCTCTCTCCCTCACTAGTAACCAAATAAAGCAGTATTCTGGACATGAGAGTGTTGTTTTCTGTCTCTTTTATTACAATTTAATTGCAAAGTGCTCTTAATAATGTAATCACATTTTCAAACCTCAAGAAAATCATGACAAATAATTTTTTTTCCTCGTTATTTACAAAGATAACAAAATAAAATAAATCATATAACAGATTTTTCAACAATGCATGCATGCTCTATAGTACAGTTGACATGTTACATAATTTTCTCAATCTCAATTGAACTGTCAAAATCTTAATACAATCATCATAATCTAGAAACACTTACTACAAAATCAATGACATGTCATGTCATTGAGATATATATAAACAAGAAAATGACAGACTTACATGCTACTATTTTCAAATAGTTTTACAAAGTATAGGCCTACCATCATTACCATGTATCATAAGTAATGGTCTCATGGTCCTTTATCTTCACAATATGCAGGCCCTCATTGTGTACACATACATGTTGTACTTGCCTATGAATCTCAATGATAAAATGGAAACAAATACTAATGTAAAGGATACAGATGTTGGTCATGCTGTTCACAGGCATCGAATGGCACGTGGTTGTACGTTACATGTACATTGTAGCTTGATTAGTTTCAATGGATCTGTAAAGATATAAATGAAATGTGAGTTAGGGGTTAGAATAATCATGCATTGGTACATTTATGAACATGCAATTAATACTTAGTACAAGTATTTATGTATTTCATAATGAAAAATTCAAAGGCACAGAACATGTGTGTACAAAAGTATGATAGCAAAAAAGATGCCAGGCTGACGACGAACGGATGGTGAAACAACGGAGTCATCAAAGAGCTGTCAAGGTGCATGAAATGTAAACCACTCAGGTAGGCAATTAATTAGAGTTATTTTATTCTTAGATATATTGGGTGAACATACATAAAATAAAACATAAAACACAGAAAAGAAAATAGTAAAGGAACAATTTGTTGAAGAAAAAAATAAAAAGGAAAGAGAAAAATAATGTAGATCTAGGTAGAAATTGTGCCACCTGCAAATTATTGTTCTAGCATAATGATGAGGTAAACTACTCTAATATTTTGATGTCAGATCTTAACTAACAAACATGAAATAAATAAACCTAAAAAAATTATCAACAATAGATTTAGATTTCTACTTAGTAAGGACATACCTCGCAGACACATGCACTCTCGGACTTGGAAGACTTGCTCTTCTTCTTGCGTGGTACTTTAGCAGGTTGTGTTTTCTGATTCCTAGAAAAATAATTTGAGATACAATTTAGCCTAAAACCACATCAAAACATTATATCATGCAAGGATATATAATTGACAGACGTAGTAATGGTACAAAATCTGAAATTTCTACGTGGATTTATTGTAATCACGTTTGTTTACATTCACTCATTCACTAACAGACACTACACTGCACTTGGAGATTCACTAGGCCTACGTACACTTCACTCAGAAGTTTTGTAGTCTAAGTTACAACCTCAACACTACATGGGAATATTGATACGTAAAATAACATTCTATAGGCCTACTATGTCTATGAAATAGCATTATATTCAACAACAGACACAATAAAAATATATATATCATAATATAATTAAGTTTCAGAAATAAACGTACCTTTTCAGCTGTTTTCTGGGGCCAGTTCCGCTCGTCGATGTTCCGTCATTCGACAACAAACTCATTTCTCTACGAGTGGGACTAGTATTATATTTTGAACATTTGTCGGGCTCATTTTCTTGGGAAGAATCACTAAAATGGGATAAGGAGGCATCGGAGTATGAGGAGTCACTATCTCTTGATGAAATTTCATCGCTAGAATAATTGCTGGAAGACATTTTGGTGTGATTTGGAGACGTTTGATGAACGAAAATCAGCAAAAGTCCGATGCGCATAGCAGTGCCAGTGGGGAAAAAAAATAACGGGTAATTTTCAAATTACGTACTTGCGTACTGTCCTCTACGTTGAAACTTTGCACATAGAACGGGAATATCTCGATCGAATGCTTTTTTTTCTATTAATAAAGGAGATTTTTTTTTTTTGAAATTTCTATGTGTACATTTTCTTTTTACACATGGTTTATGTATGGTTATCTTTGAGTGCACTAGTCACTACAGTATAGTTTGTAAATAAAATCAAGAATATTAATAAAGGAACAAAATTGAAATTTCGTACATTTTCTTTTTACACATTGTTTATTTATGGTCATCTTTGAGCTCACTATTCAATATGTGACCCCACAGCTAAAAACCACCAATAAGTCGCAAAATGAACAACAGAGATAATGGCAGGAGAAGCGGGCTTTTTGAATAGGATGCCAGTCATAAACAATGAAAATATGCAAGTTTAGAAAATAGACAAAAAATATTTTACAAATTTGTATCATGTCATAAAAAATTTAAGTGCAAAAGATAGGAAGAAAATAGTACTCGCAAATAGGTAAAAAGAAGTCTGAAAAAGATAAAGGTGAAAAAATAGGGAAAAAATTGTCTGAAAAAGATGAAGGTGAAAAAATAGGGAAAAAATAGTTTGGTACTCGAGAATAGGAAAAAATAGAACTATTTTTTTCCTATTTTCTTTAAAAAAATAGGAATAAAATAGTCCACAAAAGTTGAAGGTAAAAAAAATGGGGGGAAAATTGTTTGTGCTTGAAAATAGGAAAAAAATAGGACTATTTTTTTCCTGTTTTCTTATAGGAAATAGGAAAAAAATAGTCTGAAAAAAAATATAGGTGAAAAAAATAGGGAAAAAATAGTTTGTACTTGGAAATGCAGCCTATTTTTTCCCTATTTCCTTCAAGAAAATAGGAAAAAAATAGGGCTTTTTTTTCCTATTTTCTTGAAGGAAATAGGGAAAAAATAGGCTGCATTTCCAGAAAATAGGGAAAAAATAGGAAAAAAATAGGGAAAAAATATATTTTCGCAACACACAAAACTACTAGGGATAGGGCCATGCATCTCAGATTTAACATTGTTGAACGATACCTTTAAGGCTTGTTCACATTTGATCCGGAAAACCACAGCAATTTTCTTGTAATGAGACAAGCATAAAGTTTTTTTGAAAGGTCGAGAGTCTCAACACTAAGCGTTTTCTTTCATGCTGTATTTCTCTCTGTCAGGTCTGATGGGCAAAGCGTGATAGAAGAAGCGATCCCACACACCATCACTGACTGGGTAGCTAACGCCTTCTGCCTCTCCTCTGAGCATGGTATAGGCGTGGCGGAGGCTGCATCCATCCGAGCTTTCCAGCCCTTCTTCCTCTCCTACACCCTTCCGTACTCCATCATTCGAGGGGAGAAGGTCCCTGTCAAGGTTACCATCTTCAACTACCTGAGCACCTGTTTGAACGTGAGTCAATACTTAAAATACTATGAGTGAACTCAAGTTGGGTGATATCGAGCAAAAATTTGCTGATGAAGTCGAGAGCTCGATACCGATATCAATATCGATAGCTTAACACCACTGTGCGCAATGTGACTTTGCCACACAGACTTGATTTCATGACAATGATTTAGAAATAGTACATCAAAACTAAAGATATCATGCAAAGCACAGAATAAATTTACACTTATTTCTCTGGTCTTATAAAATAACTCATTTTACACAAAAAAATGTATGGATCACATAGTAAAGGACCTGTTTCACATATTTTTATTTGATCGTCAGACAATAAATTAGTGTCGTTCGTGCGTTGACTGTTGTGCGGATACAACACTAACACCGAACTGGAAATCAACATTTGCTTTATCCCTAGGGGCTAGTGTTAGTGTATAGGACATTTATACGTAAAATATTAACACCAGCCACAAAGGTCGGTTCAGCAGACGACAATTTTGCAAAATCGATAACACTAGCTACCGGAAGTTGATGATATTCAGAGGTCAAAGCCTTAACACCAGCTGATTTCCATTTCGGTGTTTAGGGCTGGTGTTTGTGTTTATTTAACACTACTACCAGCCCTAAACACCCAACTTGAAATTACTCATTGTCACAGGAATTCTTATTGGAAAATGACAGTGTCGGCTCATGGTGATCCAAAATATGTAACATTTCTTTATAATTCTTGGGCACATTATTCTCACATTGCCCTCAAAGCCAGTCAATATTGTATTACTATTTTTATGATTATTGCTATTTATATTATTGGGATAGTTATTGTTGTTATTGGAACTCTACATATATTGCGTATTTGTACAATGTTTGACCAAAACAAATTTCCATGTATTCTTGTGAATTTGGATGAATAAAAAGAATTGAATTGAATTTCAGATGTAAATACACCTCTGTGGAATATTTAATTCATGGCGTTTAAATTATTATACATTTATTTCATTAATGCTACTTAGATCCAGCTCGCCATGACGGAGTCTTCCGATTTCAGGATTGAGGCCCGCCCTGCCTCGGAGGACATTGAAGTGTGTGGCAACTCTGCTGAGACACTAGAGTATGAGATCATACCTACGGAGCTGGGCGACCTGCCAATCAGAGGTATGTTCTAATATTTGCTCCGGCGACAATTTCTCTGCGCTCTATTTTGTCAAAGATGTAGGATTAGGGTTAGGGTTGCAAGTGTTTAAGGTGAGGTATAGGGTGAGGGCTAATTTAAGGTATAGTTTTCAGCCAAGGTTGAAGTTAAGTGTTATATTCGTGTGGGATGTGCCTGTAGAGATAATGTAAAGGGAATATGTGTCAGACAGCCAACCAGGTATCTTAGTGTATTTGCACCCTCTTAAATAATTTGTTCGAAATCGTGTACATTTATTTCATGATGAGACAAGTTTTTCAAGTTTGGTTCCCTGTTTCATTGTTCATCTTGCTACAGATATTATTCAATACTATAAACATATACGTGCATATTACACCACATAATTCAGTAATTAGTTCAGAATTTTTAAGAAGAAAGACTAGGTTTTCTTGGTATTTAGGCATTTTCAAGACTAAGTGCACTTTAATAGAGTGTTAATGTGATGGCAAAGATGCATAGTCTCCAGAATAACTACTCCGCTGTCTTACCATATATCTTATACATGTACCTAGTTGCCGCCAGTACCAAGCCAAGTGCTTACAAAGTTACTTTATCATCCCCAGAATGAGTTTTTGTATATTGTAATATTCCTAGTTACCGCCAGTACCAAGCCAAGTGCTTACGAAATTCCTTACCATCTCCAGAATGACTAACTCACTCTGTTGTTTGTATATTGTAATATTCCTAGTTACCGCCAGTACCCAGCCAAGTGCGTACAAAGTTACTTATTGTCTCTAGAATGACTTACTCACTCTGTTGTTTGTATTTTGTAATATTTCCAGTTACCGCCAGTACCCAGCCAAGTGCTTACAAAGTTATTTACCGTCTCCAGAATGACTAGCTCCCTCTGTTTTTTGTATATTGTAATATTCCTAGTTACCATCAGTACCAAGCCAAGTGCTTACAAAGTTACTTACCGTCTCCAGAATGACCAGCTCCCTCTGTTTTTTGTATATTGTAATATTCCTAGTTACCGCCAGTGCCATGCCAAGCACTGACCGTGGTGATACGCCTCCAGATGACATCACTTTCCCTGTCACGGATGCTCTTGAGGACACCATTTTGGTGGAGGTAAAATGTTTATCAGTCGTATTGTATCGCATTGTATTGGTTTATTGCGATAAAACAAATCTTCCAACATGCAGCTTACAGCTGAAGTTGTTCAATTTATAGAGTAAATAGTACAGGGCTTAAAAATACATTGATTACACATGAAAAGATGTTGAAAACTGAACAACTACTCTGTATATTTACATGCAATTTACAAGTTTCATCGTTGATATATACAATTGCCATTTGTTTTGTGTAAAGCAGAAATTTGAGAATTAATATTTCGCAGGTTTATTGCAACGATGACGAAGCAGGTAGCTCCCGAAGACTGCCAGAGATTGTCATTTCTAAACCATATCAAATATGAAGGTTCCTAGTTTGATACAAATAACGAAGAAATGGAGCCAAAAATCGAGGCTCAAGATTCAATCTTCTACTTGCATGAGCTTACTGTAATATCAGAAGCTTTGCAAAGTTTGGGACCGGTCCTGATCCACAAAAGTTTCATTTCCCATAATTATTTTCAATTTTGTAATAGTCTTTGAAGCAAATTAACTGTCATTAACATTTTCAAAACTATTATTCCACATAACGATATAATTTTTGTTCATTTGATAATAGTTCAAGATGCAAAAAAAAAACGTCAATGGCATTTAAAAAAAAAGTGAAAGACTCATATCGCCAGAGTTCTATTTTCAAAAGGTTGTCATGTACGTAGCCCACAAAATCAGGAATAGGTTTTTATAATGCATAGGGTATACATATTAAAGGGGGTGTAGCATGACGAGACTAGGTGTCTTTCCTGTGGCCTGACTCGGGGCCAATCAGGTATTCAAGTGCGTACAAGATATGCAAAACCGAAGCGTGAGGAGAACTTCTGTCTGTTTCGTGAACGCTATTCAAGTCCATTTGTTTGCGTGCAGTTGTCCAAAAGAAGTCGTAGATGGCGTTAACCAGTATTTGCCATATGCTACACCCCCTTTAATTAAATGATGCCATTTGTTCATTGTGATAAGTTATAAGTTTTGATAATGTATAGTGTATACATATTAATTAAATGATGCCATTTGTCTGTTATAAGCTACACTTAGTTTTCGGGCTCAAACATTTGAGAGGTCACAGCCAGAAACTCGCTAAGTGATGCGAGACTTATTGAAAAGCTTTGGAATCATGTCACAGCAGAGTGTGTGCTTGCAGAAGACTAAACAACACTCTTGACAAGCCAGAGAGTGTACAGATCAGCGCTTATGGTAATTAACATTTTCAAGAACTAATCAAAAATACCTGTGTCTTATAAAGTGCGTTACCATTAACTGACCAAAGTTCTTAAGGTCATCACTATTACCCTGGTCACTGGATCAATTACTATTCTGTACAATCTCCACTCCCTGGGGAACATTCTAGCTCATTGCCTTTTTACCGACTGCAATGATTGTGTTTTTGTACTTTCTTGTTTCAGCCTGAAGGTGCAGAGCGAGAGGAGACTTTCAGTGAATTGATCTGTCCAAGTGGTAAGCAACTTGTAGCTAGGGAAAAGTTGTGGTGCAACTCTGCCCTCTACAACATAAGACTTTATCCTTTTATTTCGTCCAAAAATGAATAACTCTCCTGATATGATCTTGAAATATAAGTGCTTTCATTATCCCTACCATTAACCAGCCATCATATCAAAGAGATTTTTCAATTTGGGATAGAATATATACTTACCGGATAAAAGATAAATCTGTCATACAAGACACATGGCACGATTTGTCCCTTGGTTGTTTTTTGTTTATGCAGGTGCCTTTTCAGTTAAATTTACATTGAGTAATTTGATTAAATGAATTATGTATTGCATAATAACCTGGTAAGATGTGTAAGGCATTGATTGAATTATCGGATACCTAATTAGTCAAATTCACAAGGGAGGTGTATTTTAATCCATGGTTTAAACCTCCGTAAGCGTAGTATTCCGTGTCTTCATGTTCAGTCACCAAAAAGACGCTTATGATTATATGCTTTTATCCTCTAGTTGTAATCCATGGTGGAGGTTTAAACAAACATGGTGAAGACCATGGTTTGATTTAAACCTCCTTTGTAAATTCTTGCCAATGAACCCTTTTTTCTATGATAATTAAAAGCACTGTCTGTAATTTGTAACCTTCAATGTTATTCAGATGAATTTGATAAATTATTAAAGAGTGGTAGTGACCTGTTTGATCTATTATTTGGTCAAAGCTAAACTACTTCTAAGAATACTGGTCATTTTAAGCTACTGTCATTTCTTCTCACATTAGATAATAGTGATGGGGTGTTTGAGCAGACCATCCCTCTTGGGCTACCCTCGGAAGTAGTTCCAGGATCTGCTCGTGGAAGGATACAGGTTATTGGTAAGTTTTGGTCTTATGTCTACTTCTTTAATAACCTCTGTAGTTTTTACTGCATGCCTATTCCCCCCCCCCCCCCCCCACCTCCCATCCTCAGTTGTCTCACTTCCCCGAGAATTAATTCTATCATATGACATACTACATAATGAATATATTTTAGGAGTTTCTCTTCACATTTATTTCATATTTATTGTGTAATTACTAGTCTCCTGTTCTTGTCTTTCTTTTCTTTTTTTCCTTCTGTCTCTCTCACTCCCACTATCACTCCCTCCTGCTTCTCTCTCTCTCTCTCTCTCTCTCTCCTTTCTCCTTTCTTTCTCTGTCTCTCTCTCTCCATCTCTTTTGCTCTGTCTCACTGCCTCTCCTTATTTCTCTCTTTCTCTCTCTCTCTCTCCTTTCTTTCCGTCTCTCTCTCCATATCTTTTTCTCTGTCTCACTGTCTCTCTCCTTCCTTCTTTCTCTGTCTGTCTCTCTCCTTCTTTCTTTCTTTCTTTCTCTATATCTCTCCATCTCTTTCTCTCTCTTTCCTCTGTCTTATTAAACCTACTTCTATTCTTCAGGCGACATCATGGGACCTGTGATGTCAAACCTGGACGGTCTGCTGAGGATGCCGTTTGGTTGTGGAGAGCAGAACATGATCTTCATGGCTCCTAACATCTATGTCATGCAGTACTTGTCTCGCACCGGCCAGCTTACATCAGAAATTAACGACAAGGCACTCAAGTTCATGACTAGTGGTAAGCATTCACGATATTCTTGAATTAAAAAAAAAGTTTTAAAAAAAACAATACAAAAAAAAAACCCAAATCGAAATTATCCTTTGAAAATAGGATGTGTCAATGTTAGCAATGTGATTGCTTCAAGTCCTAAGATGCCCCCACATGATTATAGCTTTAAACTGTTTGATTAAAGAAATGTTGTCAAAATAATCCTAAAACTGAATGTGCTATTAATTAACCCACACTGCAACAGCATTTTTCAAAGAGCAAATATATCTTACTACACTATTGCTGCTTGCATACTTTATTCACGATGACATAAAGTGCAAAAAGGATGATGCAAAATTTAGTTATAAAATAGTGATTTTACTTGTTTCACTATGCTTTGCCGTAGATAGAGGGTGGTTGGAAGGGGGGAAGACCTTTCATGAATCACATATCCTTGATTTTTTAACACATCATTGGATTTCAAATTTACAAAACAACAACATTCATAATCGGTTCAAATCAGCATCTTTTCAACCTACTTTGAATTCTCACGGGGGTGCACAATTCTTACCGTTTTGATTTGCAGGCTATCAGCGGGAGCTCACTTACCAGCTCAGGGACCACTCCTACAGTGCCTTCGGTCAGAGTGATGGGGAGGGAAGCACCTGGTTGACTGCTTTTGTTCTCAAGTGTTTCAGCCAGGCCCAAGACTTCATGGACATCGATGAGGACAACCTGGACATGACAAGACGCTGGCTGAGCAGGAACCCCCGAGACGAGAACGGCTGCATTGTGAAGAAAGGGCGTGTCATCCACAGGGAGATGCAGGTCTGTTACTATATGATGATGTTGATAATGATGACGATGACGACGATGATGCTGATGATGATGATGATGATGATGATGATGACGTTGATGATGTTGATGATGTTGATGACGAAGATGATGATGATGATGATGATGAAGATGATGATGATGATGATGATGATGATGACGATGATGATGTTGATGATGTTGATGATGTTGATGATGAAGATGATGATGGTGATGACGACGACGACGACGACGACGACGAGGATGATGATGGTGATGATGACAACGGTGATGATAATGATGTTACTGTGGGGAAATCCATGCACTTAATCAGCCGATTTTCCCCATGAAAAGTGTGAAATTGAATGAAGATGAAAATGAGATCATAGTTTGAAAATTTTAGCTACAAAAATAAGTATCAATTTATGCAAAGTATTTATCAAATATTAGTTATGAAATGTGGTTGAAAATGCTTCAAAATATGGATGAGATTGTACCAGAGTGGATATTAGAACCTTACAGCGTTTGGAGCCTGGCCACAAGGGACCTTGTGCTTCGCATACATCAGTTCATACTGCAATTTTATTTGATTGTTTGAGTTTTTGTTTGTGGACCACCCTTATTTAAAGGCCGTTTTCATTGTTGTTTGTTGTTGTTGATTTCTTTAGGGTTCTGTGTTAAGTCCAGTAACCATGACCGCCTTTGTCACCATAGCATTACTAGAGGCTGGCGCTAATCCTCAGGTAAGTATTCTTCAAATTGGCAATGATTACAAGAATAGACCAGTTTAAGGAAGTATACGTGGAAGTTAGTATCTTCCCACAACGTTCTAGAAATGGATGATATAATTCATGTGCTATGTATGTTTAATGCTCCAACAACAATTTATGAAATCAAGATTTTTCCTGGCATTCTATACGTTAACTTTCATATGAAGTATGAAGAAAATGAAGGATAACATAAAACTCCTCACACAATACCCCAGTTAACTAGTCTATTCAGAGTTCACCTTTACATTTGTTAAAAGTGTATGTAAACTTGCAACATCTCTTTGTAGAAGAGCAATATTTGCATATACATGTAGTAAATTGGTATTTGGTTAAATAGTATAGAGCATAGTGATATGTAATCCCTGATATGAAGAGCAACTCTCTTCTTCTTTTTTTTTCTTCTTTTTTGGGGGGGGAGATAATTGGTACAAAATGCATATCTTGATCAAAAAAGGGCAATATTCCCTTCACCCCCCCCCCCTTATTATTTTCATCTCTTCCTGATCTTGGGTCTCAGTGACACCAGGGGGGCGTTTCACAAAACTTGTCATCAGTGATAAATGACAGTTTTTGTTATAAGCTACTGAAATCCTTGCTTCTGATTGGTTATCAGCAGATTTGTCACTGATTTTAGTCATTTGTCATTGAAAAAAGGATTTGTGAAACGGGTCCCAGGAATGACATTGAGTATGAAAGTGATATAACAGTAAACACTTTTTAAAATGTACTCTCTAACTGAACACACATGCATATCTCAAACAAAAAAATGACAATTTTCCCTTTTTTCACCCACACCCTGGCAGGACACCCACATGGTGTCTAGTCTTAGCTGCATCAGGAATGGCATCGAGTCTGAAGGAGAGACCATGGACACCTACACTCTAGCTATCAGCAGCTATGCTCTGGGGTTGGGTGAAGAATATGCGACTCAGACCATTGCCCTCAACCACCTGAACACAAGGGCTGTCGGAGATGGTAAGCTATGTATGATCTCATAAGAAGAAAAAGAACTTGTCACATAATGATAATAAAAGTCACATTTGTATACCTCCCCTTTTTTTTAAAAACACGTAAATGAATGGCAGCCGAGTACATCAAAGGTCCTACACATATTCACTGAGCTCTGTGTAATCGAGATAGAGAAATTGGAAGTGTATTACTCCTACATGTACATCATCATTTTAATTCTAAAAACGCTGCAGTGTATACCGCTCAAATCTAAATGAGGCGAATTTCCAATGAGGCGTAATTTAGTCCTTTGACTGAACGTGTTCAGAAGATCATCAGTTATACTACGTAATACCAATTTCGGGATTACGTTAAATGAGACCCCGTTAGTGCGCATGCGCTAATCAGCAATTCGTTAGTCGCGTGTTATTTGAGCGAAAGGACACCTTTCTGGCTCAAGAAATCAGATATTATTATCCACGCAATCCCCGAATTTCAAAGGTAAAAAACGTTATTAGTTTCACCCTTGACATTTACTGATAACTTTGAGACGCTTATTTTTATAAATCACGCCCTTCTGAAGTGATATTTTATCGATAGAATTATAATGTCTCAAATGGATAGCAGCACTGCTGCGTTTCCTCCGTCCGCGCTTTCACCCCAGGCACCGCCTGGTAGCGCAGGAGCCACGGGCTCCGACGGAAAGAAAAAATTACCCAACTCCAGTGGCAAAGTCACGGCTGGCAAAGTCAGCAAGAGTGGGCCGGGGAAAGCTAAAAGTAAAACAAAGTCGGACTCGGAGCCAAAGGCAATGAGCGAGAAAAATCAGGAAGTGGAATCAACGGTTCCATTTTCTACTTTTAATAACAGACTTGATAAAATGGAAGCGCTTCTTGCGCGAGTGGTTGAGGCGTTGCCCGCTGCTAATGCTACGGCTGTCACCGGCAGCTCACACCCGTCTTCGTCTCGCGGCCCCACCGGGGCTACCGGCGGGGAAGACTATGTGCAACGGCCTCCGTTCGACCACGGGAATGACATACCGCCCACCGGGCTCATGGATTTTTACGGTCTACCCGCGGATGCAACCGAAGCGGGCGCCGTCTCGGAGGAAGAGAATTTTGACTCAGACATGCCTCAACCTGATAACTTTGTCATTCCCTCGATCGCCGCAAAATTCGCAATGGCGTCGGATATCGGAGATCCTATTGAGGAGGAGATAGCCCAATCTACTTCATATCTCATGACACACCAATTGGAGGGGAAAGTTCTTGATGAAGTTACCGCTAAATACCCAGCTCCAAGCAATTGTCAGATTATAGAGGCACCAAAGGTGAACCCTGTGATATGGGACAATCTACCTCCGATGACAAAAAGCCGTGACTTGAAGTTACAGCGAGTTCAGAAATCACTCACTCATGGCATCAATGCATTTGCCCGCTCCGTTTCTACGGGCGGTATAACTGATACACAGCAAGATGCTTTGGCGTTGATTTGTAACGCTAACTTTGAACTGAACTGCCTACGAAAAGAGCTCATAAAACCTGACTTGAATGCAAGGTTTACGCATCTGTGCAAACCTACTCTGCCAGCCACTAGACTTTTGTTTGGTGATGATCTCGGAAAGCAGGTGAAGGATCTCAAAGATCAGCAACTGGCAGCGGCCGGTGTAATGAGGGACAAATTCAAAAACCGCTTTGCTTCGCATCCCTATCGGGGACGTGGCTACAATGCACCGGGGCACCGCTGGGGCTCACAGAGCCAATCCCGCGGGTATAGCAGGCCAATGTCAGGATCGCAGGGTGGCCCTTTTTTAGGGTACAGACAGAACAGGAGGGGCAGACAGCCTCCGTACACTCAGTCTCAGGCTCCGAACCAGCCTCAAATGCAAGCGCCAGGTGCCCAGAGGGGTCCCATGGGCCAGCAGAGGAGGAAGTAGAACTCCCAAGACCAAGTCACGACAAGGTTAGTGATTCACAATCACACTTTGATCTCATTTTTAGCGAAAATGATATGACTAATGCTAGTACTAGTACTAGTAGTGTTCCCCCAGTGGGCGGTCGACTGAGGTATTTTAGGAAAAATTGGCAAGAGCTAACAACAGACCCTATTGTTATTAGGGCTGTCACGGGATACAAGATCGAGTTTGATGTAGAAAAAATTAAAGACTTGCCTGAATTAAAGGCTAAACGCTATAAACGGTGTGTCCAGGATGCTAAGCGCATTCAAGAAGAAATTACTAGCCTCCATCGTAAAAATGTTATTGAGCCCTGTGTACACGAAGAGGGTGAATTCATTTCTAATATTTTTACTACGCCTAAAAGAACTGGAGGTGTACGTCTAATCCTCGATCTTTCAGAATTGAATAAATGCATGATGTATAAGCATTTTAAGATGGATAATATCCACACTGTGCTGGATCTTGTATCCCCTGACAATTTTCTAGCCTCTGTCGACCTCAGAGATGCATATTATACAGTACCGATCCACCAAGAGGATAGGAAATACCTCAAATTCATTGTCAATGGTCAATGTTGGCAATTCAAAGCACTGCCCAATGGTCTCAGTACAGCACCAAGGCTATTCACAAAATTACTAAAGCCAGTTTTTTCTAAGCTCAGACAAGCTGGTCACATTGTGGTAGGATATTTGGATGACACAATCCTCATTGCAGAAAATGAGGAAAAGCTCAAAGCAGCTGTTAAGGCTACCACTGACATCCTTGCACAACTCGGGTTCATTATTCACCCTGAAAAATCGGTACTTACCCCCACCAAAGAGATAACGTTCCTTGGCTTTGTTCTGAATACAAATACTATGCAAATTAGGCTTCCAGAAAGCAAGGCGCTTGAAGTCGAACGCCTCTGTCAAGAGCTTATTGACACTAAGGAGCCCTCAATAAGGCATGTTGCCAGGGTTATTGGGAAGATCGTTTCAACTTTCCCAGCAGTCCAATATGGCCCTCTCTTCTATCGTACTTTAGAGAGAGACAAAATTGCAGCACTGAAAGCAAACAGAGGTCATTTCGATAGAAAAATGACACTTTCAAATGAAGCCAAGGGTGAGCTTCAATGGTGGGTCGAGCATGTAACGTCTTCATTTGCACCAATAAGAAGACCGAAACCAGACCTTGAGTTGCGCACGGACGCCAGTGGGGCTGGCTGGGGTGCTACTAACCTCCAATCATGCACAGGTGGTAGATGGAATGAAAAAGAATTGCACAAAGCTAGGCATTATGGCATTAACTACCTTGAAACAGTTGCTGCGGGGTTTGGCGTTCAATCCTTCTGTGCTGATATGGAAAATGTGCATGTACTACTCCGTGTTGATAATGTAACCGCAGTATCATACATTAACAATATGGGGGGCTGCAAGTCCGCAGATTGCAATGAGGCAGCCAAACACATTTGGGAATGGTGCATGAGTAGGAACATATGGCTATCAGCTGCCCATTTACCAGGGAAACTAAACACAGAGGCAGACCACATGTCTAGACACTTTAACCACAAGACAGAGTGGATGCTAAATACAGATGCATTCAAAGAAATTGCTCAGCAATTTGGTTCCCCAGAAATAGACCTATTTGCATCAAGATTAAACAAGCAAGTTGACAGATACATCTCATGGCTGCCTGACCCTGGAGCTGAAACAGTTGATGCTTTCACAATCGACTGGAAACCATTAAGTTTCTACGCTTTCCCACCCTTCTGCCTCATCGCAAAATGCTTACAAAAGATTAAATGCGATGATGCAACAGGCCTACTAGTAATTCCAAACTGGCCTACCCAACCATGGTTCCCTCTTTTGAAGAGTATGATTATTGGGGAGCCAATGTTCATAGCAAGAAGGCCAAACTTACTAGCACAGCCTATTACAAATGAGCCACACCCGCTTAATAATCAGCTTAATTTGCTTTGTTGCAGGTGCTGCGCCAGCCACTAGAAAGTAAAGGTTTGAGTGCAAGAGCTATCAATGTAATAGCAGCATCGTGGCGAGCATCAACGACAAAGAACTATGCCGTTTACATAAGGAAATGGAAGACATACTGCCATAAAAAAGGCTTGAACTATCTCCAGGCGAGATCCAATGATGTAATTGATTTTTTGTCAGAACTCTTTGAAAGTGAAAGAGCTAGTTATAGTGTTATAAATTCTGCACGCAGCGCCTTGTCTGCATTCCTAGTACTTGAGGATTCGTCATGTACAGTTGGAACTCATCCTCTTATTAGTCGTTTTTGTAAAGGAGCTTTTCAATTGCGCCCTCCAGCGCCAAGATATAAGGAGATTTGGGATGTGAACATAGTGTTTAATTATCTACGGAAGTGGGCACCAGCGAATTCGCTCACGCTAAAAACTCTGACTATGAAACTTTGCACACTTATGGCGCTGATATCGGCCCAGCGGGTCCAGTCACTGCACAGCTTGCATCTTGACTACATGAAAATCAAGGGCAGCGAAGTTCTGTTCATTTTTAAGGACCTCCTAAAGCAAACAAAACCGGGGAATGTGAACTTCAACTTGAAAATGAAGGCATATCCACCAGACAGGAGGTTATGTGTACTTAACTACTTGCGGCACTACTTGCGCAGAACGGAGAGCGTCAGGGGACAGGAACGCTATCTGTTCATCAGCTTCAAGAAACCGCACAAACGCGTTACTACGCAGACCATCGCCGGATGGGTGAAGGAAACGTTGACCTCAGCAGGGATCGACACAGACATCTACAAAGCTCATTCTACTAGAGCTGCATCAACTTCAGCAGCAAACAGTTCAAATCTGCCTATCAAGCATATACTAGCCCAGGCGGGCTGGTCTTCTGAACGGACGTTTCGAAACTATTACATGAAACCAGTAGAGAACAGGAACGTCAATTTCACAGGTGCAATCATGGCGTCCTAAAGGATGTCCTAGAATTGGCATCGCCTTTTAAGGTCAGCTGGTTTACCTTCTTAGCAGCATGCTTTAGCTTGCTATTCTATCAATAATGTATACTTTTGTGTTGAGCACTGGATCGGATGGCCTACTGAGCTTCGAAATCTCATTTAACGTAATCCCGAAATTGGTATTACGTAGTATAATTGAAAGATTAAACGAGAACTCGTTTGAGATTTAATCTCAATTATATAAGTAATATAAAATGAGGGTTTACGTCCCTCCCTTACCCTCCCTAGTGCTGGGTATTGTTATTAATTACAGTTCTCGTTATCTTTCTGCTTGGTTCAGTAGGCACATCCTCGGCTATCTACGAATATTGCTGATTAGCGCATGCGCACTAACGGGGTCTCATTTAACGTAAACCCTCATTTTATATTACTTATATAATTGAGATTAAATCTCAAACGAGTTCTCGTTTAATCTTTCAATTCACTTCAGTTGTGTTCAATTTGCAGAACCATCCATTCATTTATGTGTCCATCTAAATAAACATTTGGTTAAAAGATTGATTTGTGGAAGAACAATTTATTGATTGAAACTAAAAGGAATATTTCTGTGGTGCAGTTTGGTGGACGGTATCAAACAGAGCGAACTGTGCATCTCATTGGATTTTTTTTTTTTTAAACTTCCAGATGGCCAGAGATACTGGAGTAAGCCGGAGACCAGCCCTAGCACAGTAGTAGAAGAAGACGCCCACTGTCACGCTTTCTGCAGGGCCGACTCCTCTGCTGTGGAAATGACGTCTTACGTCCTTCTGGCGTTCATGAACCGGAATGCACCCACTGGTGACGTTCTGGTAGAGACCATGCCGATGGTGAAGTGGCTCAACACGCAGCGTAATGCCCTCGGTGGCTTCTCATCAACTCAGGTATGCATGATTGGATATTATATCCCACATCAAAATACAGTCAAACCTGCTATAGTGACCACCTGTCTACAAAGACCACCTGTCTACAACAAGCACATTTTTCGTTTCCCTTGAAAATGGTTTCTCATTGAAATACGTACTTAAGGAACCTGTCTACAAAGACCACTTTTTGTGTTTCCCTTGGGCGGTCGCTGTAGACAGGTTTGACTGTATACCAATGCAAGGATTGGCCACAGATACCTCCCATATGAAGAGCAAATGGATATTGCTTGACCTCAAACAGGGTTTATCCTGGATATTACAGTCACCGTTCAAAGCTATCAATAAAGGTCTTTCACAGTATCGCCACTACAGCCACTGTAGCAGTGCTTTTTATGGAATGTCCTTGTGTATTTTTGACAAAGGTGTGAGTTGATATCCATTTTCAGATGTATTTCTTATTACTTTACTTCTTTTTTTCATTTTTTAATGAGGGATATAAATCCAATACACCATGCAGTCTTTTCACATCAATGGTAAAATTATGGATCTACAATGACATGTAGTCCTATGCCAGTCACCTCAGAGAATCCATAATTTCAACCAGAGGCTCTCAGTGCGTGGTATATTTGATTATCGCATTGCGATATAACAACTCCATGTCCTTGGAAGTGACAGTGGATATCGTTACCCTGGCATGAGCTCTGTAAACCATGGCCCTCGGTGCATTCAATCAATAATTCCTACCGAGTACCCTTTTACCTCACCTGGGTTAAGTGTGGCAAAATGTGCATGTAGATTATTGTCTTGCCAAAGGACGTTAGTGATGTGGCAGGGACTTGAACCCCATACCTTGTGATCCATAGTCCGTAATTGACTTACCCACTAGACCATAACACCAATTTAGAAAATTTCCATTGGTTTGGGTAATTCTACCAACTTTAAAGTTTAAGCAGGCGAGCTTTCATTCACTCCTGTCTATACCTTCACAAGACAAGTGATTCTTCACACAGTTTCCTGCTGTGTACCGGCTCAAGATCATCGGTGTATTAATGGTTTAGGGTTATGGTTAGAGTTAAAGTGGAAGCTGGTCTAGGGGTGAAGTTAGGATTGTGGGTAGTGTAAGGAATAGACCCTGAAGCAGTTGTTGCAAGAGCAGGGGGGGGGGGGGGGGGGTGTTTCACAAAGATCCTAAGTTGAACTTATCTCTAAGTTGGACTTCACAATTATGGAAAGCTATTTATAGCATCTATGAAAATATTTTGTAAAAGCTATTTTATAAGGCGTAAGATGTTGATTCAAATCATTCATATTTCCTATTATCAAGGAGATCTCTTGTTCTTGATGTGATATTTGATGTCTAAAATACTTGAATTTTCGCTTTTGAATATATTTTATTTTGAGGCTACAAATGGCTCTCCATAATTTTAAAGTCCAACTTATAGTTAAGTTCGACTCTTTGTGAAACACTCCCCATGTGTCATACAGCCTTGCTGCCTCTTGATGGAAAGGGCACCTACAAGACATACTCTGTGAATAATCTCCTCTCTGTGATCTTTACAGGACACTGTCCTAGGACTCCAAGCCTTGTCTCAATTCGCCAGCCTTGCCTACGACCCTGATGTACCCCTTGCCGTGAATATCGACGTGGACGCTACGAGGGCACTCCCTAGTGCCCCCCAGGCGGTCAGTTTTGAGGTAGACAACCACAATAGACTGGTACTACAGAGGGAAGAGCTAGAGGAAGTACCGACAGAGCTAGAAGTGACAGCTACAGGCAGTGGATGTGTTTTGTTCCAGGTATGGGGAAAGAAATGCAATAGTTCAAGTTCATTTTTATTTTCCATATAATTTGTTTTGTTTTCATATTCCTGGTTCATGACATATATTTCTAACTTGTTCATGTTCAAGTTCATTTTATTTTCCACATAATTTGTTTGTTTTCATATTCCTGGTTCATAATATATTTCTAACTTGTACATTCTTAATAAACTAAAACAATACAAATGATTTTGTCTAAATAGTATAACCAGTGATTATAGTGACCTGCATACAAGTGAAGTACAACATAAAGAATCGGTTCATTTAAATGTTTCATCATTCATTGTATCAAGTATATACAGTAGGGGCCTACAGTACAGCAAGGCTTGCTGTGGATAAGCCTGGTGAACAGCTAATTAACAGACATGAAGAAACAAAAATAATTTTAGAAAGGAGGAAGAATGAATTAAAGAAGGAAAGGGAAAAGGAAGCTATGGGGAGGGAGGAATGAGATAAACTGATAAAGAGAGGGATAAACACAGAGGGGGTTAGATCCTATTGTCAGTGCAAATAAAAATATCAAGTTTGGAAGAAAAACAAAACGAGGGACTGTAGTGTATTCAGAGAAAGGTAAAAATATATTACAGATACATGCAGATACATATAATAAAAATATCAATACAAAGCGATGCTGAGAAACAAAGAGAAAAATATTTTACAAAATCTTGTCGTAGTTAAAGATGAGCAGTATTTGTAAAATTCAACAGTATAACAGCCCTGTATTGACCCTTCTTTTTTCTACTTTAGGCCGAGCTAATGTACAATGTGCCCGTTGCAGTTCCCAACCGTCTCCTCTTTAACATAACTACATCCCTCAGAGAATGGGAAACCAACTCTATCACAGACCCTGCAGCCTGTGGGGACAAGATCCTGGATATCTGCGTCAGGTAAGCAAAGGAGTCTTTATACTCTGTTTAAGAATAAATAGCAATATCGTATAATCTTATAGCACACATATAGGTATCTAAGTGCCCAACGCTCTCCAATATCACCATACCTCTAGCTAGGCTATCACTTTCAGTACCCATTGAACACCTGGGTAAAGAGTAGCAAATAAATATCATATCTTGCAAAATGAGACTAGTGCCGTGCCGGAGCTCGAACCTATGAGTGCTGGAAATGGACAAAGTTGGTATTAGTCCTGTTTGAACGCAATGTCTGGCTGTGCAGTGCTTAATGGAATACATGCAGGGCTTCATCTCATAAAACCTATGTCTAGCTTCATGGATATTTCATTGTCTTATAGAAGTAACATTGTTTCAACAGGAAGTCGGCAATCTTCAAAATGTATATTGAAGAAAGCTAATTTTGAGAAATTTAGTCACTAGACATTGGCCAGTCTGGCTGACAGTGGCCCTCATTCATTATCCCCCAAAATGAGCTGTGTAGAGAAAGCAAAAAATGTTGCCATGCAATATACGACACTTTCAATGTGCATAACTTTGGATTAGCTGTTCTCTTGATCCTGCCCTGACTGTTATCAGGGATGCCAGTTTTCAGACTGTTGCCTGAATTCTAGCCATGACACCTTCCCATTTGGACTTCTTCAGGCTTCATATTGCACAGCTAGCACATGAGGGAGTCCAACATGTCTGAGTCGCTTGCTATATGCTAGGCTTATCTAGTAAAACAAACTGGTATCCCTTTATCACATTTTCAATAGAGGTGTCCTAGTTGAGTGGATATGTCACCGGACTGTGGATCACAAGGTCCGCGGTTTAAGTCCTGCCGCGGCACTAATGTTCTTTGATAAGACATTGATTTACATTTGCCACTCTCCACCCAGGTGTTAAATGGGTACCCGGTAGGATGCGAACTCAAAGTTAATGAGGTTAGATGAGCAAGTGTATAAATATCAGTAAAGCGCTTTGAGAGGGTCTGCGGTCCTGAAAAGCGCTATATAAGAACGAACTATTATTATCATTATTATTATTATTATTATTATTGATTTGTAGGTATGTAGGCAGCGGTGAGGAGACCGGCATGGCCACCATGGAAGTCAAGATGGTGTCTGGTTACGTTCCTCATGAACAATCCTTGAACATGTTCCAGGATGGCAATAGCATCGGCCTCAAGCGCTTCGACAAGTACAAGCCTGGACAACCTCTCTCACTCTACTTTGATAAGGTCAGTACGGTCAAACCTGCTTCAGCAACCACCTGTATAGAAAGACCACCTGCCTTTATGAAGACAGCAGTTTTTGTTTCCCTTGAAACATGTTCTAATCAAACATCTATTTAAGGAATGTGAACATAAAATGATAAAAATCATCATGTTTTCTTGTCTCCTTGAGCAGTCTTTATTATTGTTTTTTAAACCTTTTGTGAGACTTTGAATACTAAACCTGAGATAACTTAGTGTGAAAAATGCAACTTCTACAAAATCAATGGCTTAAAGGGGACCAAATACCATTAAAAATAGTACAATTTGAATATCACGGCACTAACACAGAAAACTGAGAGACGTTCCGTTGGTCATGATAAAGCCTAGAGCAAGTGGTGGTCTTTATCTGTTGCATAGAGGAATGGGATGGTGCCTCTGTTAAGTCAATGCAAAGTAGATAATTCAGTAGTTAAATGGTCAAGAAAATTCTTACACTCTAACCTGTAAATCATAATTGTTTCTGAAATCTGTTCCAGCTGTCACAATTTCTTCTTGTTTTTCTGTGTGTAGTCGTCTCCTTTGTAAATACTGTTTGGGAGGCTAATCTAGTCATCAATAAGTTATATCGAGGGGTCAGTGACACAAAGACGTAACTCCATTTTGGCCATTTTGAGAAAAAGTGGTTTATGTGTCACTGAGCGGGCCCTAAGGAGTTAAAGTCTATGAGGCTGTTCACACCGGCAGAGATAGCGCGCGCTAGACCGCCCTATCTCTGCAGTTTGGAAGGTACAACGTCGTTTCGGTCCGCCCAACAGCGAGCCACGGCGAGCCAAAACGGCGTGCCACTGGAGCACCTCTTGGGGGTGGTCCACGAGAGATAGCGCGGTCTAGCGCGCTCTAGAAAAAAGGGGGTGCTACGATAGACTGCGCTATCTTATTGCGGTGTGAACAGCCTCTATGTTTCACTAGCCATTGACTTCAATGGGGTTTTGGGTGGAGTTAGGTCTGTGTGTTTCCTGGAAAGCCCACACTTTTCTGAACATTTTGATAGCAAATACTCATTTTGGCAAAATATGGAGTTACGTCTTTGTGTCACTGAACCCTCTATATGTTTGGTTTGATCCTTGCAGTTTGACAATGAATTACGCTGCATTCCCATCAACCTGAAGCAGGAGATCTTTGTGAAGGAGACCAAGGATGCAGTCATCAAGGTCTACGACTATTACAAACCAAGTGAGTGAGGTCAAGGTCAAGAGATGGTCGCAATGATGATGAATGATATTATGTAATACCCAAGTCAAACCTAGGCCAAACAGACTCCACACTGATTCTAAACCGACCTAGTCTTGGTCAAATGGGGTATTATAAATTGTTTGTACGGTGTCTTGTCAGTCTTGTCGGTGTAACCTGGGTATTTGTCGGAGACAATCCTATTGGCTGAAAAGCTATCACATGACAATCTATAATTTTTTTATACATGCACAACTATGCCTTCTTCCTTTTTTTGCACAATATATCACATACAGAAGATGCATCCATAACATTATACTGTGCATCTAAGCATTTCAAGTTTTAAAACCGTGACTTCTTCCTGATTGAGGCTCTGATTGGTCATATAGTATTAGCAGATTGATATAGCCTTCCAATAGAAAAAGATTGCTCAATCAGCTATGAGATGGTGGGCAATAAGCCAGCTTCATGGTTGCAGTCTGAGCATGAGCAGATAAAGATCATTGCAGACCAAATTGTGAAATACATGGAGACAAATACTGGATCGTGCTCATGAAAGCTTTGTAATCATTATTCATTTATGCACAAGCAGTGCACTCCATGATACACAGGTGGAAGTATTCTTTGAAAAGGGGAAACAAAAGCTATTTATGTAGCACCTCCATCGCTGTAGGAGTGATTATTTCAAAATGTACAAAGTGGGACCTCTTCAAGTTTTGAAGATCTGTGGATATTCAGGGTCATTTGGGATATGTGCTAACCGTGAACTGGTCTATTGTTTGACTGTTGTAAACAGAAGGTCGACCAATCTAGACAATATAGGTATTCGTAATGAATAGACATTTCTGGACCTCAAATAACAACATTTTAAATTTCCATATTGCAATTTCTTCCAAATTCTATTTGCATGGTATTTATAATGAAAGACAAACTCAGATATTGCTATTTAGCAGTAGTAATTATATTCCTGTTTTTTTTCTTACAGCTCTGGTTGGTTTCAAGAGCTACAACACCTGCGAGGCTGAGAACTGAAGCAGAAGACTACAGGAAAGACATAATCATCAGCTGTAGTCTCTTAGTGTGACATTATGTATGGAAAAGGTTATTGGGTTGTGCTGTAAAGTGAGGAGGGGAAAAAGTTGTGAGCTATCCCAGTGTTTATTTTCTTCCTACATGTATATGGAAGAATATCTTTGCAGCAATATCACATGAAATGACCATATATTCCAAATAAAAACTCTGGACCAAATTTTGATGCCACGTGTTTGTATGCATTGTATGTCATATAAAGGTAGATTGACACTGGTTTGAGATCATCAATAATTGTGATTGTGAAACCTTGTCATGTACAATTACTTTTAGTGTACCACATGTACATAATCTACCTTTCACAATAACTTTCAGATATTTTCTTGGATAATAGAATCGCACGACCACAACTCGACTTCAGACTAAGTAGCCCAGACGTATGTGCATGTACTGTCATATATGGATAAATTCATATGTACTAACAAAGTTGACTAACAGTGGATTCGTGATTATCTTGTGTAAGATTTGTAAGCAGAGTATTTTGTTAGGGGACTCAACTCTCAATTCATATTCATTTCCTGAAGCACTGTGTATCTCCGAAATCTATGAACAAAGAAAAAAAAGGTTCTCAAATATTTTAGGGGGCACTTGTTTACAAATTTATGCAAATTTTGTGTGCTGTCTGCTAAATTTGTTTTAGCTGTCGTCTGCAAAAAAAATCATTATTTTTGTATGAGGAGAAAAGTGCAAAAGATAGTTGAATGCATGTACTTAGGTTTTATTATTTTATTTAAGATTTTTGTGCTTTTAATGGAACAAAAAGTTGAATCATGTTTTAAATTTTAAATTTTAAAAGTTTTTAAAAGAGCTAAAGAATGCAGTATCATGAGTGTTTAAGTTTTGAAATGTATATGGTGACAAGTGAAATACCGCTGTTTAAATGACATGTTTATGTACAAGTTTCTTTCAGATTTGACTATTGACTTTATAATTGGTTTGAAGGTCTTTCCACGATTAGATTTTCATTTCATAAATCTGATTTTAATCACGAGAGCCACAACTATGTGTTATATCTACTTACCGGTATAGACAATCATATCTGGTTTTTTCATTAGACTTTATAGTATACAAATAATACACAGCAGTGAGGGAATTAGTAAGAATTACCCACACAAGGGACCTTTGGAACAGTCTAACATGCCTGAGGTGGTAGCCAAAGGTGTTTGCACTGTTTTGAAGGTACTGAGTGTGGGTAATTTTACTAATGCCCAAACAAAATGATGTGTATTATTTGTTTTATAAAATGATGTTTTATTTGTTTTATAAAATGATGTTTTATAACATGATTTTACTAATGACCGGTCATTAAAATTGGATAATGCCCAGTCATTATCCAAATTACGTGTTAGGCAAAATGAATGCCCGGTCACGTTTACGCTTTCAACCAATCATTTGATTAGGATCCACCTCATCGTCTTATAATACCGGCTATTGTAGGGTGATTAATGCAGAAAGTAATGTAAAAAAGGTTAATGAATTAACATGCATTTGAGGAATGAAAAAGAATTTTCTTTTCTATTCTATTATATAATTATATGCATGTATGCAATACAGTACTTCATGGTGCCTTAGATTTTTTTATCTTTTTCAAACTGTTTTTGTAAGATGAGAAAAGATGTCGCTATATTGGACAAAACCAGTCAACCTTTCCAAAGAATTAATCTTGCCGAAGTAAATGTTTGGTACATATATGTTTTCTTTGAATATGTTGAGTGATAAAATGGCTTGATTTCGTTTTTTTCTAACAAAAATGAGTGCTTGGTCTGCTTTAAATTAGACAATACCGCAGAGTTATGTGATCTTAGTGTAAATGATGATACATGTATTACTTCGTACTCCGTCTGTCGTACTTTGATGAGGCGTATGGTTGCGCTCGTGCTTTTATACACATATTTTTGATATCCAGATTAGTCATTGAATAAAATGATGTTTATACTTCTTATTTCTCGTTTTGTCATTCCTCATAGTAAGTGCACTGTTACTAATTTGAAACTGAACTAAAAATGGGGGAAAATCAATAGATCTTCATACAACAAAGTCTTCATAACTTACAATACACGTTTGTTTTTGTTTTTGTTCTTGTTTTTTTTTTTTAGGAAGGGGCACCATTTCTTTTAAGAGTGTTCTGGGTGTTGCACATTTAAACACACACCTTGAACATGTCTGTACTGAAACACCAAAGTTCTAGAATTTTAGTAGTTTTTATTGAAATATAATCATGTGAGAGAGTGAATACTAGTGGTGATTGAAACACATGTATGGTGTGGTCAAAAATGTGAATTTCAAAATAATAATTTGATTTTATTAGAAGCATAATAATGAGAGGAACAGGTCAGTGGAAGTTTGAGCAAATACTGAAGAAAAAACACAAATTGGCAACTCTGTAATCTTGTGAGCCTATTTGCCCTGTACATAAAAACTTCGAAAATCTATATTTTCCTTTCAAAATGTTTTCAATCATACATTCGCCCTAAATATAATTATTACAAATATTTTATTTTTATACAACCCCTGTATAAAGCAAGTCTATTCCATCATAAATAACTAAGAAAATTAAAATTCATGAAATTTTGAATACAACTTGGAGAGGATCTGCATGATACGTCATGGTGTTGCCAATTTGTGATTTACTAAGGACATTAAAAATTCATAACTTTCCTATCTATAATGTATTTTGCTCAAACTTTCACTAATTTGTTTCTCTCATTTTTCTGCTTTTAATAAAACTAAATTAATATCAGGGAGAACTTTCCCTTTGAAGATGGAGATGAGAAATGCAGGTTTATTTGTGTATAGAACTTTTATGCAATAATGTGGATCTAAAAAAACAACCTAAAACCAGTTCCCCTCTCAGCAACTACGCAGTTTCTTAAACCGCAAAGTTTTGAACAATTTTCGGACTGCGCCTGTGGTTCTTGAGTGACTTTTGTGTTAAAATCACAGGTATTTGTCAAGCCGTGTTTGAATGATCACGATTTAAAGGCCATATGTACTAGTCTACAGGAGGGATAAGACCTCCCTGCGTGGTCACTGACAGGTGGTTATCTCATCAAATCAGCTCTCAATATAAACATACGAAAAAGGGGACCTTGGAGGACCAACGGGTACCACTTAGGCATTGTTTGCTATATAGAGGGCGCAAGTAGCTAGAAGTAGTGCAGTCTCACTTTAAATACAAACTGGTCACATTTTAAACTTCACAAGATTGTCATTTCATCAGGGTACTGAGAGACAATCAATTCCACAAACTGTGAAAGTCAGCACAAAAGCTGGTCAAGGGTCTCCTGATACCCTGCATACTTGGACTCCATTTTTGTCATGATTGACTAAGCACAACTTCAAAAGAAAACACAATCAAGACTCAAATGTTATGGAAGTCATGTCATACAATTTTATTGAGAAACAGGTTCCATAACCTTGTAAAATGATATACCTATATCATATCTTGTGTTTTTGGCTCCAATTAGAAACATTGTCTGTTTGAAGACAGAAGGGCGATAACTCATAGACTTTATCACAGAGTAAACACCTTTATGGCTCCAAACAGATAATATTGTTTTACTGCAAGTAACACAACATTGGAGTAATAATTATCCTATTTTGCTAACCTACAATAAAAAACATTTTTATGTTTTACATTTTTAATTTGTGAAAAAAACATTACCGGTAGCGTGTTCCCATCATGTGAACACAACAATGAACAGCTGTTTTTCATTCATTTATTCTCACCATTTCAGTCATGCCGCAGACAATTAAGGTTCTCTACGTCATAAACAACAATAATGCACTACAAAAGAAAAATGCTATAAATATAATACTCTGCTATCAACTGCACAAGGGAATATCAAATGATAATATAAATGTTACACACGTACATTAGTCACTTGCCAACTCAACTGCTCTGAATAATAATACTCGAGCAACGTTCAGAGTGTTAAATGGGGTGTAGCATGACGGGACTACGCGTCTTTCCCATGGCCCGACTCGGGGCAAATCAATCGTAATAGGACTACGGACGACGCTACTGCAGTATTCGAGTGCGTGTAAACATAGGCGAAACCAAAACGTGAGGAGAACTTCGGTCTGTTTCGCGAACGCTAGCAAATGCTAGCGCGCGCTGACCGATAATCAAGCTCATTCGTTTACGTGCAGTTGTCCAAAAGAAGTCGTAGATGGCGTTAACCGGTATTTGCCATGCTTCACCCCTTTTAAAACATTGTGCACGAGACATTTATGTTGACTGTAGCATTCTATTGTTCATTCCATTGTCTGACCAATACAGACAAAGAGTCAGATTAATCTCTCTAATACACATATTTGGACTACTATAAAAGTGATCTGAAATGAAGACCCTAATAAAAAAGCTCCCTAACGAGGTAGTACATCATTTAGACAAATAAAATACTTTAAAAAAAACAAAAACAAGGCAAAATAAGGTTCTATGGCGTGGTCTGGCGTCAATTGTTTTAAAGCACATACATGTGTATTTCAGAAATTTTTCACCTGCTGGAGGAAAAAAAAATAATGTGGTAATTAGTCAACAATATCAATTTAAAAAAAAAGATGTTTCCCTACATTTGTGTACACACACCAATGAGAGGGGAGAACGAAACACTTTAAAATGTCTTTTGAAACATTAGAACTGACATTCATTTGTATACTAATGTCAGAAATGCGAGTGTCTCGCTCAGTTTTCGGCTTAAATTGAATATTTTAGCGAATTTCTGTATTCATTTGAAGCTCTTGGTTAAGTATTTTGATTTAGTATTGTTTTATTTTTCATCATATACCTACATGATTACGACTCTGACCGTCATCATCTAAACATGCAAGATAAAGCTTCTACATTTGGATATGAAGAATTCACAATTCAAAATCATGCATCATTATAAAAAATTATCAACACCACCATTCATAATTGGAAATCAGTAAAACATAGTCATGTTCTCTTAAGCATTCAATGGCTGTTCCACAGATCTTTGTTGTAGATGTACATGCAGTTGGTGCTACTGCTGATTAAAACTGAAACTATACAATTACAAACTTAAGGCTCAGAATGACCAACATAAAGGTGCAAATCGTCATACAAAATATAATCACAATTCAACATTAAATAGCTGAGACGGATAATTTTCAGATAAAAAAGAAAGCCCATCAATGGATACATGTAAATCCATTCTTGGTATATATTTGTATCCAAGTTTCACACAATTAATCACAATTAAGCATTTGCTTATCAAGTCAAACATATAAAAGTGCACTTCTGTATAAAGATACCTGAAAAAGTAATACATGTATATTCATGCAAAATATGCCTATAAACAAACACCACAATAAATGAATTTCATAAATATAAATTTCTTGGCCTCTACAATTGCAAAAATAGTTAAATTTCCCCACTTGTCCTATAATCAAAAGACAACTGATTCTCCATATATAAAAATAAAAATTAGGAAGCAAACATGAAACGGTCATGATTTTTTGAAAAGTTTAGTGAGTTTCAATACATTATGAAACGTACATGCACTTTTAATACCAAAAAAAAAGCGATTCAGATTTTAATTAAAATTATTATTACATTGTCTAGAAACTGGATAAAACCTACATTATTCTTGTTTTATACCACAGCTGTCTTCATCACAAGAAAAACAAGCACAACTAACTGCCTGATCCCCCCCCCCCCAAATTTATATCCAAGATTATTATTACCTGCCTCTTTCCTTAGAGAATAAATTCATGTAATGTATTTTTTTCCCTTTCTTTGATCGTGTTAAATATTGCTTTTCCTCAGTACAATACGACACTCCACAAATGGATAATCAGAGTGCAATATTGTAACGATATTGCACCAATTATAACAGCGGACATTTAATGCTACGCGTTAAATACGCACAATTTTTAATTGACCATGTGACATCACAATGCTTTCCAGTTATTATTTTGCCTTAAAGACGACTTGCTAAATACTATGATACGTTCTAAATACAAGTTAATACCTATAACTTAGCCAAGTAAAATTCTAATTAAAACTTAATCCGCGTACTGAATTGAATACGGCCCCAGTATGAGTACCGGTATATCATGTTAAATGCGATGCTGGTGTGAGTTTAAAGGAAACCAAAACCTTCATACTAAGTTACTTTTCTTGTAAAGTTTAAGATATTTAAAAAATATCAGTGAAATTTGAACAAAATCGGGCAAGGAAGTAAGAGCTTTTTGAAATTACTAGTCACTAGAGGGCGGTATTCAATTTGATGACATCATCTGTGGACAACTCTCCATGCCTTTTGTACATCAAATTTCATGTTTTTCCTTCTTTCTTGTGATTGAGATAATGTACTCCCCTGAAAGCAAGATATAGAATGCAAAATGATATTCTACTTCACATGTTATAAAGTCGGATCAAGAACACAAATAAATACGAAGAAAACAAAAACATTGTGAAATTTTATGTACAAAAGGCATGGAGAGTTGTTCACAGATAATGTCATCAAATTGAATACCGCCCTCTAGTGACTAGTCCTTTCAAAAGGCTCTAACTTTCTTATTCCTTGCCCAATTTTTGTTCAAATTTTCACTGATTTTATTCAAATCTTTTAAACTTTACAATAAAGGTATCTTAGTATGAAGGTTTTGGTTTCCTTTAAACACTAATTTATATTCAAAACTTGAATCCTCTTTCATTTAGAGTTTCCAAATTTTGCTTTAAGACTTGTCAAGACAATGCTGGATTTAAGTTAATTGCCATGGATTGGTAAATTAATCTTTTCAATCCTTTGAATTTTACTGTAGTTCAAATTTTCGATGAATAATAACAACAATATTGGCTTTCTTTCGTGGTATATCAGAACTATTGCAGTCGGCTTGCATGAATATTGCAGTCGTTTTCGACTCATGCAATATTCGCGAGCTGAATGCAATATATCTGATATACCACTCAAGGGCAGCATATATTATATATAAGTATCGAATGAGACGGACCGTCTCAGTTTAAGCCATGAGGATGTATGATTTTCTACACGGATCAAGTGATATGGAAACAGTCCAGGCAGTGGACTACACAAGAACTAGATCAAAGGCTCTCAAATAACTTCATTGAAATTAATACTTTGTAATTCAGGACATACAGACACAACATGAGCCAGATTTTGTGTTTCATTTGGCTACAGAAGAACCCTGTAATAACATAATCTCTGCTCCTTGGGACCTTGGGTTTGTTTTATTGAAATCTTAATATATCAGGGCTAAAACAAAAATTTAAAGGAAGAAAAGGAATAAAAAGAGTTAGGACCAGCATATTGAACTTGTATCGAGGTTCAACAGTAGGGACGTTCTTTTGAAGTGAAAGCCTCCCAAGTTAAAAGGACATTTCCTTTTTTTCCTTCAAATAAAAAAAAATTAAAACACAGGCAAGATCTTCAAAACCGTTCTGCAATCCACCATAAAAATAAGAAAAGTATCTTCCCAAAATATATTCACTACCACTACACACCATACATACTGAGTTTTCTACAAGTCCTTTTTGACCTCTTCTCTAATGACCTCTCCTTGACCTATGACATGGACAGATGAACCATTCTCAGCGGTACCATTCTCAGTGGTTCCATTCTCAGTGGTTCCATTCTCAGCGGTACCATTCAATTTCTCTTTGGTACTGGTCTCGTTGCCGTTGGTCTCGGTGGTCGTGAACCTCTTGCGTGCAGGTAGGACCAGGAAGACGATCGCAGCTACGATGTGGAGCCACCAGAACTGAGAACTGAAGGTGGAAGGAGTAGGAAAAACAATCGACATCATGATAGATTTCAGGCAAAAATGAAATAAATCAAATAAGCAAATGGTGATATGATTTTTAATAATACTTTATACAAATCAGTTTAACCAAATGTTAATAATACATTTGATTGTTACTTGCATAGACTCAATTCAGGGTATTATCATTCTTTAATCATCATCTCTGAAAACTTTGTAGATCAAAATAAGACCAGTAGCCATGGTCGTGAAGTCATTACATCTACTAGAACTAATGACAGATTAGTCGACAAAGGTCTTCGAAAACTGCTAAAAATACCACCTTTAGAGTGTTTAATGCTTCCAAATTTTGAATTGACATATAAGAAAGTATACTCTTTTATGGAATATGAAAAATAAAATTTTAACATCTTGACCAAAAACACATTTATTGTGTTCAAGCTGATTTTTTTTGTTTGTTGTTTGTTGTTGTTGGGGGGGGGGGGGGCACCTTGTTACATATTAAGATCATAGACACTCACTTGAAAAACTTGATGGATAGATCAAGGCGTAAGTAGGTGAAAGGCGTGACGACGTAGCAGAGAGTTACATAGGTTGCTGCCCAAGTTAAGACATCATAAAACGCCCTACTCTGGGCTGACCCCTGGAAAATAGGTCTGATGTTTGCTCGAATCTGAATCGGGAAATAAGGCAGCAACTTTTGTTACAGTAACTACTTGACAATTTGTGATTATATTGAGGGCATATACACTTTACACATAGAATAGTTCAAAAGAAGCTGTAATCATTTTTTAACCAGTATTTCTTTTGAGAAAGAGCTTTTGCTAGGGGAGGGGATTAAGAGACAAATCACAAAATGCCCTAATAAACCCTGAGCTGACATTATAGAGAACTAGATGGAACTTTGACTGTGCGCAGTCGAAAATGATGCCTCCGTCATAGAGCAATTTTACAAACCAAAATAGAAGAAATTTTTCAAATTCAAGTTAGATTGTAATCCATTAACAGGTTCTCAGAATAGTGTGATTACAAGCTATTTCTCATATACATGTATGACCCTTTGATCTTTGAACTCATGACCCCAAAATCTACTCAGTTCATTGGCTCTGCAAGATACATACATGTACATGTCTTGAGTTTGATGGTAATCATTCATCAGTTCTAATGATAATGCGATCACAAGCTATTTTTGCATACATAATGAGCCCCATGACCATTGACCTTGACCCAATAACCCCCAAATCTAATCAGTTCATTGCCTCAGCAAGATACATACATGACCGAAGTTTGGCAGGAATCCATCAATCAGTTCTTGTGATAACGTGATCACAAGCTATTTTTGCATATACATAATGAGCCCTATGACCTTTGACCTTGTAACCCCAAAATCTAATCAATTCATTGGCTCTGCAAGTTACATATATGACCAAAGTTTGGTAGGAATCCATCAGTCGGTTCTTGAGTTAATGCGATCACAAGAACGGGACCTATGGACGGACGGACGAACAATCCGAAAACATAATGCCTCCGGCTACTTCGTAACGGAGGCATAAAAAGTTCTGATGTTTCCTTGGATCTGAATCAGAAATACACAATGACTCTAAACAGAATTTAACTTTCATTAACATAAAACCATGACAAATTGTCATGTTTCTGGCATATACCTAAACTTACGGAGTCCCAGCTACCAATAAGGATTTTTAGACAGAGGGGAAAAAAACTATACAGCAAAACTGGATTTATTAGCTTCATAAACAAAGTGAAACCCAGTGATTGCTCCAATGCATGCCGACAGTAAAGTCTCTGTGCAAACAAAACCGTCAAATTGAAAACAGTTAGTTAGTGCCATGGGCGGTCATTTACCGGGCGGTTAAACGTTTGACCACAGCACTACCGTACGGGAAACAACACATACCGATATGAACCTTACCTTCTTGGAACTTATTAAGACAAGATGAGCCGAGATGAAAGTTACAAAAAGCCCTGGGAAGAATCCATGCCATAGTGACGAGAGCAAGAAAGTCATGAGGGCAGGTTGAAAGGTCACCCGGTCATAGCAAGTGTGTCGCAGCCACACGAGGGTACTTCGGTTCCAACTGTCCAACAAGGTTTTCGCATTAACGGGGAACTGGAGAAGAGCAAAAATATCACATGTAAGAGGAAGGAAACTATTTTTTTTTTAATTTAAAAAAGTTATCAGCATGACAGGTTCCAAAAGATCTGAGGACAGTAAAGGGTTTCTTAGTCTCAAATCATTAGGCAATCTTTTATACTGATGCAGGCCTGATACATCTCCAAAGGACCCTTCCTCTTTTCACCCTGTTATACAGCGAAATGAGGTGCCTTTGGTCCAGACCTGTGGTGTCCTATTAAAGACGAAAAGGTGGCAGTTTCCATTCACTGACACTATGGTGGCAGCAGTGGGATATGGCAGTAAGGATAACGCTCCTGCCAAAATAGTTTTTACGTTTATCGGTCCATTTATTGAGGTTAAAGTGTGTCAAGAGGCAATGACCAAAAGGGGTAATTAGGCCTAAAGAAAAAAGATGTATTGCCCTTTGCGACCTACCCAAAAAGTTTTTTTTTTAAACCGTTTTTTAGAGAAAAAAAATTGTATTAAAGCATTTAAAACTGAGAAATATCAGCCAAAAAGAGAGTTAAAAAAAAAAGGATTTCTGACCGACCAACCCATGTTTTGGCACCTAAAAGGGCAATACAACATCTTTGTGTTTTAGGCCTTATAGGAAACAACAACTGAAAACATTATAACACCATGTTGCGAGACTCACTTGAAAATTCCAGATATTGACGTTGCTGGCGCCATCCCATTTGGGGTCTCCCCTCTCATCGTAACCATTGAATCCCATACCTGCAGCATTGTGAACGGCATCAGCTGCAAAAAGCAACAGCAAACAAGAACATACAGGCAACAGCAACAATAATTACTACAGATGAGCAAGAAGAAGAAGAAGAAAAAAAAAAGAAGAAGAAGAAGAAGAAGAAGGAGAAAGGAGAAGAACAACAAGAACAAGAACAAGAAGAGGAAGAGGAAGAGGAGGAGGAGGAGGTGGAGGAAGAAGAGGAAGAGGAAGAAGAGGAAGAGGAAGGAGAAGATGAAGAAGAAAAGAAAAGAAAACAGGAGAAGAAAGGAGAACAGTAATAAGAAGAGGAATAAAAAGAAGAAGGGGGACAAGAAGAAGAAAAAGGAGAAGAAGAAAGAAGGAAAACAAAAGAACAAAAAGAAGGTTGAAGAAAAAAGAAGGTGAAAAAATAAGAAGGAGGAGAAAGAGGTGAATGAGAACGAGAGGGAAGAGAAGAATGAGGGGAATTGGAAGGAAAAGGAGAGAGGAAGAGGAAGATAAAAGGGGATGGAGGTGGAGGTGGAGAAGAGTTATGCAAAATGATTAGTATATATTGATGAGTGCTATTATCTTTACATTTATCATTAACATGGTTATCACATTCATGAGAGCGCAAAATGTGTGCTCCATTGGCATTTGACACGCCATTGTCTTCCTTCCTGCTTTTGGTTTAGATCTAGTTCTGTCTACATCTTGCTTTAAAGCCCCACTGCACTACTTATACCTCATTGCGCCCTCTATATACCAAACAATGCATAATCGGTGACCATTAGTCCCCCATGGTCCCCTTTTTTCTAATGTTCATTGAGAGCTGATTTAATGAGATAACCACCTGTCAGTGACCTTGCAGGGAGGTCTAATCCCCCTGGTCAAACTAGTACAAACAGGTTTTTAAGAGGAATCAACTCACCCCACGTCCATCCAAAAAAGTACTTGGACTTGGCAAATTCCACTGAGAGCATCAAATAGAACATCCTATACCAGAAAGAACTATTGGCCAAGTGATGATCATCTACAGCAAAAAAACAAACAAAACAAAACAAAACATTACTAAGACGATTCTCAACAGCGACCATCACAGAACTTCACCTCACCATGTGAGTACTTTTAAATTACAAGTATCTTTGTTTGTTGTAATTCTTATCTCCCCCAACTTACAATGAAAGACAACAATTGTGAAACCAGGCAAATGGTTAGAGAACGATACTAAAGTATTTCTCACATATATAAAAGATCCCAAAAATATCAAAGAATTGAGGGGATTAGAAAAGTAATATATTCTGAATTATTGAATTTACAAGTCACATTAATCAATCTTAAAATAAAGAAAGAGAACACTCTAAAATAAAGGGGTAAACAAAATTGCCTGATTAAGTGGATTCCTTTTAGGACCTCCTTTTAACTTTTAGAAAGAGAAAACAGACTATTCGTCCATTTCGGACAATCTAGATGCACCAAGAAAGAAATTCCAAATCATTTTTAATCTTTAAGAACACTGAACATCATAGCTTGTTGAGAGAGATAGTTATGCCACTAGAATTTGCTTCCGATTGGTCAGTTGTTTCATGGGCCCTGAAATAATTCTGTCCCATAGAGATTGCATGGGGAGGAACCATTTGGTGCTCCATGATTTAACCTATGACCCCAAAGCAAACACTTGTTACAACTATCTCTATCAATGGGCTATGCTACAGCTGATGACTCACCGATATTGCCCATGATTGGGTACTTGGGAACTAGCAGTTGCAATACCAGTGCACACAGTATTGTAAAGATTAATTTTTTGGTGATTGCCATCTGGAAAAAATAATCACAAAAATTCAGGTTAATAAAACCCAGTCACAATGCCAAACCGACTCTAAAAACTGAGCAATGACCATGGGTCAGTCAGTAGAGCGTCCGCCTCACAACTGGGAGGTCGTGGGTTCGAACCCCGGCCGCGTCAGACCAAAAGACGTTACAAGACGGGAGTTGCTGCTTCCTTGTTTGGCGTTCAACAATAAGGGATAGAGCAAGGTCGATCTGGCGCTGCTCAGTGGCTGCCGGGCTCACGATCAATTGGGCAAAAAGAATTTCCATTTTCGGTTTAACTTAATAAAATTTGGAGTGGACTTTAAAAGATTATTATTATTTTTTATGGAATCTATTGTTTGGTTTATTGTCGGCAGGTTTGTTGGTGTGGTGTGACCGGGTCTTGTGGGTGTGGCTGGGGTTTACACGCAATTAGAGGTAGCTCCAGAATTCCTGCTGACATAAAGTTAAATACAATGTCACATTCACACAAGCAAACCAGTGCCTGGTCACATATACATGTATGATGGAGCAAGAAATTATTGCCCTCTGATTGGCTCACTTGATAATGGAATGCTAGTCTGGGTGCCAAGCTGTAACAGGGATGTAGCATAATATGCCTCTTTCTCTGCCATAAAGTTTTACACCAAATATCATAAATACATTTTCTGTACCATAACATTTTCTAACAATAATCACAAATACATTTTCCTATTAAATATATTCATGAATTTATATATTCCAATTTCAAATTTGGCTCTCAATATCTTCCGCATAACAACTTCCCAGAATTTGTTTATTTAGAAAAGGAAAGGTGTCAACACCCTTTGAGTGGGACTCGACACAGAAAGGGTTAATGTCCACAGGTTTCGAAAACCAGAAAGTCGTTACTTACGGCGGCGGACGGTTCTCGGTATACAATCACCTCCTTCCCCTCTGAATTGACCTCTAGCACCTTGTGCTGAGTCCCCTCTATAAAGACACTGTAGTTGGCATAGTAGACAATGGGACCAATGAGGACGCCCTGAGGGTAGAACATGAAGCTCAGGTACTCTACTATACTCGGTATACGCCTAAACAAAGAAAAGGAAATTATCATCATCATCATCATTTTTACTATTATTATCATTATTATCATAAGTAGTAGTATCAGTAGTAGTATCATTTCATCATTATCATCATCAGAGATGTCGTGGTCGAGTGGATATGTCACCGAACTGTGGATCGCAAGGTCCGCGGTTCGAGTCCCGCTGTGGCACTAATGTCCTTTGGCAAGACATTGATCTACATTTGCCACTCTCCACCCAGGAGTTAAATGGGTACCCGGTAGGATAAGAAAGTTAATGTGGTTGGATTAGCAAGTGGCGCTTGTAAAATGGCGACTGGCTGGAATGTTCCCCAGGGAGTGGAAAATGTGTATACATTGTGCTGCGGGTAAGCCTGAATCCGATGACCGGGGTAATAACATGTGCTGCGCCTACAAACAAAGTATTAGGCGCATTATAAATGTGAGCTATTATTATTATTATTAATTTTCTTAATCATCTGTACCTATCACAATGATAACAACAAAAATAATAATAATAATAATGACGATGATGATGATAATAACATAAATCCTGAACGAAGAAAAGGAAATAGTTATACTATTGGCACTCAAATAGTAATACATGTATGTGTAAATAGTGCTTATAGCAGTGGTCATCAGTACCACTGGCAAATATTTCATATTTTCAAAACATGAAATTAACTTATACACCTGCTATGGAAAACTAATGGAATACACAGAAGACCGCCAGTCAACTTTTGGCTCACATACAATGAGAATACACCTTTCTTAGTGGCCACCTCTCTATAAAAGCCACCTGTTCGTAGTGGTCACCCATATTGCCTCCCTCTAGAAGGACCACCTGTCTACAGTAGCCAGTTTCCTTCGGGTGGCCTTTAGAGACAGGTTTGACTGTACTCCAAACAATGTGAAAATCTCAGGTTTCATTCTGTAGTAAATATGATATTAAACACATTAAGACCTGTCTATTAAGACCAACCTAGGGAAGAAAAAAAAGTGACCACTGAAGACAGGTGGCCTTTCCAGACAGGTTCTCACACATTTCCTTCTAGTTCAACAGCATCTGAAAACATACCATTAGCTGCTCATACCTCAAACCATGTATATTAAAGGGCAGGGGGGTGTTTCACAAAGATCCTAAGTCAAACTTAACTCTAAGTTGGACTTAAAAACTATGGAGAGCCATTCGTAGCCTTAATATAAAACATATTCAAAAGCGAAAAATCGATTATTTCAGACTTTTTATAAATTCCACACCAAGAACATGAAATCTCCTTGATAATAGAAAATATGAATAATTTGAATCAACATTTTATATATATTTGTATAGATGCTAATGGCTTTCCATAATTGTTAAGTACAACTTAGAGATAAGGTCGACTCCAGATCTTAGTGAAACACCCCCCAGAACTAATACAAATTGTAAAACGTTCAAGTAATAGATTTTTTAAGCACAAAAACATACACATTTTCCAAAATTTGAAGAACATAAAGTAATGGACTTTCACAAAAGTGTGATGGGGAAGGAGTTTCATACATTTCAATTAAAGAGTCTAAATAAGAACAGAAAGGTTTAAATGTTACCTGACGACCATTTTCTTCTGTAACGTGTTCAGGTCCGACTCTTTTCTCGATATACCTGTGTTGAGAACAATCAAGAAACATCACATTAGTATCGAGGAAAGTAATGAATTGGCATATATGCATACTAAATATTCTGAAAGTACAGTCAAACCTGTGTTCATGTCAACAAACAAGCAAAGAAATAAACTATTAAATACATGAAATATAAACAAACAAACAATTAAATACATGTGATATACAAGAAAAGTCAGTGTGGGTACATTTGGATAAGAATACATTTGGATAAGAATATATTTCCAGTTAAGGTAGATAATATACTTCTTAAATTGTTGAGCTGTGAATGTGTATACAGATGAAGATTTCCTGATTACATTCAATAATTTGGATTCCATAATTTGGATCCCCTTTATCTGAGACATCTTTTTCCCTAATTTGTTTTTTTATGCGAATACCGTATGGTCAAATGCTCATCACCAACCTGAGTCTGTAATTAAATCTTTGAGTAATAAATTCACCGGTGCATTCTCATTAATGCACTAATAATTGATAACATTTGCATTATTCTGTAAAGCAATTAAAATATGCAAACTGTACTTAGCACCAGTCGTTTAACATTAGTGTAGAGAAACTCATTGCATTCAATTGAGTCCAGATTAAGATGAGAACAGTTTAAAAGAATGATATCTAAATTCACCGTTTTAATTTCCTCCTTGTGATGCACATGGGACAAACAATTATGATGATTGATCGAAACTGAACTTATCTGCATGAGACTTATTTCATAAGCTTGTTGCTTGGCAATGATACTTAATTGCATCCGAAACGGAAAGTTAATTAAAGGGCCACTCTAGGTTAACCCAACTAACATAGCCTTTAAAACATGAATACACCTCTACTTATTAATATTCCAGCCTCTGATTTTTCAGAAAATCTCTAAATTGACCAAAAAATGATAATAACCATCCATTTTTCACAGATCTTACGCTTGGTATGTTACGCCCCTCAAAAAAAGGTAATACGGTCATGTAGCTTGATGACGCATTTGACATCATTGCGGGAATGTCCTTGTATTTGTCCTACAACTAAGGATCTTACAATCTCATTGTAATTCATAATTAGGAATGACAAAATTGCCAGAAACGTACTGGGATTATCAAGTGCATATTATTTTTCATATTTTTCAATTAATATCATAGTTTTTAAAGACATTTTAATGTCTAAATCACCCTCTTTTCACCAGAGAGGCTTCTGCAGTGACGTCATATGCTATAGCGCAATACAGCTCCGACACTGGTTTTTTTTTTTAGCGTTCTGAGTCGTCATTTTTAAAACTAGATATGAGATTTAGTGATGATTCCTTTTTATAGGGCTTCAATATTACACCATATCACAGACACTGATAACACGAAGGGCCATGCATCTCAGATCTAACATTATTAAACGATGCTTTTAAGTTTTTTGGTTGGTTTTTTCTTAATGTCTTTTGATCCATAATTCTAGGAAATACACATTGTACATCAGAAGAAAGATAACAAAAATTTGTGACCATTTCTAATGCAGTATATTGTTAAAAAGAATGTAAGAATTCAAAACAATTAAATTATATGTAATCATTACAGAGTCTATATTAACAATGTGGTGTGAAATTTATTTATATATTTGTGTACAAATTGGCAATGTTTTTGTTGAAGTTAGTAATCCAAATTTATATTGCTAGTAGTTCATTTTATATATTTGTATTTGTTTGAACCATGTAGGAGTGCCCCCCCCCCAAAAAAAAAAACTGGTGTCAATTGGAGGAGGAAAACGTGATTGATTGAAACCTTAACAAAACCATCCATATACAGTTGATTAACAAAATTTGGTGGCAATGCTTCTTACCATCATGCAGCGACCAAGCAAGGCATCCGACTTTCTCTGTGACAACCATTAGGGGTCTGGAAAAACAAAGAATTACAGCCAAAAAACTTGGTAAAATAATCCATTCATCAAAATTTTCCACAATTACTCCTAAGATTTAAACAGAAGGGGGGGGGGGGGGGGTAACTAAAATAGGTTTCCTTTGTCTTAAAGAAGTCTCAGTTCAGGGTTTACCATTAAGTCTCAATGCTTTACCCGTCTGTAAAGCACTTAGAGACATCGTCGATGTATAAAGTGGATTATTATTATTATTTTTATCATTTATTATTATTCTGTTTTATTTTTATTTTTTTATTTTTATTATTAATATTTTTTAAATTATCTTTTTTTTTCATTCTTATCAATATTATCATTATCTATATTTCTTATTATTTTATTATTCATTTTTTTATTATTATATTATCATTATTATTCATTATTATTGTTATTTTAATCCACAGCAGGTCAGTGCCTCCTTTCAATGAAATTTCAATCCATAATCAAGGGAATAACGCATTGAACATGAGCATAAAGAGCATAATTACCAATATTTTGAGTGGATTCCTAATGTACAATGCACATTTTATAGACAACAATAATTTGCTTAGACATTTATTTATTTATTTATTTCTGATATTTAGACAGGGTGACTCATTATCACCAATAATGGTGGTCTTCCATGAGGCCCTGTTAAACTTAATGAAGTACATTAGTTTATCAAATGTATATATAATAATAACATTACAGTCTCTAGATTGACAACACAGTGTGAAATTAATAATCACTATTTGTGTATACAAATTGGCAATTTTCTGTAGAATTTAATAATTTTCATTCACAATGTTTCATTTCTATACAATTCTTAATTGCGTAGGAGTGGAAAGTAATGACTACCAGTGGGAATTAGAGGAAGAAAATTTATTTGTTTAGTCCTTAAGCAGAGCTCAAAACTAGCAGGCGCCTGGGACAAATGTGCAAAAAAATAAAAAATAAGGACCCCTAAAATTTTAACATTCGTGCATAGGGGTGTTGTGGAATAGTGGAAAAATCGCCAGAATGTGAACCACAAGGCACTGGGTTTGTATCCCTGACACAGCACTATAGTCCTCTGGCAAGACATTATTCTACATTTTCCACTCTCGACCCAGGTGTAGTAATAATGAACCTGGTAAGATTTATTCATTGAATGCACTGACCAGTAGATGCAGTTGCCAGAACTAAAGCCAGGATAATAATACCTTAAAGGGAAAGTCCACCCCCAAAATAAGTTTGTTTCGATAGAGGCAGAATAATAAGAAAATCAGGTGAGTGAAAGTTTGAGCAAATTCTGAATGAAAATAAGAAAGTTATGAATTATTGAAGTTGTGATCAATCAAATACAAATTGGCAACTCTGTGACTTATTATACGAGCTCTCCTTCATTTGCTTTGTGCATAATATTCTATAAAATCATGTTTTCTTCGTTATTGATGACGGAATATATATTTGTTCCTTGCAGGGGGAGTATAGAAACATATTTGCAATTATTATATTTAGGGTGCATGTATGGTTGAAATTTTTCTTGAGGGAAAATGAAAATTTTAGATTTTTTTAGTACTGAGCAAATGGAAGTTGAGCTCGCATGATACGTCATAGAGTTGCCAATTTGTGTTTGATTGATCACAACTTCAAAAATCCTAACTTCCTTATTTTTAATCGGAATTTGCTCAAACTTTCACTGACTTGTTTCTCTCATTTTTCTACTCCTATTAAAACTAACTTAATTTCAGGGTGGACTTCCCCTTTAAGTCCAATGGAAGCACATAGACACGATTAGCTTACCCAGGGGTGATAGTGAGCACTAAAACAAAATTTTAAAAATTCTCCCCCTCAACCACGCCCCCCTTGAGTAAAAAAAGAAAAAGAAGAGGTTTCGTTGGGGGGGGGGGGGGGGGAATGGCATCTAACAATAAATGCCCCCTCTTTTGAGTGAGAAAATAGGGAAAAATCGAGAAAATCAGGAGAAAAAAATCAGGAAGAAAAAAAAATAGAGAAACCAATTTAAATCGAGTAATTATCAGGCCTGCTTACCCTACACAATCAAAGTTGTTGACGCCTTTGCCTATGATCATAAGCCAGATGTGGATGGACCCCAGGTAGGCTATAGCGAACCCTGCAACGTACTTCTGCATGGTGCGGGGGCTCATCAAGTTCATCATAAGGTAAGATACTGTAGCTACCGTTAACAGGTGAAAGATCTCCCTAGTAAGACATAAACAGAGAAAAAGAACTTGTCTAAGTAGAGTGGATATTGGTTATGTAGAATGAATATATATATTCATTATAACAAGGACATTAGGACCGTGACAATTACCTTTTTGTTATATGAGGTATCCTGTTTTTAATATATCACTGCTCTTTGCATAGTTATACCAGTGAACCATACCCGCAGAGCTCACAATTCTTATCCTTTTTTTAATTGCAATATAGATATATTAAAACTTATTCAAATCTAATTTATGAATTGAATTTACATGTATTTCTCACAAGTCACAGTAAAACTTATGTTCAACCAAGTAGAATAGTTATCAGCAAATTAATGATTTCAATTTTCATTCATCATAATTTACATCAGTGATTTAGAACAGCACTGATTTTGTTCCCCTTTTCTTTCAGCCAACTCTGCACAAAATTACATGCAGGTAATTTTCAAGTCTTTAAAACATATTCATATACAGTGCTTATAAAAGTGTACCCAACTTTGGTAGCTTCGAATTAAAAAGTTATAACTTACGTGACTTTGAATCATATATACCCTTGTCTAATGATAACATATTCATAATTGTGCCAATGTGCTGCCATGGATGACTAAGCAGCAGGCTTTTCAAAAAGTACTGTCATTGAAAATCCTCTTGTACCAAATTTGGGTATCACTATGCTCTTTTTCATACGAACTGTATATATATATTTTTTTCTTGTGTGAAATCTACTCTTATAATAATATATGCCTGTATAAAAAAAATTAAAAGATATAAAAACTGTTTTTCTATGTAAAATGTGGAATGAATAAATAAATTTAAAAAAACAAAACAAATACAAGTCTTAGGATGCTATTTAGATTCTGAAATGAGATTGCAGGTTTCTCACCATCCTATAGCCTGCGTTACCAATAGTAGACCAAAGACGGCTTGAACAGTATGGCGGGTGGTGGCGGATGCCTTCCCTAGTCCAAAATAGGCACGGAAGAAGAACGCGAAGACCGTCGACAAACACTGGCACATTACAAAATTGGCCTGCAACGGAGAAAGGGAAAATAGATCATTTTAATACTACCAACCAATGAGTTACAGTTTGTCGGCAAACAGGCCTATTTTTAAACTTCATGGCTCTAAAAATTGAGAAATATTTTTTTTCCATCAAAGGGAGTGTATAGCCTAAAGAGACTACGTCAGTACGTGTCTTTCCAGTGGCCTGGCTCGGGGCCAATCGGGTATTATACAACTACGGATGACACGACTGCAGCAATCACGTGCGTGCAACATACGCGAAAAAGAAGCGGGATGAGAACTTTGGTCCGTTTCAAATTTCGGGAACGCTGACCATGTACTAATATGTAGAGATTAAGTCGCTGACTACCATGGCATTATCAAGTCCATTCGTTTACGTGCAGTTGTCCAAAAAAAAGACGTAGATGGCATTAACCAGTATTTTCCAAGCTACACTCCAAGTTATTTAGCCTAGACCTTAGACTCTCACTACAGTCTACAGACACTAGTTTAGAGTGAATAACTGTTTTTCGAGGAAGAGGAACTAGGATAAATATTAAAGTATTTCAGTGAGTAGATTCTATGCAAGTCGGCATGTCATGTCTCGTGAATGTCTATTCTTAATCTTATTTATATAATTTAGCTGGGACTAGTCTATAGCTTAGTTACAGAAAACCTGTCTATCTTGCCTAGTATTTATAGTAACTCAGTCCATATGAAGAGACTGGAAAATAATAAACACACATGACACATGCACAGAGACACATCATGAGTCACGACACATGTATGCACAGCTACAGCGTATAAACCTTTAACACTGCACTACGTGTTAATAGGCAGCATTTACATTCATGAATAGTCAATACACTCATAACACACATATGCACACAATCATGCCGATGCGGCTGATCGGCAAGTTTAACAGTGGACTCACAATATGAATTTTTAAATTATTCTTTCTAACATCGGAAAGTTGAATAAATTGTATTTTACTGCTATTTAGGTGTCATCAATCGTCACTAAAGTACCGATTTCGAGTAAAATCAGTTGAGTTTTGTACAGTAGTGTTTGACATGTTGAGAATCAATAGCACAGCGTTTACACCGCCAGGTAATGCAAGTATGCGTGATGCACAGACAGTGAGTGAACAAATAAAATCATGGACCTACCTCACAGTAACGCATTCCAATTTTGTCGCACAGTCGATGTAAAACTTCAAACTCCATTTTTGCTTCTTTTTAAGTCTCTTTCTTAATCACAATGCGCAAGGGGTTGTCACCTCTTATTTCAGATGACTTCAATTTACCGGAACATGATGAAAATGAAGTGCACTAAGTTTTGATCCGGCCGTCCGGTCATTCAATGCAACAACTGTCGACGTCGGTGCGGGAGCTAGGGCGCGGCAGCTAGCTAGCAACGCAAGGCTTGAAAGTCTTACGATAAAAGGCCACGCGTGGGGGCGTGCGCAATTCGCTGTTTTCACGAAGTGACGGTAGTGAACAAAAATTGCATTCACTTTGCGTGACGATTTTCCTCACTACCGTCACTTCGTGAAAACAGGGACGAGATTATGGAGGTTGTGTACGTCGAGCCCTCTAGATCCTGTGAACGGGGCACTAGGCCGTCACTTTCAAAAATAAAAAAACAAACAAATCTCCTTTATAATTTTTTTTAAACCGCAGTTCACAACTATGGCATATTGTTTGTGAGCTGCACACGTCAACTCGGATTTTTCAGGATTTTTTCAGGTTTTTTGCTACGTAATGACTTGCATATAGATCTATAGGGCATAATAATTTATAGGGCCTCCTTAAACTATGTGGGAATAGCAAGATGGAGAGAGAGAATGAGATATAATAGTCAGATTATATATAAGTCTCTTTCAAAACATTTCATTTAATATAATTTCATTTATTTTCATATTTCTCATATTATACATTCCAAAATAAGGCAATTTTTTTTTGGTGATAAAGTAACAATCAATATTACATCATCACAAAGATAAGTGGTCCATATAGAGTACTGATTTAACTGCATATAAGAGAAATTATGATGGAACCTACATAAAAGCAAGCAGTGTAAACCTGTAGGTCGAATGGCACAGCTATAGATGATTAGGACTACTACGATTAATGTTAGATTATTATTAACACTCATAATCATTAAGCATAATTAGGTATGATGCCACAATGAAATACCGTACAGTGCATGGTCTCTTAAATAAACATTTGATTTAGGCCTATATCAAACCTTCTTTATTTAATAGCTCAGGTAGTCTTAACCATTCACTGAAGGCCACAATTTTCACAATATTTCCCCTTTAATCCCAAAGCACACCTTACTTTTAAACAGATTGTATGATATTTCTTTTGGTCTATTTCAGTTAAGTCTTACTTTTTTTTTTTAATGGATTTGTTTCTATATATTATTCCCCAATCCAATGCATACACATTTTCTACAATCATGATGTATACTTTAATTCTTAACTTTGATGTTTAATATTGATTACGTCTATATGATATCATTGGTCTTCAGACTATATAATCATGGGCATAAAAAAGGGGGCATGGAATGTACGAAATGGCGAGCGCGAAGCCCTTACGGCGTGGGGTACGGGCCCCGGATAATTTTGAACCTTAAGATAATATGCTTTGTATGATTATAGTACATTCTGAGGCATTTCTGAATGAGTAAACTGAACATTATTTTAAGTGAATATTTATTTTTATTTTGGAAGGTAAAAATTGGGTGCGCCCCTACCCCTGGATACGCCCATGCATACTACTTCTTGTAGTAGGTCCATGTTATAATCAAGTGTATCTTATTTTAAATGTTTATTTTCACAAGGCCCAATTGAACTGGATTGAACAGGGAGTTCCCGGGTTATAACTGATCTTAAACGACATGCGCTGCACGAGTGCCCCTTGGAACTGGGCATTAATTATTCCTTCCCTCGGATAGGACTTAAAGCCGTGTGTCCGCTGGTTGATATCTCAAATCATCTACTTGTCTGTCAGGGAAAATGAATATCTAGTACAAAAGCTTTATGAATTCTTTCTGCCCGTGACTCTCCATCGTGCCAACGCCATCTACGAACAAAATGAGGAGAATCTACAGCAAACAGTAGTTTGTCAACCAATGATTTCGTTGTGAAAATATGATATAGAGTCTACAAGTCATGTATGATGTACTTACCTATAATCTTCCAATATGCTTCAGTTTAAGAGCAGTATACTATGTGAATAAGTTGATTAGGAATGCAATCTTTAATCTTCTACCCGACCCCTCTTGTGATAATCTCTACACTAACTTGTATAATGGAACAGTCATGATAAAATATGATGTAGCATAATATTAAAGTCAAACTAATAATATAATGCCTCGGATAACCCCATAACGGGCAGATGATTTTTTTAAGGAGCTTAGGGACTTTTAACAAAGATAAACACTATATTCTATAAACTATTATAATATATAGAAGTAAAACTTAAATGTATAAATTTTAGAGTCGAACTTTATTGATCGGCATTTAAAAACTATTCACGGTGGCTTTTGGTGAAATTAAAAATTCAGATGTTTTTTTCAGATAAAAACTGCGATAAAGACTAAATACATACGCGATTCTGATTGGTTAAAAGATTAATCCCAAACTCCATTGCAAGGGTTATCGAAACATGTCTCATTATTAACTCATAAAGATTTGAGTACCAGGTCCTACCATGGTGACGCGCACATATTTTATCAAAATAAAAGAAATCACACGCATGAATTATGAGTGTTTATAATATTTTATGACCACGTCATAATATATTTGGTAGCGTTTCAACAAGAAATACAACGAAGTGTTTTGTGCCATTCTCCAAACCTTTTATGAGTTTCTCAATAAGAATTAAGAGGACTAGAAAGCAATTTAAGTTTTTTTTTCCCCATCACACAATCAGTGTTTTACCCTCGATCCAACCGTCAACTTCTGCATGACATCCTGAAGGTGAGAAACATAATATTAAATATTGACAAAAGATCTCATTATTGCAATGTGTTTGAAATATCACATCCACATGCAGTCAGAGGCGTTGCATGGACGGATGAATTTTAAATGTGGGGTAGATCCACAATGATTAAGGGCACCTTTTTGTTGAAGAAAGGGTCATGCGTAGACATTTATTATAGGGGGTAATTTCACCGAGAAGGAACGAAGGGGGGGGGGGGAGGGGCTTTCGTCTCTTGCAAATTTCCCGCATTGAATTTCTGCGAGATTGCAAAACTGGAAAAAATGATTTCATCCTTATATCCACGACTTCTGTGATATATTGTATCTATTTCAGAAAATGTTAAATATAGTTTGTCATCAAATTCACCGCTCTGCCCGAAATTATAAGTGAAATAATAGGGAATACGGGTAGTTTCAAATTCTCCGGAGGGGGAGACTGCACCCCTCCCACCTCCACCTCGAGCATCTGTGCACCTCGATCTATATGCCTCCATCCCTGCTGGATACACAATCATTTTGATATCGTATTTTCGATTTACTGGAGGTAAATCAACCACTGCCGAATACATTTGAATAAAGTATTGATTAGACCATGCTCATTTTTCATCAGTTAAGTGGCCGATGTCGAGGATGTAGACACTTTGGATATGATCATGGATAAGCAGTGGTGAATTCAGGATTCCCTCACACTTGAGAGGGGGGGGGGGGGAGGGCAAAATTCTGAAAATCACTGATAAACAAGAAATCATGTTAGCCAGGCCCAAACAAAAATGATTAAAAAGGTGCACCTTTATCAGTATTTTTCTAATGTGCACTAGTTATGAAATGCCAAAGCAGTGTTGCCAGATCCCAGCAGAACAATATCACCAAATAGCAGGTGGAAAAATCACCCACACTGTCAAAATTCAACCCCCAAAAACCAAATTCAAAGAATTCCCGACACCAATGTCAATAAGGGTTAATATCGTTAAAATATTGTAAATTTCAATTTAGAATTTTGGCTTTTGGATTTTTGCTACACAATTAATGTGTACAAAAAAAACACGCTTCTTTACTGGGGGGATATTAAATGTGTGCCCAATACTTGTATGAACTCCCAATCTGATGACAGCTATTCAACAAATAAGTTTCTCTATTACTTACTCATTGATTTATATCTTTGATATTTGATACTTACTTTCATATTCTTCCAAATCACCAAAGAAATAAACACATTTTTCGATTTTTTGGTGAATAAGATCACCAAGGAGGAGGTTTGGCACCCATGTGCGCCCGATTCCGCCCTCTGTACCCCCTAACCTATGAATAATCACTTCATCAAAACATGTCATCTTAATCGAACCATAGCAATTGGACAGAACCGGCAATATCTTAATGGGAGGTGTATTGAAATTATTGAAATTGTTTTGATTGTGTGCATGTTGATACATGTATGTGCATGTATGTCCCTTGTTTGAAATACAGAAGAAGAAGACAATTTATCCGGCGTCATGCCAGTCAAATTGAGAGAAAGTGAAAGCGATTCCGTGTCGTGGTTAAAAGGGGATATGGGGCCCCCACAATCGAATGATGAATTGAAGAAAGAGAGAGAGAGTTTAATAGAGAGAGAGAGAGAAACACATAAAATATTATTTGCTATCGGCATTGGCGTATCGAGGGGGGTTGGGTGTTCAAACACCCCCCTCCCCTTGGCAAAAAGGGGTATTTAAGGTGTTCAAAAAGAATGTTAAAGACACCCTTTATCTGTGTTTTATCTATGTTAAAAAAAATTCTTACGAATTGGGCAAAATAAATAAACAAATTAGTGCTACCCCCCGCTGCTTGTTCACTGGCTGGCTGATTTCCCGCTACATATTTTCTCACGAATTTGGAAAAAAAAACTAGTGCTCCTTACTCCCCCCCCCCCCTCCCCCGCTTATTCACCGGCTGGCTAATTCGCCGCTAAATATTTTCTCACGAATCGGGCAAAAACACCTCTCCTTAAAAAAATGCTGGATACGCCCTTGGTTATAGGCAATAACCCTCCAAGATCAATCAAGTTTATTATGAGGAATATCAAATATATTTTTTTATTTATTAATAACGTGACTTTTTATTAGTAGTTTGGAGGGCATTCTGTATAAGAGTCTGCATAATATTTATCTGGCGCTTTTAAGTATAGGTAAAGCAAACAAATGTGAATCATCAAGTTATCAACATGATAAGGAGAATGTCAATATTAATGTTTTTGTCTACCCCACCAGCAATATTCATGGCGACAGGAGATGAAAGTGCATTGCAACGGTTTACTATTATGAAGGGCGTCTCTAATTATGTCGGCCTGTTGTGTTGCCACCTAGGCTATTCTCAATTGCTTGTATCCATAGATTTGAGTGCCAAATAGAGTCGACGATTTTGACAATTTGAGATTATATGTTTTCACTCTTGTCAGTATATTCTACTTAGGGTATTCTCCTTTTTGTTTTCTTTGAAATACTCATCTATTGGTCCTATGGGGTGTAGCTGCAGGGGCGTGTCCAGAAGAAAAAAAAAAAGAAAAGAGAAAGGGACAAGAGAAAGATAAGATAGAGAGAGAGAGAGAGAGAGATGAGAGAGAGAGAGAGAGAGAGAGAGAGAGAGAGAGAGAGAGAGAATGAGAGAGAGGTGGAAGAGAGGGAGAGAGAAAGAGAGCGTGTATGCGTGTGTGTGTGCGTGTTTGTGTGTGTGTGAAACAGGGGAGGGGCAACATTAAAAAGGTGATATAATTTATATAAGACTCCTCCCCCTCTCCTCTCACGTGATCGGTTTGCTCTGTCGTATTTTCATTCACAAAATTTGACTACGCCCTCAATCCACTGACACCACTCCCCCCCCCCCCTTCGACGGCTGGACTCTCGCTACACCACCGTCCTAACATGACACCAATGTTCAAAAGGGTTCAGCGACGCCCCTGCCCCATAGCGTTTTCCTATTAAAGTCCATATTTACCGAGATGACGTACTTAGTCAAGGTGCTATCGCACGGAGGACAGTACAGCGCATACTCGGCTACCTGTCTGAGATTCCATCACTTAGTGTTTTGCATTCGATAGTAGTATATACTGCTCTTGGCTGACGGATCTCGTCCAGGGGTGCACTTCTAGTTCTCTGTCTCCACCAGAGGGGTCATTTTAATCTTTCTCACATTTTTTGTCCAAGGAACCGAGCTAACAACATGAAGACCCCTTTCAGCGTTCTCCTCCTCGCCTCTGTTCTTTGTTTTGGACCAGCTCTAGCTATTATCAGTAAGCTCTTTTTCTTTTACTTCTAAACAAATATTCCCCCCCCCCCCCCCACTTTTGGTAGCACCCCTTGATCCGCCCCTGAGATAGACACGTACACCTCATTAATTTTGTCCTTCAGTAGAACGAGTACAATTCATCAACAGACAGGATTAATCCGTTATTTAAATTGTCGGTGATATAATTATATTTAGTGTTTTGGTTGAAATTGCCTGTACATTGTATTGAGCCAAGTTAAAAAAGCTCATCTGTCACATTGAAAAGGTTTAATATCAAACCACAGAAAAGAAAGATCATATTTCGTTTCCCTAGTTACACATTGTTATGCAATATACACTAGACAGTCTGCATACTGTTTAAAAAGAATCAAAATGCAATACGCTTTTTTTTGAGCTTCCAGATATTGAAACAATGTTTGCTAAGTTCATTTCATTTTTGCAACTAATTCACTGGTCCATTTTCATCAACGCATTAATAATTGATTATTAAGATGATGAAGCGGATCCTAATCAAATGATTAGTTGAGAGCTTACACGTGACCAGGTATTTTTTTGCCTAACACGTAATTTTACTAATGACCGGTCATCAGTAAATACTTATATCCGGTCACTAGTAAATACTTATGACAGGTCATTAGTAAAATCATGTTATAAAACATCATTTTATAAAACAAATTAAACATCATGTTATAAAAAAAATAAAACATCATCTTATAAAACACATAATACACATCATTTTGTTCGGGCATTTTTAAAATCCTTTGCAACAGTCTAACACGCTGCGATAATGCCCTCATTGCTGTGTATTATTTATATAACATTCCATTATTTTGTAAAGCAATTAATATACGCGATCTGTACAAAGCGAAAGTTGTTTAACATTAGTGTAGAAAAGAGGATCGCATTCGATTGAGTCTCGAATAAGATGAGTACAGTTTAAAAATATTCATTCACCGTTTCATGTACCTAAATTATTTCCACATTTTGATGCACATAGGACACAAAATTATAATGATTGATCACAACTTCACTTAATTGCATGAGACTCATTAATTATTTGTATAAGTTTGTTGCTTAGCGATGAAACTTAAATGCATCCGGAACGAAACGGATATTAATTAAGATGATTGTGGTAAGCACTTATTGTTTATTTTTAAGTACAGATTTCAATAGGTTAATTCTTATAGTAAGACTGACGGATTTAGATTCCCATTTACTACATCAATATATTCTCTGAAAACGACTGAACTCTTTCCTTTTCCAGATATTGTAAGAGAAACATGAAGTATACAAAAAAATTGTTATTTATCTTTCATTTAGATAGATAAATAACAAATCAACTCATCATATCCATACAAAACTATTTCACCCATCAACTCATCTAAATAGTGAAACTGAGAAATTAAAAAAACTAAACAAAACTAAAACATCAACGCATATCCGGCAGACCGGCACGATATGCGTTTGTCTTTCAAATGCAGCCACAGGCCGTATATGATCTCGGATATCATTCACTGACAGCCAGTGTGTGTTTTCATGATTATCTTGCCGAGGACGATCAGTATAAAATAACAGTAGCATTTTGATAAGGAAACGGTGCCGTGCCTTCCCCTCAAGTCACAAGTGCCCTTTTTAAAACGCTCTGGTGCATGGTATTGGCGATGACACGCATACATCATCTATAATTTATAGCTGTAATCTATTCATCATCATCTCTAGTTATAACTAGATAAATTTTGTGTCAATATTCCTGGTCATCCAGCAGAGGAAGAAGGACAGATCATACGCAAGATAAAATACACGTAACAGTGCGCCCAAGAAAAAACGAAACCGAGAACTATCGATGTTTTATCATAATTTAATCACAATTAACATCAACGAATTACACATATTTGTAAAGCTTAGATCCTCCTCTTTTATTTTAAGCAACTGCTGTAATTTTATATTGTAATTTAAAGCAGGGGATGATCCCCGATAAATCTCTGTGGTTTTTGATCACCCCCTCTGCAGGTTCATCTTTTGTTGTAAGGCTTTTATATTGTAATTTATACTGTCTTTTATGAATCTGTGGAAATAAATGAAATTGAATTGAATTGAAATGCATATTTCACGCATGAGTGACTAAAACAATTCAAAGAAAAGGTACCAAAAAGTCAAGTGGCGGACGGTATCTGAATTTCAAAAAGAAAATCACATTTCTAGAAAGTTCATTTTCTGCCCTTTCATAATGACACCTCAATCAGGAAAAAAAGAGCCAGGAATAACACAATTCTGATTGTTTAAAATAATGCTTGCATTTCCATAATTTTATTAAACAAGTGACTCCGTTTCGTTGACGATCAGCCATGCATGAAGTCTTTCAAACAAAATCCTGGACTTTTACAAGACAATCGCCTGTCTGATTATCAAGATATTTAAGATTGGAAATCGAAATTTCATATTTCGTTTTCCTAACAGTTTTTATAACACTACAGTCTCTAGGGGAAATTGAGAATGGTAAAACCGGTCACTCAAAGATTTATACTTTTTTTGAGGCACTTCATGATGATTTTGAAGCGGTTTAGGGTTTCAGTTTTACACCATAATCACAGACACTGATAACACGTAGGGACAGGGGCGGATCTATGTGGGGGGGGGGGGGAGTTAGGAGGTTACCCCCCCCCCCCCAAGTAAAAATGTGATGTGCATAGAAAACGCCATCACGTGTCCAGACCCACACAGTATTAGTAGATGTTAGTATATTCCAGGAAAACATCCGCAACGTCATTGGGTCAACCCCCCCCCCCCCCCCTTAGCAAAAAGCTAGATCCGCCCCTGATGGCCATGCATCTCAGATTTAACATTCTTTGTTAAACGATGCCTTGAATGCTCGTCCTGATGCACTCGATGCGTTATTTCTATTATGGTATTACCTGTGTTTGCCTGGTAATTATTAACCAATAATTAAACGTATGTAATTTAACCTCACGTTTGCACTTTTCATATAGAAACATTTCTATTTGGAACGAGCTAGGTAACCCTCATACAGTGCGTCAATTAACGACCGCACCAATCGCTGCGAAGTCCAACGTGCATGGTGTAATTAATATGTCTCAACTATACTTATGGACAGAGAAATGGGTTGTGGTAGCCTATTATATTAACACAGACATAGCATAAGTTCATGTGAAGCGCATGTGTTTGGTAATTAAAGCCATAGATCTATGAGCTACAATGTGTTAATTGTTTTCTTTATGGTGCGTGTCAAGGCATTATTAAAGGTATAAACCAGTTCTGGTCATGCGATTGCATGGTGAAAGAAACGTTGTGGAATCGATCAGAAAAGGTTGATCATCTAGCATGTAAGTATTGGTGTGTATTGCAAGGTTCTGGAATCATCAAAATGATAAGAAATTTGGCCCAGCCTTGGTAAAGTTACAAACACTGTACACAGAAAGATGTATATGGGACTACCCTATATCTAGGTCCGGATAGATATAATAATTTACCAAATATATCAATTAGAAGGCGGTTTCCCGGCACAATTGTATCATCACGTATTAGTCAAAACGTATTCTTTCACAATGATTGGTAATAAGAGCTTCCATTTCATTTTTGAGAGGGGGGGGGGGGCGTTTCTAAAACTGGTCTTTACCTTTAAGCTGCGAAGACACGCTGGTCTACACACTTCAGCCGTTAAAAATCAAAAGTCTCTTGATTTACATATTGAATACATGCAATGACTGGCAATATAGTAATACCTCTGCTACTTACATGTTTGGCTACCCACACAAACATACAATGCGTCTGGATCATCTGGATCGACAAAATTCTTTCTTTCCATCCCGATCAACTTACCCCGGACACACAACACCTGCACACAAGCGGACTACTTCGACCCAGCCAGACCACTTCCTCCTTCCCTCCCGGACCACTTTGACAATGATTTTCACCACAAAAATAACGTCAATTACTTCTTGAACTGAAATTTTGAAGTTAATTACATTTTTATTTAGGTATTTTTTCGTGGAAACATTTTTGTAGAAGGTTATTATTAAAGGGTGTGGTTGTCCAACAGAATGGAAGTTGTTGTCCGGAGTAGTTGTCCGGGGTAGTATTCCGTTGGGTTTACAGTATTAATGCCTTACATTACATATAAATGAATATAAAATACGGTTTCCCTCCACTGATATAGGAGTAAAGGAGAGAAACTAGAAAAAAATAAAAATAAATAATAATAAACATAAGAATTATTATTGATCGATCTCAACAATTTGCATGATCGATTACAAATTTGCCTTGAATTTTTGGGTCATTTAATTTGATTATTACATTCATATGAGTTCAATAGAATATAAAATGCAAAATTAATTGTTTTTATCAATGCAAATTTGTAACTTAAATTTGATGTACGAATATAATGCAATCTGGATGGAATAAAAATTGCGCTGCATATCCTTACTTCAAAACCAACCATTTTAAAGTATGTAATTTATACTTACATAAAGTTAGGTTTTTTCTAATAATATTATTCTGGTTTTTCTGCAATACGCATAAATCTTTCGCCTTTTACTAAAGATTTCCGTGCAGAGGAACACATTGATGAGTCTATAAAGATTTTTCTCTGGCTTGCCTTCATTGACAAGCCTTGCAACCACACCTATGTAAAGATAGAACATAAATTCCCACTAGTGATGAAAGTTGGGGGGTTACATCTACGTCTATGGTTACATACTGTAACTGGACACTTACCCCATGGTCATTCACTCCCGGATAACCACCTTGATGTACGTGCGCTCGACGTTCTTGGAGAGACTGCCACTGCAGATCTTTCAGCATTTCTGTGACACCGCACTGCTCTGTTGGTTGTAACAGAGGCGGCCCTCCCAGGGGCATGAGGGGGGCTCGTACGCATAATATAGATGATATACTTAGTTACTTATCAAAGGTCTGTTCAGTCTTCCGTTATGAGAATGTGCTTATAACCCCATTAGGATTGGGTTTTTTCCTCTTTATAAGTTGTAA